AAGATGTGTCATTAGATTTCTGGCTGTGGCAAAGCGAGTGATACCTTGTGCGCCGGTCAACCACCCATCGTCGCAATTTGGTCTCAAAGCCATGGTGCATACTAGATCGGAAAGAAAAATTTTCGTCGAAGTGTATATAGATCTTTCTATACAATCTTATTAATGCTAGTCTTAGTGAAATACATCAAACCGTCTGGTTTGGGGAGCAGCGGGCATGTGAAGTACATGTATGTATTCTCTTTTTTTCCCCGGCAATACTAAAGACTAAATGAGGGACCTTATGCTGCTTTACTATTGTAGTAGTGCACTGCCAATATCGAAAGGTATGTATGGCTGGATGAGCTTGCTGGGACTATTTTTTCATTTTACTGATGAAGGCATTAAATTTATGGAAACCTTGACGAGGTAGTTATCGGTGACTTAGGTGAGATGCTCACGGATAGCGTTTGTGGTTGCGGCCACAAGATTCAGTGATTGTGTTGGTGGTTTTAGTTAAGATAATAGTGGGGCTGTTCTCGAAAGAAAAAAAAGAAGAGCTGGTTGAGAGATGTAGTCTCATCGATCCCTTACGTACCATTTGAAGGCAACTACATGACATAGCTACATTTTCCCACATCAACGTCATACATGTACCAACAAACCATGATCACGCACAGTACTTACAAAATATAAGGCTCCTTTCCACCAGAACTCACAACATCCTCGGTTCTATGGAAAAATGTCCTGAAATACCCTACACGATTTTGATTGGGTGGAAATGATCAGTATTGCATGAATCTCTGATCATGACTCACTCATGTCATGAAAATAAAAATCTTAAAAATTCAAGTGTGGTTATATATAAATTCCATATAATGCCTGTATAGAACGCGAAGGTTATACACACATGCAATTGCACCAGACCTAACAATGGTATCTAGATGGTTCTGTCTGGCGGTTTGGCGGCAACTCGAAGCACCTACGCAGCTGCCAAAAAATATCACACTCCAAGTTAGATCTTCAAGCATATATATACAGAAAAGTATGAACTATTGAGAACAACAAGCACGCGGTCACACGGACACCACAGGGAACGATTAGCAGGACAATAAGCTCTCATTGACCTCATCCGCAATCTGTTCAATATAAAGTACACCAGCTACAACCAGCAAGCAATGCAAGAAAAAGACAAAAAAATTCAAAACTAAAAACAAAGCTTAATCCCGCTAACAAACCATCTATTAAAAACACATTCGTAATAAAAATACAGACCAAGTTATGACTCAGCTAAGCTTTTCCTTTCCCTTTCCCATACCTCTCCTCGACTAGTTTCCCTACCACTCCCGCATCGTTCTTATCACCTTTCTTCGGCTTTGCACCACCGCCTCTCTTCCGTTTCGACCCAGAACCTTTTTTCTTCTCCAGATAGCCATCATCTTCGTCTTCGTCTCCAAAGTCCCTGCTGCCTCCGAAGCCGAAGTCAATGTCGAAGGCATCACGATCTGCGGATTCAAGGAGCGCCGCATGGCGTTTTGCTTTTTCTACATCCTCTCTCGAAGTGGTAGAGGAGGAAGAGATTGGGTTGAGGGTTGAGGCTTTTGCAAGGGCTGCTGCGAGAGCGGGATCGGAGAGGAGTGAGCTAGCGGTAGGCGGTTGGTATTTTTGCTCCCGTGATGAGGAACTGCTGCTGCTGGGTTCGTCGCCAAAGTAATTTAGTTTTGGTCGTGGCGGAGGAGGCATTGATGTGGGTGGTGGTGGTGGGATATTCTCGTCGTTGTCGGGTTTGAGCTTCTTGCTACTTCCTGGCTCGCGATCCGAGTCATCAGAGTCAGAATCAGAGTCATCGTCTTGTAGGCCGGCGAGAGGGTTGTATTCCGTCCCTGCACCCTCGAAGATATCAATATCTTCGTCCTCCTCGTCCTCTTTGATCTGTACCCCCGGCCTCGGAGGCGGGGGCATCATCCCTAACGGCGCACTCATTGGGTCTGGAGCTTCCAAAGCCGCCTTCTTCCCTTTGTCGCGTTTTACCATCTTTTTGACACGGCCGTCCGAAAGTGTGACATACTTCACCTTCTCCCGTTCTGGTTCTGCCGGCTTCTGTTTTTCCTTCGGCTTCACTTCACCGATCTTTCGAAACTTTGCGCCCAATGCCGGTTGGGCGGCCTCTTTTGCCGCTCTCCGTGACTCTTTTAGCGCCGCCAGGATCTCAGCTCGCGTCTTCGGTACCGGCGCTGCCTTTACTCCCTTTTTCTCCTTCTTTTCCTTCTCGGCCACCACAACCTCGCTCTCGAGCGCCTTCTCGAGCTTGTCCTCAACATCTTCTTCATCTTCTTCGTTCATGGCTATATCATTCTCCTGGTCTTTATTCATGACGTCCTCTCCGCGCCGAACTTTCTCTAGTAGTGCAAAATCGAGACCCTTGACCAGATGTGTACTTTTGACATCACCCCCGAGAAGCTTTGTCTGGCGCACATACTCGTCACGATCAATCTTTCCTTCTTTTGCCAGTTCTGCTAGTGCTTCGAGGCGCTCATCATCTGTGCCGTCATCGCGGGTCTTCGAGCGATCTACGTAGCCTTCAGGTAAAGCTGTACCCAAGGGGGCGGCGGAAGAACGGAATTTCCGTACAGGCTTCGGATTGAGAGCGGCGTTATGGGCGGCTACTTGTTTCGCAAAGTCGGATTGGGTCGCTACGGAGCGCCTATTTATATGGCATGGTTAGTGGCGTGAGCTCGGGGGAGGTAGAAGGAGGGAGCTTGCGTACGGGGTCATGGGCATTGAGGGACGCTGGCGGGAACCAAGACTGGGGGTGGCAGATGTACCGCCATTATTAGGACGCTCGGAGCGAGGGGTTTCGAGGAGTTTGCGGAACTGCGCGTTGTTCATGATGGATTGGGGGGAGGGGGTTGTTAATGAAGCATCTGGGATGTCTGCGAGACATCGCGAGAATGGCCAAGGTAAGTAGGGTAACCTGTCTTTAGTCAGCTGACGCATATGCGGGTGATATTTGATGATACAAAATGCGCATACTTGTACCGCGTGTCCCTGCTGATATTATCGATCTCAGAGATGAACACTCTGTGTTGGCCCAAAAGGAGGCCGAAGTGGGCGGCGGACATATCTTCTTCAAAGATGGATAGAATTCTATATATTATTAACAATCATAATTCTTCCTGCAGATTCAGACGTATATATATATCACACAATTGCGATTATAATTACTTATATTATACAACGTTCAACACGACTGTTATAGCACTTGGCTTCTCTTCAGATTTTATTTGCTGAGGCGAATAGCATCCAGCCTTGAGAAATTAGAGATTGAGCAAGAAGAGCCTGTCGACCATATGGCCACCTTGATCAATATCTATGTCCCATAAGCAATAAAGACAAAGGATGGGAATATTTTATCACCGAGCTTAATGGAATGTTATCTGAAATACTACATCGATCAAGACTCCCTTAGTTGTAAACTCTATTCTCAAGCTCAAGAATGGCCTTGAAGACTGCTCGAAATTAGGTAATCGACGCCGGTGTAAATCAAAAACTCAAGTCATCATTCTCATGTACGTATACGTAGCCACCCTCTTTATGTAATAAACCCCGCATCTATATGATACTCATCTGCTCTACGGCCCATCGTGCATATCATCAAAAGCAGTCGACCACTTCCGTTTCCTAACAGCCGTGGTACCAAGAATTGAGGTAAAGTACCGAGTAAACGATCAAAATAGGCAGGCCTCCGAGCGTAACCATAAAAACTTGTTATCAACGCAGACTTAATTCTGGTTTGTTTGGCGATAGGTACAAGGCTAGAAGGAAATGTTCGGTATGCTATTCTGGGACGTACATGTATGTATGTAGCAACCTGATAACGATAGTGTGGTAACCGACATGCGCAGTATCAAACAAGGCTGAAATGCAAGAAAGAAACATTCGTTTCACAAGAGTTGTCAAACTCGATTTCTCGAATTTCAATTCAAATCACCGCGGAGCTGGAGAAGTAGTAATTTTTGAGATAGGTCTGTAATTTAATGGTACCGGTTAATAGAAGATGCGTATTGAAGATGTTTCTCTCTCAGGAAATCCTTAGGCTCTGAAAGCTTCTGGCGATGTACCTACCTACCTAAATCCTCCTACCTACACCTACACTGTAAGAGCTTTTGACGTGGCCTTAACAGCACGGGCCGTTCGTGCGCGCTGCAGCTCAACATCTCTGGAGTTGAAAACTCAAGACAGCGAATCAAACCCCAGAGGCGAAGTGTGTGTGTGTATGTAATCAATCCCATCACGTTTTGGCTTGGCAGAAAACTCACCTCCTTCTTCCCCGGAGCCTTTCTCTCCTTCCTTTCTTTCGACCATTCTGAGGCTTCTTCCCCAGTCATAAACTCATCTCCAGTTGTCCACCCAGAACAGACACCTTTCGCCCACTCATATTCCTTTTCCTCCCTCCCTCTCCTCCTTCTTACTCCCCCCCTCCTCCTTCTCCCTCTAACCCTCCCCATCCATCACCCCCCCTGTAGGCGCAAGTAATCGTCAACGTCGCGATCACGTCTACACGGTAATCTGTTACTACTTCTACACGCCTCCCCAGCCATCAATCACGTCTATTTCAACTATTTACTACTAGCAGCAGCAGCAGAGGCAGCAGCTAGGTTTTTCATCTCCTACTGACTTCTTCATCTGTCTACTGCTCCCCCATCTACATTTGGCCCTTTTCCGCTTCCTTTCGGCCTCACCCTTCCCCAAATCTTTACCACCATCCAGTCTACATCTATTCTCTCGCCTACCCATCCATCTATTCATCATCATCACAGCCGCCACCCATCCCGACCCTTCTGATTAATATCATTGTTCACCTCTCACCTTCACGTTCCTACCCGCTACCTGCTCCCTCAGCCTAGAAAATACCGCGCCCGCTATTTCTTGCCCCAGGTGTACACAGCAAGGAATAAATTCAGAATATTAGCAATATCAGTTTCCGTACGTAACTTTTTGTTCAAAAAAGGCAAGCAAGAAAAATGAGCTCTCCAAGCGCTTCTGGAGCTACTAAGCGTCCTCTTGAGGACTCTTCTTCCCCAAATATTAAGGATGAGCATGATTCCAAGCGTCCTGCCCTCGACAAGGAGGTCAAGAGTGGTGATAGCAACGACAGTGCTCCTTCATCCCCAAGCCCGGTTAGGGCCGAGGTCGCGGTTGTTCTACCTACTAAGGTTGAGCCCGAGGCCGGGGAAGTGAAAAAGGATGGTGATACTGATGTTCCTGATGCTCCCACTGGTGCCGATGCGCAAAGTGCCGATGCGCAAAGTGTCGATACACAAAATCAGCAGGCCGTTCCCCAGGTGGATGAGAGCAATTGGATCCACATGCGAGCGGTAATCACTTCTGCTGAGGCAGCTACCGTAATTGGAAAGGGTGGAGAAAACGTAACACAGATAAGGAGGATGGCAGAGGCAAAATGCACTGTCTCGGACTACCAGAGAGGAGCAGGAGAAAGAATTTTGACAGTCAGCGGTGCTGTTGATGCTGTGGCCAAGGTTTGTTCTCAATTTTGAGGCTCAATTGACTAGGATTGCTAAACTAACATTAACAGGCATTTGGTCTTATCATTCGCACATTGAACAATGAGCCACTTGAGGAGGCCTCGTCCCCTCAGTCGAAGACTTACCCCCTTCGTCTGCTTGTCCCCCATATTCTTATTGGCTCAATCATTGGGAAATCAGGTTCTCGAATTCGCGAGATTCAGGAAGCTTCTGGTGCGCGTCTTAACGCGTCTGGCTCTTGCCTTCCTCTCTCTACGGAGCGTTCCCTCGTCGTTCTAGGTGTTGCCGATGCCGTTCACATTGCCACATACTACATTGCCAACACCCTCGTTGAGCAATTGACTGAGAGGTTTGGGGGTCCCGCTGCGTCAGCTTACGCGACCCGCTCTGGTGGCCCCGCTGGACCAATTCCCGGAGGAATGCAGGTTGTCCCTTACCAACCTCAACCTCTCCACGGCTCGTATGGCAATCCAGACACCTACAAGCGTCATAATAACAGCGCGCAGCGAACTCCCACCAACCCGTACGGCATCCCCTACCTCCACGGGCCTGCGCCTGCTCCCGTTCCACAAGCGCCTCTCCACTATGCCGATCCCCAAACTTCCAATGGGTATTCTGGCGCTGGTCCACACCAACCCGGCCAGCCTGCTCCTACGCCTCAGCAACCGGCATCTAACCCAATGGCTGCTATGCTACCAGGTCAGCCGCTTACTCAGCAAATCTTCATTCCCAACGACATGGTTGGTGCTATCATCGGAAAGGGTGGTGCCAAGATCAATGAAATCCGACAGTTGTCGGGTAGTGTCATTAAGATCAATGAACCACAGGATAACAGCAACGAGAGATTAGTTACAATCACCGGCACCCAGGAGTGCAACCAGATGGCTCTGTACATGTTGTACTCGAGACTCGGTAAGTTGTTGGCAACCATTTTGTGCCAGAGGAATACGAGCGCTAATATGATGTTTCACCTGTACAGAGAGCGAGAAGCACAGGATCTAGTCACCCTCATCCATCAAACAAAACAAAACGAGGTAGCACATGGAGATTCGAGGGCGGAAAAAATTGGTTTCGGAAATGGCGCTTGGTTTTTTTTCTTCCACTGTTTCTTTCTTTTACTCTTTGCTCCAAGATAACCTCTGGATATCGCCTCATTTAACCTAATTGTTTTCTTAAACTCGTCCTCTGTGCAAAAATCGTAAATTCTTTGTCTTGTGAAAAAAAATGGGAGTGGGAGAGAAGGGATGGATGGGTTTGGAACGGAACGGAATGGAGGGTATTCGGTATTAGGTGGGTTTGGGCGTGAGTGAGTACGATAGCAGCGGTTATGTGGGATGAGTTTTTTCCTTTTTTTCACAGAGAAATAAGTATCTTTTGAGTTCTTTTTCTTTTCTTTCTTTACTTCAACCTACTTCTGTTTGCCTACCGGTCTACCTACTCTATTCTTGTCACTTTTTTTTATATATTTTGCTTGCCTTTACCAACCGCCTGCCTGCCTACCTATCTATCTACCTGTCCATTCGTTACCCTTGTTTTGCTTTTGTGTCTTTATGTCTGTGTTCTTTATAGGGGTATTGAGTACCGACCGAATTGAATCTTGCCTACCTACTACCCTGCCCGTCTGCCTAATCTACTGCACATACCTACCTACCTACCTAGCACTTGCACCTTCTCCATCCTTAAGGGGGCGAGCGAGCGACTAACTAGCTAGCTAGGGCGACGTTTTTTAATTGGTGCTGGTGGGCAGCTAATGCGGGTGCGTAGGGTAGGGTTTACGAGTGATGGGCTATGATCTGTAAGTTTTGGTGGCGTTTATGGCACGGGTATGGGTATGGGGGAGTGTTGTAAGATAATAAAATATAGTATACTGTCTAGGGCTGGAGTTTGTGACTAGGATGGGGTGGGATTGGATTTTGGGGTTGTGATTATGAATGGGTTGTTTTGTTGTTGTGCAGTTCTGGGACTAGTAAGATACCTACATGTAGGTTTGAGTGGGTGTAAGATACTTCGAGTTGAATGGTTGTGATGGGTGTGGAGTTAATTCTGTTGTTGAGCATGAGTCACAGCTGCATGCGCCTGTGTTTGTATAGAGATGAGTCTTCTTTGGAATGGCATGCCGCATGAACTATTGGAAATACTCTCAAAACACCAATTCACTGTATGATAAGTGGAAACCGTAGAAATAACATAAATCGCACCAGTTTTGATAAGCTATCACCAAAATGGACTCCGTGGCGTTGTAGCACCAACACTGCGAGTGATATTTCATGACGGAAAGGCCCTCTGCCAGCAGCGAGTCCTTTTCCTTGGCAACTTAATGACGTTACTATTTCACATCTATGAGGACATTTCGCCCGCCCTAATCCCTATTGGGGTCCCAAGCCAGTTATCTACAACTAAAATCTTAGGAAAGTCACAATAGGACTAGTGTAACAGAGAGAAATGATAGTTTAGAAGGAATGTGTGTATCAAAAAAACCAAACTTTTATTTAGTGTATTTGATACTATGGAAACCCCCTGGGAAATTTTAATGATATCCTCCAGCTTCCGCGTTATATCTCCCCTGTCCTCACCAGATAGGGAGAGCCAGAAAACCAGCCCAGCCCCCTGAGCCCGGGAACGGGCCTTCGTCGTCGGCTTCGTACTCCCCGTCAACCTGCCCCTCCCCTCCCTCAGCCTTCACCTCCTCCGGCTCCGTGTCCGGGGGGCCCTGTTCCATCTTCAACACCTTCTTCTCCACCCCGACCACCTGCTTCTCCGTCCCCACCACCTGCTTCTCCATCCCATTCCTAATCAACGGCTCCAATGCCGCCCGATACGCCTTCAACCCCTCCATCAGCGCCCTCTCCTCCTCCTCCACAGCCCTCTTCGACTCCTCCAGCACCGCCTCATACCGTCCCAGCAGGGCCCCCAGCCTTACAATCTCGACCTCCATCTCTGCAACACGGGCGAGCGCTTTCTCGGCCGCGTCCTTCTCGTAGTCGGGCTCGGCGCACTCGCTGGGGTAGCTGCGGCACAGATAGGCGTAGTAGGCCGGTGCGTAGGACTTGTGCGCGGGGATGGTGTGCAGCCAGCACCGGTAGCGGGAGAGGGTGCTGTGGAGGGCGGAGAGCTCGGAGCGCAGGCGGGTGATGTTGAGTGTGATGTTCAGGTCGTGGATGGTGCGCTCGCTGGGGGACATTTGGCGCTTGAAGGGGATGGGGACGGGGGTGGAGGGGGAGGGGAGGTGTGGGGAGAGGGGGAGGACCCGGAGGGCGACATGTGGTGGGGGTACATGTTGGTGGGATGTATTGTGAGGGTGGGGGAGGGATGTTCCTTGATGGAATTAGATGATGGGGGGCGTTTTGGAATGGTGGTGCGGGTTCGGGAGTGCGAGTGAGCGGTGGTGATTATGCGCACGGGCCCTTGATACATGTAGCTACAGATACGTACGTCGACTACCCTTAGTCTACCAATGCTGCCCCCCCCCCCCCCGGCCTTAGAATGGAAAGCAGGAGATTGTATGAGAGGTCCATTATTTGATAAGAAAGATAATGGGATCTATGTATCAAAGCTACCATCCCGTACTTGCAGCAAACTGCCCACCAGTACGCTGGAAGCATGGAAGCAGACAAAGCAATACCTTAGAAATACCGTTTTCAGGTTATTCGTGTTCGTGATCCCACTCGATAGGTTACATATGCTCGAATAAGATGGAGGGGATGGTTATTTGGATTAGCTACGAGAAAAAGCTTGGTATTACGCCAACTTTGGCGGGGCAGCATTTCGCTGACAGTTTAAAAGATAGGTACATACATGTAGTGAAAGTCACGTCATTCTAGAGCATGGAATATGAGTGAGAACTCTTGATCAGGTCGCGAATTGATAAGAGACGGAAGAGAATCGAATTGTATGATTGAATTAAGGAGTAACGAGGGTAGAAGGAACAGGCTCCTTTATAACTAACAAAGTCGTGATAAACACGTATCATCAAGACAACCAAGTTCGTTGTCTTGACACAGTACATCTTAATCTACTATACTATATCTACTATACTATAAAAGAATATAGCCTAGAAGACTTTTGCTAAACCGGCCGGCCTAATCCTACATCCGGCCCTGGAGACCGATCAGCCAAATACATGTAGTGAGCGATAAGCTAAGGTAGTTCAATCTGTAGAGTTCCAATCGATATCACACATACCCCTCTTCATACCCCTTCAGAAAAAAAAATGGGTAATAAATATACACAAAAAGTTGATGCTGCGACTATACGCCACCCACGGTCCACAGGTTCTAATTCGAGATTGAACACTGCTTCCCGTGAAAGTGTCGTACTTCCCGAGCACCACTCCCACCCCCGGAGTTGAACCCACGACCTCCGGACGTCTCCGGGCGATCGTGGGGCTCAACCCACGCGGTGTAAGACAGGACGAGGCGTCTACCACTAGACTACCACGCCCACACAACTGTAGGGCCGGGAAGTAATATTTAAGGGAGTGAGTGGAAAAAGTGAGTGCGGGGGACACCTAACCCTGTAGTCACAATCCACCACTAACTCACTGGCCACCCTCTTGTTATAACAGATAACGAAGACTGCAACAAGAAGAACTGAGCCGGTAACAGGTGCCAACGCTCTCGAGTTGTCCCCGCCAATGAAAGTTTAGCTCTTATGTGAACACCTAGTAAGTACCACTGATGCTAGCTAGAGGCATGTCTGCTCCAGAAACGCCAGCCAAATACGCCCCGAACCATGAATTATCAGAGAACAAAGTCCCCTCCTCTTACTGGTTAGACCAGAGTCAAGTGGCATATACATGTACTCGCTGGAGCCATATCCTCATAGCCCTTACTCGCCCAAGACACTCGGGATGCTATACTTCCACCTACCATCTCCCCCAGCACGCAGTCCTTATGACGATAGTAGGGGTACTTGGGCTCGAATCCCGAACGGAGCCAATTTCGAATTTTTTTTTTCCCCATCCTCAATTCTATTTTTGAAATGGGGAGTAAAGAGCATGCCGGATGGAGCTAGCTGATCAACCTGGTTGATCTGGGGCGCGGTGCTCTTGTGGGGGGGCGGTAGCCTGCTGTCCCATTCGCGGATGCTACAATCACCGACCCAGGCTGATTCCTGCAGGGTTTTTTTTTCTTTTTTTTTTGTTTAGTTCATTAATTGCATGCAGCCTTAAAGCTATGGCAATATCACACTGCCCCAAATGAGTCCTGCGGGAGTACATAAAATAATTTCACGAATCCGCAATATGGTATAATGCCTATTTCCTACAAATAGCAACCGAGCTTAGAATCTTCGTCACCCGCTTCGGGTGAGGACACCAGACCCAAATTAAAAGTTACCCACTGTTGGTCAAAGAGTCCGAGTGATCATCCATGACGCATACAATCAACCTACGCAGTCTTGGCACATGGAATACCTACCAAGCCATCGATTTTTTTCTTGTATGTGGTCGTAGTTAGCTACAGGTTTTTGATTCCTCCTGCTAATCACCCTTGCCACAGCTGGAACGTCAACGGCTGGCCAATTATAGAGAAATACGGGCTTAATCCACCAAGCTGAATATCAATAGCACTCTACCTATCGGGTATGAAGAGATGAAAGTGCACATCTAGCACGTGCAGCTCGCCAGCTTTGGAATGGAGTGTACGTGAGACATGATAGCGCGTGGAATTCAGCCTGACCGCCCCAGTACCGGTCCCCAGATATGCAGAGTCCATGCGGCAGGGCACTCTGTTGTTATTATATTGTTTACCTCGAATTGTTCAGGTTCAGGAAATAGGTATGTATGTATTCATTTCATTATATTTTAATACCGAAAGACTTTTTGGTAAACCGTTAACTAGCTTGATACATGCCGGCCATAGTCATCACAAATAAAAGAAATAGAAAGAAAGATTTATATAAGCTTCAAAAAGGTGTAAGGTAAAAAATTAATCCACAAGAAGGGTAGTCCACAAAAAAAAACTTAAAGAGAAGAGAAGGAAAATCAAAAACGCCGTCCCCCTATAACCACGCTCTAATTCAGCGCACAATCGCCCTCATTCTGGTGGCACCAAAGCTGCATGATCGGACTGGCACCGACTCCCCTCAACACAAGCCTCTCCCTAAACTCCGCCAATCTTGGGCTCGCATCTGCAAATGTCCTGTTCACGCCCTGTGCATCGGTTCTACCACTCCAGAGAACTTCTCCGGCAGCTGAGGCCCTTGGCCAGACGACACTGTCGAGGCTAACACCGTCAATCTGCTCACTCCACGCGTGGACTTCACCGCCGAGGACAAGAGCAGCCTGTTCGGGTGTGAGTCCGGCAACGGGATCGAATGAATAGACTATTATACTGTTAGCTGGTTTGGTTAGAAAATAGGGATGGAGGGGGTAGTCTTACTAAGGCGCCAGTTCTTCTTGGGTGAGCAGTAGTCGTTGAAGGGGTAGAACTGCTTGTAGACGTTCGGGCCGAAATCAAGCCACTGACCATTCCCGCAGTCGAGATACCAGAAGTTGTAGTTACCAGCGATGACTCTGTGGCCCTTCTCTACGGCAGTCTTGGTTGACGCATCGCTGATCCATGTCTGCACAATGACATCCTTGGGCAGCGTGAGTTTCCAATCAATCAACATCTCCTCCCACACCACTGGCGACATCTTGCCTTTCCGGACCTCGCCGTGCACATGTTCGATAAACTTCTGCAATGCCGGCGTAAGCACATCTGTCGCGTTCGATTTAATTCCCTCGTCAAACAGATAGACGTTCTTGTTGACCTCGTCACCACCGGTATGGAAGTAATTTGTGTGGTCTCTCAGTCTCGGCAGCAAGTCGCCAAACAGCGTGGTCAGGAACTTGCGCACAGCCTCGTTGTTCAGCTTCAGAGAGCCTGATGGCGGCTGCGCGGCATAGCGGTCCCAGTTGGGCTGGATGTTCCACCCCGCGATCAGCTCTGGATAGGCCTCTGCGATGGCCGACGTGTGTCCGGGCATGTCAATCTCGATAATGACCTGCACGCCGCGCTTCTCGGCAAAGTCGAGCATCTCGGCAAGGTCTTCGGGAGTGTAGGTGAGACCCTCGGCATACGCACCGCAGGGCGCAAGGTCGGGGAGCGCCGGGATCTCGAGAGGCCAGGACTGCGAGTCGGTGACGTGGAGGTGGAGGCGGTTCATCTTATTCCATGCGAGCGCATCGATGGTGCGGAGGATGTCCTCCTTGGGGTACCACTGCCGGGCGACATCGAGGTTGAGACCGCGGTGCTGGAACTTTGGCTTGTCGAGGACCCTGACGGGGGCGAGGGGCGAGTACACGCCGTGGTTTTTGTGCTTGTTGGAGGCGTAGAAGAGCTGGGTGAGGGTGTTGAGAGCGTGCAGGACACCGAAGGAGGTGGGCGCAGTGATGTAGGCGCTGTCGCCAGCGTCGGGGATCGTGAGGTTGTAGCTCTCGTCCGTACCGTATTCAGCGGGGGCGGAGGTCTCAGAGGTGGTCTGCGTGATGATGATGTTCTTGAGCTTGGGGCCGTTGGTGTCGGCGGGCTCGAAGTTGTCGCCGCGCTTGTGGAACTTCCAGGGGACGAAGTTGTCGCTGAGGAGGGTCGTTTTTGTGCGGCTCCAGGCGTGATTGACTTTATCGGTGGCTTTTTGGGAGTTCTAATTTTGGTTGTTAGTATGTGGGGGTTACTCTAGGAGGAGGAGGAGGGGGAGGGGGGTCTGAGAGAGTTTATTGTTTGTGGGGGAGGAAGAGTGGAACTGACGTTGGCGGGCCCTGAGAATTTCATGGATATGTCATCTGAAATCCAGACAACGGTGGATCCATGCTCGTAGCTAACGGGTTGGGGCCAAATGGCATTGGCAGCACCGGCGAAGAGCGCCAGTGCGGTGAGAGACTTGAAGCCGGTGATCATGGTTTGGTTGTTGGGGTGAAAAGCGTATGTTTGTTAATTCTGGATTTGGAGGAGTGTAAAGCTTCACAATGCAATAGAGAGATTGAGAAAAAAATAAGTGAGTCGACAGCTGCAGTGGATTCCCAGAATAGTTTTATAACTACTAATGGCTCTAAGGGAATATAGAAAACCACACACACACTCTCTCTGGACAATGGAAATATAGAAAATACAATGGAGAGGACTTCTTCGCATTTAAGTATTCCTCCGTCCACCGCGCCCCTCCCCTTCCTCACTACAAATACTACAGGTACTACGCCTGTGTGTGTATCTTGGCCTAACTAAGCCCTCTTTTGTATGTTCCGCAATGAGACATGGGCCCCAGAAACGCAAAATTCCCGTGCCTTATGCAGTAGTGATGAATTAATGAGGCAGGTGTGTGTGTGAGTGATCAGAGCGAGCGAGTGTGTGGGCCAAATACGCCGCCGATCGTCAACTCGCTAAACCTGCAGGAGTCTTATTTGTTTGTGCAGTTTTTTCTTTCTTCCTTGTTGGGTCGTTATTTTTTACTCTACTCCTACATCATAATGGAACTGTAGTAGTTAGTTAGCTGTCTCAAGCTGATGTTTGACGTTTGAGAAACACACAACATCCCACCGCTTCCGCTGTACCTTTTTCAGTCGTTCATTCTTCCTCCCCCGCGCGCCCCAGCCACATATGTACTTCTAGAAAATCGCACACTTATTAAAACCAATATGTGAGTGGCATACCCAAAAATAACCTGTACCTGTCGGTCCGGGCCGAACGAGGGTATACTCTACCACAAGTACATAGGTCATGTACTTAGAGTATTACCTTAAGTAACCATGTAGTTTATTAGGTTAGTCTAGAATAAGCTTCACGCCCGTTCTTGTACCAGGAATGCATGCTAGTCCCGGGTAGGGAAAAGGAAATAAGGGCGCAGGGCTTGTGTTTGTTGGTAACCAAACCATTTTCCGCGATCCTTGTCTGATAATGTAGTTTACAGTACTTTACTCACACATACCATGTCTGCTCTACTTTATAGAAGGGGATTGATAGTATTGTAACTAGACGTTGGTACTGTGCCATCTGAAGGGGAGGAGGTTGCCGTTCGTATTCTTGGTGGGTTTCAGGGGCGCTGCAGTTTTCTTTGCTTTCTTCCTTTGATCCACTGACTGCGCTGCTGCATGAAACTGTGCTCAGTCACATAATGGTAGCACTTAGGCCGGTATCCTATTGCTTAATGGATACCGTGTAGAGTAGGCAACTTGAAAGCTGAGCATGAAGGGGTAGGTAGGTAGGTACTCGACGGTACCCCGCAGACTCACCTAACTAGAGTAGAGAGGAAAGTACCTGTCTAAAGAAGTATTGACTATTGATGTGTATGTAAGTATCTGGCACAGGCGGTGAGGCAGTGAAGCTCTTTGGCGGCAACAGTGGAAATAAACATTCCGCACTTTTTTTTACCACCTCAGGTCACCTCACCTCACGTGCACCGTTAGCAAAATAGCTTGATTTAATTTCATTTTGTCCGCAATACAAATCCATACAAATCCATACAAGCCCACGCCTACAGGTACACAGTCAGCCAATCAGTCTATACATCAGAGTCACACTCTCCAATTTCAAGCCTCACTCAACGAACCACCAACGAACCACAATACACAAGCCTCATCAATATCTTTATCCTATCTTTAGGGCGCGCTTCGATCCGTACCCGTCGCCGCCACAATATTGATGACTGTATGCGCGTGTTTGGTTAAATAACAGCAATCATTTCGGAGACATATTGGGCGAGAAAAGGGCAGGATTCTTTTTGGGAATGCACTTTGCTGTCGACTCGGGTGTGGATGGGAGCGCTCTTATTGGGGTAGCGATTTTTTTTTGACGGGTTTTAGCACTTGTGTGTTTTGGTGTAACTATGAGTGTAGTGTTGGTATCAGTAATATTGGTATCGGTATCGGTATTAATATTGGTATTGGTACTGGTATTTAGTACTTGATGGGTTATGAGTACCCACATGTAGGTATCTACTAGAGATAGGTAAGTATGTAGATTTGTTCAATTGTAGAGAGCCAAAGCTGACCCCCCCGGAAGTACGTATCTCAGACTGTGCGCATGTGGGGAAACCTGCTCGTATGTACCACAGACAGACAAGCTCAACTGTCCTAAGTTCGCGTCTGCAAACAAGTACCACGGTATTGTACGACCCGGTATTGTACGACCCAAGCCAAACCCCGACCCCAAAATAGACCCCCGACAGCCTTAATTCAGAATTTTATTAAAGTATATATAGAGGCTCTGCTCGATATTTCAACCTTCGAATATTCGAGTTCGCGGGGTACCTGTGTCACCGAAAACAAAAGTTGGACTTACTGGGTTGGCACGGGCCTACTTACTCTACTTCCGCCTCTCAAACTGGTTGTAGAGATCCAGATACTCTACCTACGAGCAGAGCAGTTCATAACGCATCTAAAGACGTCATTCAGCCCGCGGGGGGGGGGGATTTTTTCCCTTTCTGAGGATGGATTCGGCCGTGGGTGCACAGGACCTATGTGTGCATGTACCTGATGCAGAGTCTTCCAAAAGATTACACCAATCGGTAGGAATTCAGTATCATGTAGGGTAGTGAGTGGGTTCATAAAGAATGCTTATTTTAGATTGGAAGGTGGTGGGAGATCTGGGATGGAGATCTAGCTAGCGAGGGTAGAGTAAAACAGAGACACATCTCTACTTTGGGGTGCTAGCTCTACTTTGATATACGACGTCAAAAGCACAGATATGCCCTTTTACTAGAGGCCAGGCATCGATATCATAATCATTCAACTAGTGAGCGCTCGAGCAGGTTTCGATCACTTCACACCACTTGTCGTTTACGGCCACCAAACAGAAAAGAACAGAGTGATCAAGTTTCTTCCCATTGGCCCAGATCCCCTGGTCACTTTGGCACCAATGTTCGTGAACGACAGAGACCGTAATAAAAGCGCTTTAACCACCACCACCATCACACCGCATTGCAGAGATTTTTCCAGAACCCTTCTCCACAACGCCCAATCCCAGGCTCTCGCTCAACGCCAGTCGGCAAAACCAAAAGAAAAGACCAGCTTAAACTCCAAAGTGCAGAGTTAAAGATAATCTTTACGAACACGACGATCATAATATTGTAAGCGGTCAAGACGTCAGGTGCGTATTCGTGATGGTAATGATAATAACTATGCTCTCGCTTTTACCATAGCTATAGTAGTCTGAACACAGTCGGCGATATCTATAGGCACAAGCATGGTATAGGTATAAACTAGGGCAACGTCTCTACGTCTTATGGATAGGGCGAGTCATCTGTGCATACCCGGTTAGACGCTTTTCTTATTCTGGTGCAGTATTTCTTCATTCGGAAATAATTGGCTTATATTTCTTTGTCTATGCCTCATTGAACTATTCGTCACTCACCACTTCTTATGTGAGGTTGTTTTTTAGTGGAGATGGAATGAAATCACTATGAATGATCACACACTATTCTGCACGTGACTTACCTTTCCTTTCAAATATATTTTGCAAACTCTATATGAGATATTATGGGGTCAAAACAACCCCTCTTGCATAAAACAGCACATCCTGCGTCGAGGGATATTGCATGGCTATTTCAAGAAAGGCTGAGCCTAGTTGGGTTGATGGGAATGCCGAGACCCGCACGTATGGCGTACTTAAAGCGGTCTACACGATCAAGTGCGCACAACAGGCGTCCATGTGGGAGATTGAAATCTATCATATCAGCTGTACGATTGACTTCACCGGGCCTGGTACTGTTAATTTCCTACGATACTTGGTCAGACGTTAACCTGCTAGGAATGTTCGGTCAACATCGTGATCAAGTGGTCCAATTCAATCCCATTACTCATTTCAAGTTACTAACGCTATATAACCTTTACATGTAATAACTATCTTTCCCCGAATCCCCGAATCCTAGTCTCCTCTTCCCTCCCTCCCACCTACATAAAAAAACAAAAAAGTCATGACTAATTATAGAACAAAAAGCCAAATGTTACACTAGCTCGATGGTAGCGTCAATGTGACTTTGTTCGTACTTTCACCCTTCGATGATGGCTGCAGTGCAAATACGAACGTTCCCGGTTCAACCCTCCACTTCATCCACCTGTCGTATCCACTGAGGTAGCGATTCACATCGAGCTGAATCGAAACCTTTTGAGTCTCGCTGGGTTGCAAATCGACCTCCGTGAACCCCACAAGCTGTTTTACAGGCTGAGAAATTGAGGCTACACGTTGTAGCAAATATATCTTGAAGATTATTGCAGGTTAGATGGTGTCACTACTAAATTTGAAGCTTGCGGATAACTTACCTGAGGGATCTCTCTTCCCGCAACGGCACCAGTATTGGTCACAGAAAATTCAAACGTTATTGTGTCCTCCGCCGTAAAACTCGACTTATCGGCCGTGATTTGCGAGTAATTGAACGAGGTATAGCTCAATCCATGCCCAAAGTGGTATAACGGATTGTATGTGATTCCTCCTCCATATGCCACGTTGGGGATCTGGTTCCCATCAACATCGCGATTGGGGATATCCACATACTTATATCTGTACGCAGCATTATCGTGGTTATAGTACGCCGGACTGGTGCCAACAGAATACGGAACTGTAATAGGCAAGCGACCAGATGGGTTGACTTTTCCATAGAGAATGTCAGCTATTGCCTGGCCACCTGCTTGTCCGTTGTAGCCGGTGTATAGCACTGCTGCTGCTTGACGGTAGTATTCCGGGAGTGCCAGCGGTCTAGCACCGGTCGTGACGAAAATCACAGGCTTCCCAGCAGTAAATACGGCGTCCGCTAGGACGGTCTGGTTTGGGGAGAGGCCAAGTGTGGACATGTCGTTTGTCTCCTGGTCAACAATAGCAGAACCGCCGGCAATGAAGATAACATAGTCAGCTTCCTTTGCTGCTCGTGTTGCTTTCTCGAGCTCGTCCTTTCGGTCAACGAGATTCCAGGCCGGTGCTACCAATCGTTGACCAGATACAGCGTTTGAGCCTTGGTACTCGATGCGGATTTTGATGGAGGCTCCCTTCTTGAATGTGAATTCAGCAGCGCCAGTGGGAACCATGGTGGAGTTTTGCTCATAAACCTCCCAGAACTGGTCGGGGGTATCGCTGTAGGTATTCTTGACACTTCCGCTAGTAGCCTTTGAATGCAGAACATCGTTGACATATACAGTAACGTTTCCACTGCGCGTCATGGCGCCGAGGACAGCTTTTGCGTCGACTGGGGAGTGGAGATATCCCTCCCAACGAACAGAGAAGGCGCTACTCGGGAGTTGTTTACCACCAGGTCCTGACGGTGGATAATGTTCGTATTCAAGCATTGGACCTTCGACTACCTCCCAGGCCTTATTCTTCCACTCATTATCAGTGTAATAAGTTGCCTTCAATCCGCTCTGGCTTGAATTCTTTAGAGGCGTAAAAAGGTAGTTAGGGATGACATTAAGGTCATAATAAAGAAATGTCGGTGCACCCCAATGAGTTTCAAGGTCCTTCTCGTCAACATATGTATCCACAATAGCCTGACGGGGTGTAATCATCCGCCCATGTACTCCCATACGGATATAACCGCCCAAGTTTACCCTATCCACAAACGGTCCAATCAATGCAACCTTCTTCCCGCTCTTTGGCTTAAGAGGAAGTATTCCGGTATTCTTGAGCAGAACAATAGACTTCTCCGCAACCTCTGATGCAATTGCTGCAGTCTCATCGGTGTCGATCTTGCCTTCCGTAAAGTCATCGGGAAGGTATGGGTTGTCAAAGAGGCCGAGATCGTACTTGATTTTCAACAGACCTTTGACACGGGATTTAAGGGTGTCTACGGTGAGGGTGCTACCATTTATGGCGGCGACGATACCGCGAGTCCACTCTTGGATGCCCCAGTCGGCGTAGTTACCCTTAAATTCTTATCGTTAGTCATTGTCCTTTCCTATCAAATAATGCCCAAGAAACTCACCATTCCACCGGCATTGAGATACTGAGTAATAGCGTCCTGAGAATTTGCAGCAACTTGGTGCCAGGCCATAGATCTTTGAATCATGTGATCATCCGAGATAATTCTATTCAAATAAGGGATCAGTACCAATAATGCGATATCAGACGTGGTTGGCTTGTGTATTTACCGTCCGTCAAAACCCCACTCGTTCAATGCTGCGTGAAGATCTGGGTCAAACGCTGCCGGCGACCCATCGATGGTGTTATATGCAAACATAATACCCAGCGCTCCGCCCCGCTGAATCGCATCTCTAAAGGGCAGTGCAAATTCGTTCCATAGCTGTCTCTTCCCAACATGAACCGGTCCTGCATTCCTACACGGCGACTAAGTCAGCTAACCCTCCATAATAATCATTACCCCCAAGTCTTAAAAGAATAATAAAAGCTGAGGGTACAAAAGAGAAATAGCGTTAAAAGTAACGTCAAGGAAATAGCTGTTGTTGGGAGTCTTTGATAAATAGAATAAAATGCAGTTTTCGAATTATGCATAACGAGTGACCGTGCGTGATAAACTCAGTAGAATACCATGGTGTCAATAGAAGCGAAGAGGAAAACATGCGCAGAAATGAACAAAACGAGACGAAGTAGAGCAAAAAAAAAAAAAAAAAAAAAAACCGGCAATGTAAGAACGGTTTACATACCTTCCACCCTCCGGGCTCCCGTGCGCCAGAAAATGTTTCACTGACGCAATTGCACCTTTTCTATCACTCAGCTCCCCACCATTCTGCAAGCCTTTGACATAGTTCCATCCCAGCTGCGCCGTGAGAAACTTATCCTCTCCAAAGTTCTCACCAATCCTCCCCCATCTGGGCTCCTTTGCAAGGTCGAGAACGGGGCAGTAACAAGACCCTTGACCAATTGCCCGAGCTTCCAGTGCAATTGCCTGACTGGTGTTCTTGACGAGAGCGGGGGACCATGTGGCGGCCATGTTGATAGAGGTGGGGAAGATGGTAGTGCCTGGGGTAAGGACTGCACGGAGACTAGAGTCCACAGAGGTTATGTACCATATTTAGTTGTGAGTATGAAGCTGGGAAGTTACCATTCACCCCCCTGGAGAATTGGAAGAGGGAAGCGTGCCGTTTCGATAACTTTGCGCTGGAGATCATTGTACGTAGTGGCGTTCTTAGCGCCCCTAGAGCGCCCCAAAAAACCAATTAGTACCCTCTACCATCACCTACCAGCTTCCTATCCAGGGAAACATACCAAAAGTTTATCTCTCCGATCCCTCTCACCCCCACCACAGAATCAAACTTCGCCAATCGCCCCTCACCATCCGATATCTCGGTGAACTTAAACAGATGCAGATGCTGAGCCAGTTCTTCTACGGTCATCTGGTCGAGGATACCATCCAGGAACTCATCTTTTGATTTCCCGGCGGTGCTGCCCCAGGGATATGAGGTTGAGTTCGAGTATGTCGCATTTTGTGCAGACACCAGTGAGAGTATCTGCGCTGCGAGTAGGCCGAAGGCTACGTATCGTGCCATCTTGGAAACTTGGTAGTATGTAGCTCCTGGGGAGCACTAAACTGGTGATAGTTTGAAAAAATATTGACTGGTGAGCATGATATATAATATAGCTCTTGAGATTTGCTCACGTCTAGTATAAATGACATCATGAAACCCGATGCGTACGCCTAGCTACGGTAGCTTTCTTTACTAGTGAAAGCTGTGTTACAGGAATATGGGAGGAACTTTAACTTCACTCCGGCAATCCCTCCACCCTCCGGGGCTGCAAAATGTGGGAATCGGTGAAGTACTCACTGCTCACAAAATCTAGTATCGGAATAACCAAAAATCTACGGTGTTCGGACTATCTTACGGTCCGATATTATTATTCGGGCAATAATCCCTGTTACTACTTCCTTCACTTGTGGTTAAACGCGATTGATGTCCTAACCTGCCTAGTGCAACCTCTGATATGTATTCACCAGATGGGAGGCTCGGAGGACGGGCAAACCCCCGGGGCCCCGCTACTCGGGAATGGGGGCCAGGCCATTTCTGATGAAGGCCGATTTTTTAATTAACACGCGAGTAATTTAAGGTTTATGTGGGGTATGGGGTAGGATGAATCTTCGAGTGATCGGCTGTGATGCAACGGGCTCCGACGACACTTTTTCCCGCGAGCTTCCTTTTCGAGTTAACAGGGTTTCTGCTACCCCGGTTATTATACTGTACGGGAATGCCTTTTAAGGAGATATTTATCAGCCAGCACATAAAGAACGAGAGACACCTTGCTGTCTCTCAGGCTCGTTCTTCCAAAGACGTGCTAGCTCAAAGAGGGGTTTTGCCAAGAAAGTCTATCACTAGTCCCCGACTCCCCGCAATTGTAGCCGCCTTGGCAGGAACTCCACACCCGGACGATCAGCTACCTAGCTCGCCGATTTTGGGTCCACATTGTCTTCGTCTCTTTATCCCCATTCAGGATGAGTATAACATCGGAGTCCCTAGACTGTCAGTTATATCCCACAATTTAGCCCGTACGTACCAGGCACTGCGCCAAACAGCACTTAGTAGTTTTCCTTTCAAACGCCAGAACGAAAATCGGGTACCGGAAGACCTTGAGATCTTGGGTCTTTTGCTTCTTCTGACTACCTCCTCCCTGGACGGAGGGTACCTACCGACATCCTTCAGCCAAGGTTGTGGGGACTGAGGTAACACCAGCAGGGCTAGAGGCGGGAACTCAATTTTCTTTTTCTGTTAATTTCACTGATCGCGAAACGGCTTGCATGAATTCGTACCTGTCAAGAACTTTGCAATGACCATTAGGGATGGCAATCACTACGGGTAATCAAAGTCGTCAATTGTCCCAAAGGCCAAAACTATGGGTTCTATGATGATAGTTAATTATAACTTCTGATTGTATCGCCGCTGAGGGTTGGGGAACAGGTAGTCGATGATAGATGCGTAGTGTTCTTTCAGCCCTCATATATCTGTGTTATCACGGTCGTGATTGTAGGCACTGGATTTATGGCCGACAAAAGTTTTCATATCATGCGGTTCTTTGTCTACGTATACATTAATCTCTCAGATTGACAACATCCCGATGGAAGGAACCCCGCGTATACCTAAGTAGGATAACATCGTGGCCTCTGGAAACAATGAGGTGGCCTTTAATTCACTTTCTCTTTATATATCTTAGATCGAAATAACCTTTGCCTTTCAAAGACTCTCCAGCTTTAAGCATTCCAGAGTTTCTTTAAAGTCGTCCATGAACGGAAACGCCCCTCCAGCCTGCACTCTAGGCTTTCAGCTATATATCCAGGATCTAGGACTCCATATTTGAATTCAATCATCACAATGAATACCATTATTATATCGGAGATATAATGCAACGGATATTTGCTCACTATATCCTTCGTCACCGGTATAATTTAACATGTATCATTCGGGCCGACTCGTACGTTTTGCCGGAATATAGTGTACCTGACATAAACTCCATGTATCAGTCCCGGAGAAGACTTGAGGTACGCAGTAACTTAAGACCACTCTTTGATATATCCTCAATAATTCCTTTCAACCAGTCAGTAATAACCATATTTTCTTCCTGTAGACTCAACCCTCGCCAAGCCATACCAGTCAGTCTCCATGCAGCCACCATGCACAGGCAGCTGCAGGGCTTATATAATTCTGCATACGCCAATGACCTACGTCCTCACTGGCAGAAACCTTCCAAACCTGTGCAAAACCACCTCACCAACCCTTCGTCTCAAGTCCTTCCCCCAGGAAAAATCACAACCTCTCTCCACCCGTACATACAACACGGCCATGGTGTCTCTAACGCGAAGCTCCGACAACCTCGACCTCCTCCTCTATGACGCCGCGGCCACACCTCTCATCGAGCCTCCCGCACCCAGCAACGCCAGCCTCTCGGAAATCCTGTCGGAGCTCGCACATCTCATCAACGAGCGGGAAGCCGCCAAACACACCCCCGTCGACGACGACAACAACGAGGACGAGGCGCCCCAGTATGATCCTGCGGTGATTGGCCAGCTCGAAACTATCACGTCGGAAATGCAGACTATGAATAACCGCCTGAGTAGAGCAATATGGCAGATGGACAACGGCTTTGACGGCGTGGGTATCAGAATGACGAGGTTGAATAATAGGTTGTGCGCTATTGAGAATGGGCTCAAGAGCTTGAGGGAGGAGCCGGGAGGGAAAGTGCTGGAGAGGGCGGCGCTGTAAGTTTTGGTCCTGTTTGGGGTTTGAGTGCGGGGGGGTAGTTGGTTGCTGTTGCTACTGCTGTTGATGCTAGCTAGCTGCCTGCCTGCCTATCATATGCTATGTACATATACTGACTGACAAATAATAGCGAGCACAACCGCCGCGCTAGAATTCATAACAGTCGTGTTAAATCGCAGGAAAAACTGATGCCCATGCACACGCCTCGAAACGTTCCGGTACCAGGCTTTACCGCCGACACGCCTTACAAGTTGGCAAACGAGCATCAAAACCGTTAGAACTCCTCCTCCCCCTCGAGTATTTTCCAAATAAGCTGACCAAAATAAAAATACAGAGGACAAGATAATTCAGTGGCTCGACGCCCTTGGTCTGGATACCGAGAGAAAGGGATGCCATATGCGGTTGACAGAGTTCGTAGGAGTGCCCTGGGACAGAGTTTTAGACAATATGGAAGTCTGGCCAAAGGGTGCTAGCTACTAAGCTACATGTAGGTTGTTCTATATTGCTTGCTACTGCTTGGTACTGGGAGGAGTTTTTTGTGCTTTTTGGCTAGAATTGATTTTGGGCTTGGGACGGGGTTTGCACACACTGGCGCAGGGGACTTTTGTATGAAATAGCATTCGTTTATTGTATGAAGCCAGGAGGATTGGCGGGGGGGGGGACGGGGACTGATCAAGAGCCCGGACATTTTTTCTTCTTTTTTGTGTAACAGAATAAATAATATATATATTTCGTCCTAACTAAACTGCTACACACTCGCGGAGAATTTGTACGTTTCTGGGACAAGGGTCATACAGGAGATGTTGGGTGCCACGGGCTGCGATTGGTTGGAGCCGTATCAGAGTGATATAAGTGGCTGGTGATAAGGGCAGGAAGTGCAAAACGCTGTAATTCGATCATCCTGGTTTCGTTCTCAATGCCTAGCTATGTAGCTTTCATGTATTTGCATTCCGGCTGGGATCTGAGACGCCAGGACGTCTAAAATATATGCTCTGTACCTACTCTACCTAGACCACGTTGTTTGGGTGCTCCACAGCTCCCCCGCAATGCAGGTGGTGTTGCTCAGCTGACACAACCGAGTTGGTACTCTATTTCCTAGTCTAGCCGGCTGGGCTTTACCTGAATATGCAACGTCCAAAAGCTGAATGCTGTCGTCCTAGTTAAGGGCCAAGGCCGTACGCGTCGATCCAGTACGGTGCCTGGCACCTTAATAGTACCCACCCACCAAGTTGGCTCCCCGTCATTACCCGAATTCTATAACTCATCACATTCCGGTTCTCTAGCTCTCTGCATATAGCTACATGCAATTTAACTTTAGGGAATGAAACACCACGAAGTGCCAATGTCTGCGGGCAATCCCCTTCCTCCGGGTACGGGGTCGAGAACCGAGTGATATGCTGTGATCATAATTGAAGAGGGTCGGGGTTTGGGAATATAATTCGAGTTGGGGTATAGCATTCGAGATGGGTCTTGCGCCAGTAAAAGATACCGGCTATGGCCTTCAGGTATATACATGTAATATTATGCCCAGCGGTCGTCGTGGGGTTGGAATATGTCAGGTATATAGTCGCAGCTAGCTGGTGTGGGAGAAGACGTATATGTAATTGGCTAGTTCCAGTTTCTACTGTAGGTGACTCTCGTTAGAGTTCGATTGTGGCACCGGCTCCCGGGGTGGTGGCGGGGTGGTGGATGCGTCGGTCCGTCGGGAGTCTACTCTAGACCAGGTATGTTCGCAACATAATCTATATTCGTAAGTGGCGTTTACCGAGTGAGAATCCATGATTGACACACGCACCACAACAACATAGACCTGCGCCAGAGCATCAACACCGCCTATGAGAGCTACTTCTCAGATTCAAAGCCCTAACTACATGTACCTCCTATAGTGACTACTGCCGGTATACGAACTACAACACGCCAGGGGAGCAACACCAAGTCGAAAGTGCTACATAGTCACGACCACCATGGCCACCCGCGCCGGGCAGTCACAAAACAGACCAGAGAAAGCCCTCCCGGAAAGACAAAGCAGCTATACCGGCGGTTGAGGCCCTTTGTGGCCTGGCGCGGCGGGTGGTGCATCGTCTCAAGTAGCGAGGGGTGCGCCGGGCGCTGGTGGGGTGAGTTGAAGGGATGGGATCGATGGAGATGCGGTGCGGTGTTGGGGTGAGCTTCGTCTCTGGGTCGATATGTATAGACGTCTGGACGGGTGTTGGGAAGACTGGTGGGGGTACTATCAGTAAGCTCGAGATCGAGGGCAGGAGATTCAGCGCTGCTGCAGTGTTGTGTAAGTTTACACACCAAAGCGTGTTTGACGAACACAAGTAAAGTGTGCTAAAAGCGTGTTCAAAGTGTGTTGGTATCAATACAAGCATCTATGCTATACATGTTGTGTTAGTTCTGTGTTATTCGTGTGTCGGAAGTGCGTATACCAATTGTGCCAATCCCGGTGAGAGTAGGTTGCCTTTGTGTACGTGTCTTTGTGGGCTCGATGCCAGTATTATTATCAGCATAGCTACGGGTATTAGTGCATGCTGATGTCAATATATTTGTGACTATTTTTGTTATGAGGGTAATGAGTATGCTTACGAATATTAGCATCGATATCGAGTATGAGTATTTTTGTGAAGATAATGAGTACGATTTATGAGTATAATTATTAGTGTTAGTACGTAAACAGCAAAGATACCAGCACACATTAATTGAGCTACTTGATAATAGTGTAGTGTGGAGATCTAAGACAACAAGAGTAGTTATTACGATGCTATGCTATTTCATCATCATTTCCTAAAAAAATAAAGCCTATGGTACAGGAAGCAGGAAGAGCCAAGAATAAGGAGGAGAAGAAAAATAACAGGAAGAAGGACGGGGTATCTACTCTATATCCATTTTATCAACCTCCTCCTCTTCCACCACCATCTTCTCCCCCTCCTCCCCCTCCTCCCCCTCCTCCCTCTCCTCCTCCTCCCCTTCTTCCTCCTCCCCCTCCTCCCTCTCGCCCTCCCGCTGCGTCGCCACATCCGCATCCCCCACCTCCACATCCCCCTCCGCCCCGACCCCCTCCTCACTTTCCTCCCCCTCCTCCATCTCCTCCTCCGCCCCCGCCCCCACACTCGGCGTCATCCCCGCCGGCGTCGCCGCACCACTCTCCCCCCACCACCCCCCACAACCTTCAACCCCCACCCCCCACCCCGGCCCCCTCCACCTCCTCGCCCTCCTCCTCCTCCGACATGCCCTCGCGCCGGTCCTGCTCGTCCTTGTCCTCTTTGATTTGAGCCCACATCTTCTCGAGCTGGTCAACGATCTGACCAAACTGTGTGCGCCGCGCAGCCCACACGGCGCGGTAGTCCTCGCGCTCGCGCTCGAGCGCGCTGATCTCTTTGTGTAGCCGGTCGAGGTTTACCGTCTGTTCGTCGCGCGCTTTGAGGCCCCCGTGCGCAGGATGTCGGTGGCGATCGCGTCGTAGAGGAGCTTGTTGGCTTTTTCGTTCTGGGTTTTTTGCAGTGTGGTGCGCAGGGAGATGAGGGTGCTGCGGGCGGTGGAGGCTGTTTCAACTACAGTATGCCGGGGGGTGTTAGTTTTCGTTTGTTAAGCAGAGGGAAGGAAGAGGGGGGAAGGGGGAGCTACGGATATCGCCCTTCTCCTTCTCGTAGCGCTCGACCTCGCGGCGGTTGGTGTCCTTGAGCAGCTGGATGCGCGTGATCACGCTCTCAAAGTACTTGAAGTCGGTGTCGATGTCGTCGCGCAGGCGGGCGGCGGCGTCGGGTGTTAGTGGGGTGTCGGGGGTTGTGAGGCTGCTGCAGCGCTTCACGAGGCGGTTGTAGGGGCGGGCTTCGTGCGCGAGGACGCGGGCTTTGACGAGTGCTTCTTCTGTGGGGCGGGTGTTAGTGGGTGTCTAGATGAGGGTGGAGGGAGCGGAGGGGGAGGGTACCATCTTCGGGTTGGGTGTTGGACATGGTGAGTGTTGTGTGTGTGTGTGTGGGATTGGAGTGAGAGTGTGAGATTTAGAGGTTGGATGGATGGAGGGTTCGGCGGGGGTAATGATCGTGAGAGAGCTCGGAGGGTTTGCGCGGCGGTGAAAGTAAGTCTTAGTAGCTGTGTAACATCGAAGGACTAGACACACACAGCCAACTAGGCCGGATACAGACACGGCTGTGGCGGTGCCAGCGGTCGAGCCCGCACAGCCACAGCCACATGCAGCCATTGAATCATTCAGACGAGACTGCGAAATCTTTCGTCTTTCAGCAACGTCGTCTTCTCTCTCTTCTCTCTCTTCCCACTCTCTCTCTCTTCTATTGCATCTCAACCTCTTCTTCTTCTTCTTCTTTTATCTAGCAATAGATAGATAGTCATCTACATAGCTATCTGCACCCCCCCCCCCCCAGGATAAATGCTCTTGAACCATTAACCCTCTATCTAGCCCGCTATATCTATCCTTCTCTCCCACACATATATACTACCTACATCTAAGCTCTCCAATAACACAATGCCGACCCCACAAGGTCCCGTCAAGAGCCTCTACGCACTCTGCAAAAATGTGCTCATAAAATACGTCGACAGTGCGTCCCCCCCCCCATCTCCCCCCCATCTCCCCCCTCTTAACACTAACCCCCTCCCCCCAGCAATCGACGACGTCGGCGACATCGACTACCACATCCTCCGCCCCATCCTCCTCAAGATCACCACCCCCAAGCAGCTCAAAAAGCTCGAACTCAACTGCCCCCACCTCCTCCCACACACCTCCGAGATCTGGCACAAGCTCATCACACGCGACTTCGGCGCCTCGGCGCTCTCCAAGCGCTCCCCCCCCTCCAGCAACCCGCACGCCTGGGCCCGCGTCTACGAGAAGCACCTCAGCGACGCCGAGGCCGCGTCGGCCGCCTCCGCAAAGACACTCCGTGAGCAGATGAGCTCCCTTAACAACGCGAAGGCCTCGCAGCGCGCAAAGATCGTCTCGAATACGTCGGGCTTGCCCCCGACGGGGCGCAGGCCGGGCTCGGGCTGGGGCAGGCCCAGTGATAGCTGGGCCGTCAAGGCGGGCAGTAAGACGAAGAATATTGTGCAGAAGGCGCGCAGGGAGGCGAAGGAGGTGGGGAAGTTCTTGGGAAGGAATAGTCGTCTGGCGGCGCCGACGCATACGCTGGGCCGCGCGGAGGTCAGTCGCACGATGAGGGAGAAGATTAAGGATCCCGTGGTGCTGCCGGAGAGGGAGGTTGTGCAGAGTGCGGCGGCGGCGGCGGGGGAGAAGAGGAAGAGGGAGGAGGGGGAGGGCGGGGATGTGGATGAGAGGACGAGGAGCTGGATTGGGGGCGGCGCGAAGAGGGTCGCTGTGGGCAGGTTGAATAGGCCTGGTGCGGCTGGGGTGGGAGCCGCGGGCGCGCAGCAGCAGCAGGTGAGGCAGAGAGTTGAGGCGGACCCATTTATGAGACGGAAGCCGGCGCAGGGGGCGAGGAGGTAGGTAATTGGCTAGTTAGATAGATATGTGGCCGATCTGTAGGCCGAAGGGGGGCAGGGCTTGATATCTTGCACCCATTTTCGTAATTTCTGCTACTCTTTTTTTTCCCTCTCTCTCTCGTGTTCTTTGGTATATTGGCGTGTGGTGGTGCTAGTGTGATAGAGGATCTCTCTTCTTTTTTTTCCCTCTCTTTCGATTTTTCTGCTTCTTGTTAGTATCGTTTGTGTTGGTTGGTCAACAGAATGTATGGCTGTAGAGCTATGTTTTTATAAATATTGAATTAAACTATTTGCTTCTTAAGGTGACTTGGTTGGTAGTGCGGAGGTATACTGGGGAGTTAACTAGTAGTGCTGATATGTATTTGTGGGTTAATAGCGTGCTTCCGCCTCTGCATTCTCAATGTAATGCGGTGAATTGTAGCTGAGATCGAGATCTAGTATGTTAATTGCTGCGCTGGTAGCTCACTTCCTGTAGATAGTAACTTCATCAGATAGAGGGACTATTTAGAGTGCGAGGTAGGTTTCTTTCTCTCGGGGCCTTTGATTGTTCCCTTAGATTTTTTTACTGGTGTTGGGCTCGTTCGTCATAGATGATATAAATCGTCGAGTTCAACTAGCTAGTAGAAATGATGAATTAATGAATTAAACAAAAAAAAAAAAGCTAGTAGAAATATAATCATGGGATATCACTCGGTTTTATACTGGGGGAAGCGGGTAGGGGATATCGGGGATTTGTAATCTCTGAAGCCCACTATGCACGTACGAGTTGACTCTGCAGCTGTGTTAGGTGTAAACGGGTGATGTTTGATGTTTGATGCTTGATGCCCCGCCCATGCCACCTGTCCAGCTGGATCTCCCGCAGTGTAAATTACAAAGGGGCCAAGTTCCCCATTATAGGGGTTAGGGGTGGAGAGATGGTATGTCATGGAATCTCTACCTTACCATTTGGAATTGCCCGCTTCGAAACATGTGTATGGGCTTCAAGACATCGCAGGACTGGCTGGTGCATGATAGTGAGTTTATGCTCCTGCCTGCTAGGCTCCCGTCGGGGCAGCGGGGAAAAAAGCTTAGACACGGAGGATAATGGCGGTTGGTTTGGGCGTTATTGGTCTTGCGGGGCTCGGTTAAGGGTGATTTTTTTGGATTTTACTTTCTTGCGAATCTATACTTGCTTTGTTTGTTGACTTATGTTGAACTGGCGGTGGACGGAGGGAAGTTCCAGGGATAAGGTTTGTGCTGGATGACGCTGGGCGGTGGAGACCAGTGAGCGTCGTAGCTAATTACAGACTACATATAAATCAATCAGTTCTGTCGAGTCTCCTCACTGGCCGGAAATGTGACAGTTTGGTTTGGGCTGGTCATGGGTTATCACTCGCTCCAGCAGACATTTTTTTTTTTTAATTCATTAATTGTATGCAGGCCGTGCTCCAGCAGACATCCATTGGTGGGTTGAATGACATCAGATTCAAGCTGGCGCTATTGAGTGGGCTGACGTACGGACTATAAATGTGATATATAAGGCTCGCGCAAAGGGAGGGGGTGGGGGGGGGGGGGGGGCTCTAGCTGGCGAGTGTGCTTCGTTGTATGTTTTGATCTTGGCATATTTACCTACATCCATAAAAGTGAGATCGAGAGCCTGCCTTGTTCAATCACCTCCCTCAGTGTCCACATCTCTTATCAAGTGGTGTGGAGACGACACCGATTGCTAACCACACAGCTCCGCAGTTGTCTACATTTGTGCCGCACAACTTGCACACAAAGGGGGCACGGTGCGTGCAGTGCGAAACCTATGCCACTGTGGTTTATCTACCATTCTCGTGGGAGACTTTGGTGCTGGTCAGGAACCTAGCAATATCCAGACTGCCCCAGTCCCTGAATCCCTATCGGACACAGTGAGGTCCCGGGAGACAGCCAGAGACAAACGCTATTTGTGGCAAATAATTGCTGTTACCGTTGAAAACTACGCTGTTGTCAACGTTTATCGTTTAGTTTAGACGTAGCTCCAAACTAAGTATCTACATCTTGTTCTCTAGACTATACCTATAAAGAGGGGCCTTCCTTCCCTCTTCGGTCTTATCATCAGCTCTCGTACACGATGGACTTCGCTCATCGGTTCCCCGCTTCCCTAAAGACAACCACTACATGGAGCTGAGCCTGCACATTGTGAATGAACATCACCGGTTATACTACGGGAAGACCAAATCACACAAACGTGGACATGTCCCAGGACACAGGAAAATCTAACGCAGTAAACCTTTTACCAATATCTGCTACTACCGTCTCCAGAAAGGGCCTGACGGTAGAGGCGTTTTTAACCAACTAGAATATAGCACAAACGCAAGATGCCCCATTCTTGTGCAGTTGCTCTATCAGCTACCGGTAAAAGTATAGAATACTTGAGCAAGGATGCATTATTAACGATGTAATGTTACCTAACCGGCCACCAGTTATGTGGCCAAGACTAGCCCTCGATGTACCAATCTCAATTGTGAGTTGAGGCTTTTATTTTACAAACTTTCTGCGCCGCGATCCTTACTTCGTCTGTCACAGAAAGAAGAGATAACATCTATAAGAAACCAGTTCTTCATACTGCTTCTGTACAGATTCACTTTTCCAGGTTGATCTCGAACACCCAGATCTGAGTATCTCGCCTCTCGGATGGTGGTTATATAAACTAGGTTCACAAAGATGACCGAAATACAGAGGTATTTATGTCTCTCAATAGTATTGTTCACTTCCGTTGCACATTTTAGTACGTCATTTTCAGTCTACAGTTACACAAGGTAGCAGCTACTACTATTTAGTACTAAGCTGAATCTCAATTGGATGATGATGGGTCATACGAATACAACCCTTGAAGCCTATGGTAATTCGTGTATGCATGGTAGCTTGGTAACAGGTCCCAAGGGTATTCTGAGGTCCAGGTCCCATTGACCTAATTTCACTTCTTTTGTCACTGACACCGACACATATCGGGTCACAACCTCTCTGGTTTGACCCTCCTACATCTGCCAAGGTTTCTATCACAGGGAGTCACTCGACGTCAAAGCACAGCCAAACAATCTTTAACGCACCGTTATGGGGATATCTTTGCACGTATGTGGGGGTCACTAAAGGCCAATATACATCCAGAATCAGATCGGAAGGCCACAGCCAGGTTGAACCTACATGCATGATGTAGTGTGAACAAGATATATTTTCTGGGCAGAAGCAGGTATGGACTTGCTTCGATATAGTGAGTTCGAGGCTCATGAGCGCAGCATGATATCAGCGGCCCTGCACTGCAGTGCCCACTCTAAACCTTCCTATAGCGGCAAGATTCCTCAGACTCGTTATCAGTATCGACGAACCATATGTCCGTTTCCACTCTACTCGAGCGGTCACAGGGCTCTCTGCAGTCAAACAACCTTGGGAGGGGGGGGGCTCAAACGGCTTCACATTGGTCGATAGGAAGATTTGAGCCTGGGCTATGCGGGCTATGACATAGATAGAGACTCAGTAACGGTTTATGTGAGATATGGAGAGACCGGCGCTATCCCTATAAGGAAGAGGATACCACAAATGAGGTAAAAAGTGTTTACTTCGTATTCCTGCATGTCTCGAGCTATGCACAGGAGGACAGGGAGGGGTCCAAAGCCGAGAAAAACCAACATTGGCCTGTTATATGGAAACACGAGCACACCCACTCGCTCTATTCGTGAAGATATTGTCCACTAGGAGGCCGGCTTTGTCTGCGCAAAGCTGTCAGCTGGGCATTGTCAAGGATGGCTTGACTTTGGAGACTGGGACATATATGATTGATCGAGATATGTATTTTATCTATCAGGGCTTAGATTCTTTGATCGATGGAACGAACTTCCATATATACTGTAGTGTGGGTTTGGGTTTTCCTTAAAAGCCTCAAACTGTGGGATTTCATTTCAAGGCCGATTCCCACCAAATCTTCTGATTATAACTACAGCTTTTTGAAGAGCTCTTGTTTGCTTTAGGAGAGGGTTACAATTATAATAAAGTCTGCAGGGCGATAATAATAGGCCCAGGAGCGAACAAGCAAGAAACTGGAACGGAGAATCATTGGCTCACAAATCTACCTACTGGATATGGTCAAAGAATGAAGGTTTAAGTTAGCCTGCGGGGTAAATAGGAACCAAAAGAGGAATCATGCCGTTCATTTAAGCTAATTATGGAAGAGCAGAAGACTGATGGATATGATAGATGTTGAGTTGTGTTTATTCAATATCGCTCTCTTGGGGTATCATTCATGCGTTCCGACTGTTCTGAAACGCTAACCGTCTCCAAGGTACCCCCCGATGTTTTTATTAGTAACAAGTGTATGTACACCTGAGCACGAGTGCTATCGAGTGAAACGAGGTGGGAGGTATTTACCCGGTTGGGTTGACTGTCCATGGGGGACTATCTACATGTAGTTACGTGTAGGGTAGGGGCTGTAAGAGTGATTGCTTACCTACATGTTTCCTGGGCATGACGCTCTGTTTCTGGCCGACAGAACATACCATCCCCCTGCAAGCGCCAGAAGAGGGTAGGAATTATGTTTACCTATCGGAATCCCATTGTAAGCGCGAAGGTCTCGCCACCACATGTAGCCAGCCCCTAGCCCATAGCTCCGATCAAGCTGAACCATGATCCAAAGTCAATCGACCACCTATCCATCCCCTGTAACTCACTTAAACCCTACACCGCCCACTCTCTCAAGAGTAAACAAATAAGTAAATAAACAATCGCCACCTACGTACACTTAAGTGCCCATCAACAGTATCTGCCACTCTCTCCCACCACAAAACAAGCGACCCCAACCACAGGCCAGAACGGTGCTACCCGAGTGAGACCTCATGAAGCCACGACTCGCCAAACAGCAACTGATAGGCTAAACCTAACCGCCCATCACATTCCCGTCCCTGAAACTCACCCCCTGAGCGTCTAACTCTTCTAACTATAACACCCCGTGTTTCGCACAATATGGAAGAGAGCCCCAGAAACAACATTGCGAGCGAGTGATCCGCTCAGCTAGGGCCAGGGCAAGGGGATGGATGAGATGGCCAAAGGGAGAGGGAGGGGGGGATGATGATGCGGGAAGTGTGATCTTTAATTTTACCATACATAGATACCTACTTATCACAGAGCACCCTCCGAGAGTCCGCACCCTCCTTCCCTGCCATGCGCAACGCCTTGTAAGGCCTGCCCTACCTACCATACCCCCCATACCGGTACCTCCCATACCTACATCTCTAGCTCTACCAATATCAACTGCGCATACGCCGCCGCCTCGCTCGCTTACCACAAGCGACGAGAGGACGAGAGCAATAGTGTTGGTAGAGAAGGTAGGGGAGGGGGGAGGTCCAATTTCTAATCTTGCGCAGCAGGGCCGAGATTATTGCGCTTGCAGTTGCAAGTAAGGGGATTGGGTTGGGCCTGCAGCTGGCTGGCTGGCTGGCTGGCGAGACGAGATTGACAGCGGAGATAATGGGACCGGGTTTTTGATATTTTTTTTCACGTGGAGAGAGAAGTGGGGGGGGGGGGGTGTAATTACGTAGCGAAGAGGGGGGGTCGCTGTTTTTTTTCTGTAAGAACATAGTTGAGTAGGTACATGTAGGTATAGTAGATGGTATTAGATTGTGTTATCGTAATGTATCTATCTGGGTTTCAAACTCAAACTGTCCCGATATCGATAGGTCGATACCCATTCCAACGGCGTGGGTTTACTTTTTTTTTCTCTCTCTTTATTTTTTCGAGGGGCAGACAAACGGACGTTTAGAAGTTGTCTGCCTGTTGCCCAGGCTGGGACCCTGGGGGCTACCTATATGATATTATATTATATTACCGTCGATGTTGTGTGGGGAAGGAAGGGGCCGCTGTCGCCATTCAGAAAGGGAGATAGCAGACGTCAACTACCCCACCTCAGTCGAATTTGCCTCTCCTTGCTTCCGCTTTCAAATGGGGCCAATATAACCTGCTTCTATGAAGAGGATATAATATGAATAAATAAATACAAGACTTATAACTCATTTCCTTCATGGTCCACGCAGCAGCTGAGTTATCTAGCTTCATAGGTAGCTACATGTATGTAGGCTGGTGATATGCGTAGCAAGTGGATGTAGTTAATATAAACATAATACAAGTAATACTTAATGATACAAAAGGAAACCATTTTTTTAGTCGTAAAAAAGAAACGGCATAAAAAAGAAGCAATGCAACTATATAAATAAAAAAACAGATAAGCGAATACTTTTACTTTTCGTCTCCATTCTCTCCCATGCTTGCAGATAAAAAACAGAGGCTAGAAATAAAGAAAAATAAAGAAAAACAGTGAGAATCTAGGCAACTTTGATCGTCGCTAAAACTCTCAGATGCTCGCTTTCCGTGACTTTTGTACGTAGCTGCTGCCATCCTAAACCAGCCATCCAAAAGTGTATGCCATGCAAAGTCGTCTTCGCTGAGTCTTCGACCCACTCTCACCCGACCAAATAATAAGTCGCTTGCTCAGAACTCTAGAACAAAGACACTGTTCTATGAAAAACAGAATCTGGTAAGTATAGGTAAGACCAAAAAAAGACAGAACCGCTGGTATGCAATCCTCGACGCTAGAGGTTAAGAACGGTTAAGAAAAAGGACGAAGAAAATATTGTACAAAAGAAACTCGTGGATCCCGTATAGAAGAAACTGAATAGAAGGACAAAACATATACAGTGGAGAACTTAGGATGATTGGGTGTGAATGAGAAGTGGTGTATGCGTGTTGGTACATGTATATAACCATCCGTTGTGCAATGGATAAGTTTCCTGCTAAAGAGTTTAAAAATTACCCTAAACAAGAGGAGTATAAGAAAGGGAAATGGAATCGTGACAACCACCACCCCAAATACACACCCCCATGACCCATTTTTGGAATGCAACAAGAAAGGGAAACATAGAAATATACAAGATTTCACTCAGGGCGGAATGTAATGCTTCAAAAGCAATTGAACAGACTGCCGAAAGGAAAAGAAGAAAAAAAATAGACGCTTCCAAAACCGATCAATGAATGCCCAGACCCCGGCGTAAATAGTGAAAGAATTTGTTGAAGAGAAAAAAAAGAATGCTATGAATGGTAAAGGAGCTCCAAAGATGCTGCTTCCGAAAGTCGATAACCGAATGTTGTGAAACCGACTATCTGGCTGAAAAAGGTGGATGCTAAAGGAAAGTGTAGAAAACCAGACCCATTTCACGAAATCCAAAACGAAGGACCCAAAACATTAAAAATCGCCATTAATGAAACTCAAACGCCATGCCAATATAACTGTACTTAAAAGGATGCCATCCGGCGAGGGTCGCCACGACTTTTTGAATTGAATGAAAGCAGCCCTTCTGAATCCCTGGAACAACCCCCAGAGGAGCGCTTTCCAAAACTGGGGCTACCATCGAGGACCTGTTTAGCTCCAAAGGTAAAGCTTTGAGTCCGGCTGATCTTTCCACGTTTCTGTTGAAGTTTGGCCATTTCCCTTTCGCATGTCTGGAGATGAGAAGAGTCCTTCATCTGAACGTATTGCTCCGGCTCGCATCGAACACGGTACTGGTTAAAAAACGAGCAATAACCGCCCTCAAGAATATAGACATCAGGGTAGTAGAGCGCGGGGTATCGCTGCATATTCAACTGCCTATCACGACTGCGAAGATGAAGAGCCCTGAAAAAATCTGTGAGTAAAAGGCGCGAGGAGATATTTCAAGACACAGCCGAACTTACATCCTAGGAGCACGATGGGCGGAAAATTCACAATGGAAAATGATGAGCAACTTCTCGGTTCTGGGTCTTTTGAAGAACATATTTTCCAAAGCTTCTGTTGAATTAACGTTGACAGCGCCTGAAATGTGGCCGCCTTCATACTCATACTCAAAACGGCAATCTACGACCATGAGTTCATCGTACTCGTCTTTGTACTGGCCATCCATAACTTTGCAAAGTGTAGCTTTATCAATGCGCCTCAAAGTATCCTCCTTACTAGTGAAGCAGGGGAGAATTGATTTTTCGCCAGGTGAATCTTTGATGGGCGATAGCTCTGTGCCCTTTGTACGGACATTCCGCTTCATAAGATCATCGGGGTTATCAAACATACTCAAGGTCCTCCTGATCTTTCCCCTGGGACGCTGGAACTTGTGGCGGTGAAGTGGAGCAATTGGAGATCCATCGAGACTAGTTTTTGTAGGGCCGGCATCTTTGGGAAATCCCTTGGACTTGGACTTTGAAGACACCAGTGAAAGTGGCGCGCCTAATTCCCTCTTATTTAATTCCTTCTGTTTCCTTGGGGGAGGCGAACACGCAAACATATCCTCTAACTTGGTAGAGGATACGGTTGGAGATTTTCGAGGAGAGCAAGCAAATAAGTCATCTAACTTAGTAGAGGATACCGCGGGAGATTTTCGAGGAGAACAGGCAAATAAGTCATCTAACTTAGTAGCGGATACCGCAGGAGATTTGCGAGGAGAAGAAGCAAACAAGTCCTCCAATTTAGCAGAGGATACTGTAGGGGATCTTCCGAAGAGACTGGATGTCGAGAGACCAGAAAGGGCTTTAGCATTGATAGCTTTGAAGGAAGTACTGCGACTGTTATGTTTCAGGAGTGAAGGTCTAGTGAAATTAGATGACTTCTTACGTCTGAAAATTCAATATTAGCAAGATATTGACTTTAAACCAGATTCCATGAGCATACTCAACAGGGGCTTCAAGTTTTTTAGTAAGATCCATTCTCGGGATATCCGGTGTTGGAGTGGAAATAGGATCGGGACCAGGTGGACTTGAGCACAAGCTCATCGTGCGACTCAAAGAGCGGGACTGGTTCTTTGTGCGGGCTTCTGTTGGAGACGAGGGTACCATCAATGATGCGGAAAAAGCGGGCTTATGAGGTAATGGAGACAAGTCCATATTTTCGTGACAGGGCGATGAGGATGGGATTACAGGAGTTGTTGGCAATGCTGCGAATATTAGCTAAGAAAGTCTGTATGGGAGACGTTTTACACACCTCTTCCATTCTGAGCATTGGGCCCAAAAGGAAACAGAGAACGCCTCGGTGTTGGGACCTGAGGACTATGATTCTAGTTTAGCAAACAATCAACCCAAAATACAATGTCTTTCGGCGCTCACGTTTTGTCAATGTGAAAATTTTGAGTGATGTCCGCTACCAGCAATGATGTTGGAGATGACTCTTTTCTTCGCTCCTTCTCAAAACAACCTCTCGCCTCCGATCTTACCCCCACGCTAAGCTTTGGTCCAAATAATGACTTGCCAGTTGCATTGCTTGGGCGAGAAAACTCATTGCCGCCTATTGTCCAAGGTGTATGAGATGCAAAAGCGCCCTGCATACGGATAGGTGATGATGCTGCTTCGAATTCCATTTTCCGTCAAGTCTGAATACCCTCCTATGTGAACCCGGTGAAATTGGTGATTTCGAGGCGCACTTGAGGCTTTGCAGCTAATGTTGTTTATTCGATTGTTTATATTACTACCAGGCCTTGGCACGGTTCTTAACGTGTCCAATAAGTACCGAAATGATCCTCCTTTTTTTTTTTGGCGACGCAATTTCCAACGAAAACCCAGTATTATCGTAGAGATTTTCTAGTGCAATTAAGCATAAGAATTTCGAATAAACCTGTAGATAGGGTCAGGCTTCACTACGTGATCAAAGGTCCACTTAAGTTCACGGAGGTGGTGGAAGTGGGTCGTCAAGACGGTTTTTGACTCGAGATGTTGTTGATACTGCTTCTGCTAAATGCAGGTTCAGAAAAGAATCAAAGGAGGATGGATCCGGAGGGCGGTGAAGGGGAAGTAGAAGAAGAAAAAGAAGAAGAAGGAAGGAGTGAGCAGCCAACGAGGATGAGTCTCCACAGCAAAGAAGGACTTTCTGCACAAGCTGAGATGCTTATGTACAACGGGGGGTGGAGACGTCGTTACTGCGGCGACAGGCCTTGGCGTACTACTTTTCAAGAGTCCTTGCTTGCTGCTTCGGCTGAGACTGGTTATTGGTCACTGGGATCTATCCTTCGCGAGACCCACCAAAAAACTGCCTGGCTTGGCCTTCTTCCTTGCTGTCACTTTCACAGTTTCTTTATTCGTTGCTTCCTGTGTGCTTCCCTCTGCATGCATAAGTATGGGCAACGACTGGGTTCTGAGGATCCGATAGGTAGAGCAAACAAGATGGGTCCGAGAAAGGTTCAACAAGGGTAGGGGATAGGTTAACCCTCGTGAGTAGGGACCTGCTCATGAGACAGCAGCAGCAGGCAGCTATGTAGGTACTCTACTCTACTCTACCCACCATACAACTGTAGTGGGGGAGAGAGACACCGCCACTTGAGTCCGACAACAGCTTTACGAGTGACAAACTTGATACCAAATCCGGAAATTAATTATATCTATGAATGCTATTCTGGGATCTATCTTGACAAAAACCAGCCACCCAAAGAAGGAGTTCAGCATCAATTCCCCATGAGTAAATTTATAGAGATCACACACCTTAGGGTGGGGTTTTACTTCACTGCATCACGACGCGTTCAATACACGCTCACATGTGACATATCGCGAGTGGACTCCAGGGGCAGTTGTTCCAGGCCTCCCCATATATTCTTATTGTTATGGTTCATTACGCTCATACAAAGGTCATCCAGTAAAAGGATTATCTCCATGTACTTAGGCAGAGTAGAGTACCTACTCTACATGTAGGTACATGTACTGATCTAGGGTAGAGTAGAGAGCTCTACGAAAGTAGACCCCACGGAACTTCTCCGAGTACTGATCTAGAATACATGTACTCTAGAGCTAGAGTACTCTACTCTAGAGTAGATACATAACCCTAGACCGCTGTATGTATGTACATAAGGGTCTCGTCATACCCACGCAATTAAGAAGATCGTAGCTAGATCGTGACCAAGGCACAGACCATTTTGGGGTAAGCAGTGGCCCCTGCTTTTTCTTGAGCTCTTGTTTTAATATGATGAACTTTTATCAAGTAGCTACATACATACATGTAACTGCGTTGACTCCGCCTTGCATTGATTCTCTGTGTGTACTCTAGAGGCAGTTGTTACCTGCTGTATCAACGCTCACGTTTTGCAAGTGGTACATGGAATACTCCATAGGGAATTTTCTCGACGATGAAAACAGCCGGTCCCTGCAAGGTCCCATGCCGCAAGCCTCAGAGTACATAGTAATGGAATGGCCGCAGCGGCTGGCCACCAGCTAGAAATCGGAAAGAAAGCGGGGAGAGATGCGTGTAAATCGAAACGGCCTCTGAGCAAAGAAGTCTAAAATGTACCATATGGAATATTAAGACATACACAGAAAACATGAGACAGAAATCAGTTGACGTGATAGCTGATTATTTGATTATCAGAATCAATGAAATGTGGGGGAACGATAGGCTAATAGGTGGCACATCCATAAAGGGTGGTGCAGCATAGGATGTTTCCTCTCAACATCCTTCGCTGTCTAGGAGTAAGTGGGTGTTGGCAGGGCTGAATTGATCGCGGCAGCGGGTCTTTATCGGTTACAACCTTGTCTCAAACACTGTTCAGAATCCTTGTTATCGGCCGGTGTGAGGAGTTCCTAGCCAAGGAGGACGTTCTATTTACAAATAACACGTCCTGACTCGGAGACTCCACGCGTCATCTCGTGACTTCTCGCGCTAATAACCGGGACGCAGCATCATCAGTTTTCTTCAAGCATGGTAACCAATGCGAATGCATGTAAACATTCTACTAGAGAATCAACAAACAACGGGAGCAGGTATATATACATACTGTAGATTATGAAAAATTATGTACAGTCGCCCGCCGCTATAACGAACGTGCATATTGAGCAACTTTCCGCTCAGTATAGCAGATTATTCGGTACAGCAGACCAAACTCTTTGCCGGGGAGAAAAAAAAGCCAGCCCAAGTGGTTCGGTACATCAAATATTCGGTATACAAGCGTTCGCTACAACGGCGGGCGACTGTACTCTCTGAAAGTTCGACGGGAGGTGCTCTACTCGCGACCAGCAACAAGAACCCGAATATGCAGCTGCAAGTCTTTGGTGTATTTTTGACTTCTACTCCAATGGAAATTGCAGATTAGGACGTGCATTTTCGGGTTCTTGTTGCTGGTCGCGAGTATTTACAGAAGCAATCGTGGGTCTGCACCATATGCAACTCATACTTTCTTATCGTGGAGACTGCATAGGGCCGACAAATCGAAGACCCACAATTCTGCAGCGCTCGTTTCATTGAGGGTACCGAATAGCACCGGTAGCAAAGAAATGGGCAAGAGAGAATCAGCACCAGCAACATGTAGGTACATACATGTATGTACATACACAGCGCACACCACGGAAACAGTTCGATTCGACTAGAATAATCAATCGATAAACATAACACACCTCATCGAGGTATGCATCTGGACGTTCTTGTTTTACACAACTGCAGCAGTTCAGCAATATCAATGGAAATGGTTGTTGACATTACAAGTTAAGGAGGCTGAAGCCAGGAGGTTACTATGGTTACGGACCAGTAATTCCAGCAGTTGCCCGTTTTAAGATCATCCCGGCCTCTGAATTTTCTTAGTTGGTCTTCGTATGAACGGGTTGGTTTCACATAAAAAAGGCCTCAAGCTCAAGGAGGAGGCTCAACGCAAACAGCAGGAGTACATACAAGATGATCATCGCGAGATAACGTGATGTGACCCGACCCCACGTTTTTTCAGCCATCCAAACAATAAACAAAACAACGAGTCAGAGAAAAACTTGCCCCGCATCTTCATGCAGGCTGTTGATAGGTGAGACGGTATTAATATATGTTAGGAGATATTACGAAAATGAGGCCAACGCAGGTGCCACAGGTACCAACCTGCCTCCGTGGAGCTTTAGATCATAGTTATAATTTCTACATAAATACTCCACGGGACATGACCGAACTACATACATTGAATTGGTCTTTATTTTAATTTCTTTTATACTTTAATTTACGACCCTTGCTTCCTGCGGAGGGGCTCTGTTTCAACCCGTCTTTACACCAATCAATGGTCTTTCTTTCCAGGTTAACGTATCCATTGACAGCTCACCAAGGAGTAAAGTACCTACATGTACTCTACCTATGTAATCTCCACACGAAATTACTATCTGCATAAGGCCAGAGTATCTGTATGCATACCTACCCAACCTAACTTAAGCACCTGGAACCGTCACTGAACCATTCCTTTTGGGTCCGACCTTACATGCCTACTCTACTTTACATACATATATGCGTGACACGCTGTATCCGGTTTTTTCCTTCTCGATATGGATCGAGGGCATACGGTTGAGGATGCGCCATGCGGGTCTCAATTAACAACAGTCCCCCGTACCCTGGGTTCTGGAAACCCACCCACTGGAAGGGTGTCTAGGCACAGAGAGAGGGCTTTGCTGTCTCCTGACAGCTTTACATACGATATGAAATCGATATGATACTTATGTCAATGGCCGACGCAAGGGATCTGTAAATAAGATTTAGGTCAACTTAATGGGCAAAGTACCTACCCCCTCATTATTATTTGGATACCTACATAGTGGTTTCTCAATAGCTGCGGACTTGCCAGCGATCAGGACCCTTCCGGTACCTGCTGTGCCAGATACTAGACCGTACTACACTACCGGCATAAAGCCAGCACAGTCACCCGCACAATTTCAATCATGTCTCGTAAAGGTGTCGACGTGGAACTTTAACATCCGTATGTGCTTCTGTGGAAACCAACTACATACTCTACATACTTTACAGTCAGTCCTCGGACGCTTCGGAGCTCTCTCACCTACGTTGACATTGGTGAGGGGTAATGCATATAAGCGATGAAAATAATAGGAAAGCTTCTGGAAAATTTCCTAATCCACTCCAAATGTCGACCCGGTAAACCCTATCATGGAGCTCTAGATATCTAAAGTATCTCCACGGTGGCATTCATTTTGGAGTTTATTTAGATATTGCCTATCTAGGTTAAGTTCCTATGTTGATATGCAGAGACTGCTTTCAGGCATTAACGTGGCCTTTATACATACATCGAGGATCAAGATTGATATCGTAACATGTAACTCGGAGGTACTTTATCTGCTTTATTATATATTGTTCATCTAATCTATTTCTAAAGATAACAAAGGAATTACCGCTAAAAAGAACGCTACCACAAGAGATCGTCAAGCCATACATATATGCACATAAGCACGTAATTATAGAGACCGAGATTAAGCACTCAAAAGAAAGGGCCTCAAACATAAGAACCTCATATTCCCCCCACACAAGATTGGATTCAAGCTTGCTTGTTCCCCTTGAAAACTCTAGCAAAGTACCTCTTCCATCGAAATTCTCTGAACGCCCAGTAAATTGTATATGTGAGAACGACGTTGCTGACCATGTAGACGACAAAGATCCCAAGGTCACGCCAGCGTGTATTGTAGCTAGGGCTGCATGTTAGCTTGACGATCGCCCACAGAGTCTAAAGATGCAGGTAGAGTAGGGTGTAAGAGAATGGACTTACTCGATATTGACTGTTTGAAGGTACTCATCACCAGACTTAAACTGGCAATATCTGCAGTCCTCCGTAGAATCTAGGTTTACGATGTACCCATATGCCGTTGAAACCCACTCGCCTGCATATTCGCCACAGGTCTGATTGGCTGGGGGCTGGAACTTTACAAACTCATTCTCTCCGCACTGAACCTCGATTCCATGGATAATGTTTCCAATCAAGCCTCGAACAAGCCAGGTGAGGGGGTTCAGCCAATACAGCCAGGCCTTGTAAAAACCCTGAAGCCCGCTGTATGGCACTAAGATACCGGTAAAACCATTGGTGACGAGGAAAATGAATGGGTTCACTAAGAGTCATTGGTGTTGCGTTAGCTTTTGCTGATCATCGGTGTACTATATAGGTATTTAGTCAATGAGGGGGTGAGCGGATCGAGCTTACCGATACTGATGATGGTCATATCCTTGCACATGGCTGCAATCCACATTGCAAACGATGGGATGAAAATTTCAAACAAGAGTACGAAGAGAAACGCATAACCTGCGGTTCCTGAATTGTTGGGCATTCCGATCATGTAGTACCATGGCAAGAAAAAGAAGACTGTCCCGAGAATCGCATATGGAATTTCAGCAAGCAACATGGCTGTGATAAATGCTGCCGCCGAGTAGATCTTGCTGTTTCTCTCACGAGTCTCATAAAGCCCTCTGAGACCCAAAAACTTTGGCTGAATAGCTGTGAGAATCATAGGCGAAAGGATCAAGACCGCAAAGACAGCAAACCCGCGAGATTGCATTTCCAAAACCGTGTTTCCAGATTGAAGGAAGAGAACACCAGCAATAAGCGCCATACTTAAGTTTGAAAACATCTTTGAATAACCATACGACGAATCCCTCCAGTAATGGAGCCAGACACGCTTGGTGACCTCTTTTATTTGAGCCGACAAAGGCATTGCATATTCCGTTGGCAGACTGGTGAGCTTAGAAGGTACCAAGGCCCTACTGATGTTTATGCTTTCGATTTCATCGGCGACAGCTCCCCCTTCGGGTGACTCTGACCAGATTGTTGGCCAGTCTTTGTTACCGGGAGGCTTCCGAATCGTATCAAGAATATACTCTGCCGGGTTTGTGTCGTGTGCTGCCGCAGGTCCATGGTTGCGTTCAAAGTAGTCAATGATCGTAGCGCCGTTTTCACCGATGGGTCCAAAGTACACCTGCTTACCCCCCCTTGCGAGGAGGCATATATCATCGAATTCCTGGAACAGAATAGCACTAGGTTGATGGATTGTGCAGAGAATCGCCAGACCGGACTCATCGGCCAATTTCCTAAGGAACCGTACAATCGAAAGAGCACCGTTAGAATCAAGACCGGAGGTAGGTTCGTCGAGGAAAAGCAATGCTTGTGGCTGGGCAGCCAGTTCGACACCAATTGTCACTCGCTTCCTCTCCTCAACTGATAATCCAAAACCTGGCTCCCCGATCAACGCATCTGCAAGGGGTTCAAGCTCCAACAGCTGGATAACTCTTTCAACGAACACGTATTTTTCTTCTTTCGACACTGTAGCCGGTTGCCTAAGCATAGCCGAGAATCTTAAAGCTTCTCTGACAGTTGATGTACCATCATGCACGTCCTGCTGTTCTACGAACCCGGTATTTCGTTCGAAATCCTGCCCCAATGGTTTCCCATCCAGAAGAAAATCTCCTCCAACGATACCATCACGTTTTCTTTGTGCTAGATTGTCAAGCAGCGTTGTCTTTCCTGCACCACTGGGACCCATAAGTGCAGTGAGTCGCCCCGGCTTCACAAAGCCGTTGACGTCATGAAGAAGCTGTTTGGTGTCATCGCCGGTACCAACGGTATAGTTGACGTTATTCCATGTATAGTAAGACCCGTTGCTCTGGACCGCTGAACTGGTTTTCTTCATTGCTAGTTCCTGATCATCAGGCACCTTTTCCGAATCATGAAGGCTGCGCGGAGGTGTTGCAACCGCCATTGGTGCTTCGGTCTTTCCAGTCTCCTTAGTGGGTAGCATTGATTCTTTTGAAGCATTTTTGGCGAACGTCTTTTTGGAAGCCCCTCCACCACCAAATTTCATAAATTCAGCTCCAAGCATTGCAATGGCAAGGTATCCGAATGTGAAAACTAGAATAATGCCAAAGTTGCGCCAAAGGTGATCCGGCTTGTAACCGAACTGAACATCGAGGAAGCGAGTTCCAGAGACAGTATCTGACATAGGCTCGGCCCCAGCGAGAAAACAGACTAGAAGCCATTAGCATTTCATTTTTTTTTTGTTTAATTCATTAATTGCATCATTAGCATTTCATAAGGGTTGAAGAACTATAGCATACCTTGATTTGCAACGGAGGCGCCCTTTACCCCAGGAATTAATTGCGAAGGTGAGCATTCAAGTTGAACACCGTGCAACTGGTTAATCATGAGAACTTCTTGACTGTAAGTAACAGGTGATGCCCAGAGGATCCACTTGTAGACCCAAGATTTCATGTTGGAAGACGTCTGCATATAACCCGCAAACAGGCCCATGACGTTCAACCCAAGGAACGCAGTCCTAATAGATATGTTGAGATCCTTGCTGAAAGCACCGACAGCACGGTAGAACGCCGTCAAACAAACAGTCGTCATCTAAACAAGCCAGTCAGTTAGTAAAAGTGGTCAGAGTTATTAGCAGAACTATATAAATGAAAACGTACGAAAACAAACAACAGGTTTATGAAGAATTTCCCCGCTTCTGCTGTCAATCCAGCCATAAAGTACAGAATTACGGTATAGATTGAGCACTGCGCCGCTAAAATTGGTAGATCTGCAATAGTTCTCGCAAGTACAAGGGCAGATGGCCTGTAAAATGCAAATGCAGTCTGCTTCGACGTGATCGATCTTCCAGTTGTCATGTGAATAGCCTCGGGCATTTGCATCCAGCCAACGATAATGATGTTGAAAAACAGCACACCGCCAATAGCGAATGATCCTTCTGAAGTAAACGGGGTATTGTAGAAAAGACTGCCAATGATAAGTCCCATAACGACGACATTGAAGAAGCGACTTCTCAGTGCTGTGGTGTCTTGGAGTTGGAGCTGAAATTCACGCTGCACGAGGTAGTATACTTGACGAGCCAGGGATACTGTGTAAGGAGAGCCTTTACCAGCCCTAGGAGATTTATCATCCTCTACTGCCCTGGAAAACTCTTGTGCGCAACCTGTTTTCGTTTCCTCGTTATATTCAATCAATTCCTTCTGTACCTCCTCCCAATACACACTCTTTCTGAAAGCCGCCTCCAACTCTGCGGGAGTAGAGGGGACCTTGCCTTTCCATCCCGGCTTGATACGTCGTTCAATTGGATCCGTAACCAGGGTGAGGAAATCTGCAGTTGTACTTCTTGAGTTACAGTAGAACCCTAGGGACTCAAAATACTCCCTTGCAGCTGAGGCCTTCCCAAAGAAAATCTGACGCCCAGAGTCGATCACACAAACTTTATCAAATTCCTTATAAATTTGCTCGCCAGCTTGGTACAGTGTAACAATATTGGTTGAATGGGTCAATGTAGTTAAGATACGTAGAGATCTGATGTAATCCACAGCTGTAGAGCTATCGAGACCCCGGGTAGAATTGTCCCAGGCGTTGATGGTAGCTCTAGATGCGAGGGCTTCAATGATTGATACACGTTTTCGTTCACCGCCACTGACACCGCGGATGAAGGAGTTTCCCACTTTGGTGTCGAGCACGTGGGTCATTCCAAACATCTTTGCGAAGAGACCTAGCATTTGCTCGACGAATACGCCTCTTGATACACCTGGAGTTCTCTTGAAGGGTGTTTTGGTCCGCATTGCGAAGCGGAGAGTCTGCTGTACTGTCAAAGTTGGTAGATGAATATCCTCTATAAATCAAGATATACATTAGAATTTGATTCCACGTATTCCAGAAGGGAAGAAAGAAAATGCAATTTCTCGTACCTTCTCCATTAAACATAATCTCTCCTCTATACCTTCCCTTGGCCTCCTCAAAAGGTACTCCGCTATAATTGATATCCCCCGTGATACTAGTAAACTCTCTCCTCTGGTTCGTCAACGCCCTCAAAAATGTTGACGTCCCAGACCCTGGCCTCCCTAGCACCAACAACATCTCTCCCGGTTTAACAACTCCGGAGAAGCCCTGGATGATGTTCTTTACTTCTGGCTTCTTCCCAAAATATCCTCTCGCCATGTCATAGATCCCCTTCCCAAATAGCTCCGCCAGTTCATCTGGGAATGTCTTAACATATTCTCGACCAGATCCAGTTCCTGTGACGGTCAGGTTCTCAAATGAAACTCCAATCTTTTTAGGGAGAATCCCAGACTCAGAGGCTTCCTTGGTGCGTCGCTGGAGGTACTCTTCGAGATCGACCATGTCTACCTGTGGCGATTCCTCGCCTTCTTCAACATCTGGTTTACGTCTGTGAGTAGAGTGGCGGGTCGTCACTTTCGAAGCTTTAGTGAGCTCTCTCCGGAGACTAGCAAATTCTCATTGTTAGCAATATAATGGGAGCCAGTTGCACACCAATGTTGATGTGGCTCTTAGGATAGAGTATTAGCTTACTCTTCATAGTCTTGATAAGCTTCGTTGATATTGACAGGCTCCTGAGCGATTTCTCCCCACAGTCCTGCGCCGGATTTCTTGCTTTCATCACTAAAAGAACTTCCTGCTGATTTTGCGACAGCCGTAGCATCTGTACCAATCTTGTCGTCTGCCATTTTATAAAATAATTCCACACCCGGGAGTGATTGATGGAAATGTTTATCAGACTTATACAAGTCACCGGCACCAACAACGTACGGTAGTATGGTCAGAGGATTGATCAAAGCCAAATGCTATCGAGATAAAAGTAGGAAAAGAAGGGGGAGTTCAGATACTTATATTCATTAACTAGAGTATATTCAACTCTCAAGCAACCTAACTAGCCAGCATCCGGGCCGTATAACCGTAAAAAAAAAAAAAAAATTCCACGATACCATTTCTAGGAGAGAGAAAAAAAAGTTCTAACTGACAAATGCCTGTATACGAAGCCACCAGAAATAATAAGGCCGACCTGCATGGCATGTGCGGCTCGTTGAGCATGGGTGTGGTAGTAGAACCTTTTTTTCCCTTCGATTCCAGATAGTGATAGCAGTAGGGGGATTATAGATTTCTAAGCCGTGAGGGAATCCCATGCAAGGTGTAATTACATACCCCCAATGGAATTTCAAGTTATCCTTATTTTTTTTTTTTGGAGAAGGGTTGATGTGACGGCTCTAGAAGCCTGCGCTATCAAAGCTAACACCAGCCCAAAATCTTAGTATCGAATCTGGTCGGTGATAGTTCTATCAATTCCCATGAAAAACTTGGAAATATGACAATATGATGCTGCATCTTCGGCCATCGGTTTTCCTAACCAAGCACGGCTCGGGAAACCCCAGATATCTGGCAGCTGAGGCATTCCTGCATAGAACCACGTTAGTGCCCTCTAGAGGTACTCTATCCTATTCCCTACCGGTAGTCTAAAGTACGTAGGGTAAAGTAGAGCGCAGTGTTCTACCCAATCTAAAGTATCTATTTTACTTACCTACAGTACCAAGCAGAGTATGGTTGGAGGCTCTCCTCCCTTCCCCTCCTTTGGCTTTTCTCGGCAAATAATCCGATTAACGACAGTAGTTGTGCACGTCCCTTGCTTGCATTCGGCACACACGCAAGGCAGAGGTGGTGGCTTTCTGGAGTCTTTCCTATAGGTAGGCCTGATAGCAACCCGGGCATTATCAATAATGCAATTACACTACTCTACAAGGTCGAGCATAAACCCTTCCTTTGCTAGAAAGAGTGTGCGGTTGTACCTGAGAGAGATGGATGCGTTTCCCCATTTCGACCGTAGGATGATAAGGGGATAGATTGGTCATCTAACCTTCAAGGTCAATCCAGTTTGAGCACATACTAAATTTGCGATCCTCAAGAAAATGACGATAAGGGAGTCAACAGTCAACAACGAAAGGAGGGAATAAGCGTATCTGACGCGTGAATTTGGATGCGGAAGTTGCGGGAGTACTCTAAAAGTCCTACCGCCCCGAGTAGAGAACCAGGCAGAAATGAGAAAAATCTCTAACCAACTTTCATTTTCAATGTTCTCGTTCCACGGCTTGGCGGGGCCTTTTATTTGTTTTTAGAACCTTTCCTTTCTTTTTACTAGTGTAAGATGGCGTGTATGGCTGCGGTTCAAATGCGACACTCCCCGGTACCATACAGCTTAGAGTTGTGACTGGTTTAGAGCCGGAAAACAACCGATGCCCAGGCCTAGATCCTACTCTACCTACATGTCGAGCAATAGATGGCGCACTCATGTAGGTACTCTAATCTACCTTAAATTCAGTGCTTGCTGAGTTATTCTGTTATCTACCCTTCACACCAGGTTTTCGGTTTTCCAATATCTCACTTCCCTCCAGAGCCATCGTAAAGTGCGTAGGCGAGTATCTATCTCAGATGAATAATAGAGTGCCTTATCCGAAAGGTGAATTGAAGAGAGAAAACCCCGCAATAACGGTTCAGTGCCGCATCTTGAGCATGTAGAGTAGTAGATACTGTTAATTCTCGAAAAATCTACTATCCCCGCTTCGCTAAATCTTAATTCCGGGTGAGAAAAAGCATATCTGCGCGAGTCCGTTTTGATACGGTAATTCGCCTTAGTTCGGATTTACCACATACAAACACGGGGATAGTGAATTAACGGTACTCTAGAGAAGTACATGTATGTATTCCCGCTCTCGGGAGGCTGAGCCGAAAGAAATGGCTGTGCGCTGAAACTAAGCTTAAGCGAGACTTGGCATTATCAAGCTTGTCCACAAGCTAGCTGGCCGGAAACTCCTTACGCATATGTATATGATATGTCTACATGTAATTACATGTATGTTTGTAGATCTCTCTCTTTGAGCTCTGAGAAACAAACCACCAATCTTTCTTTCCTTCTTATGCTTGGATTGCTCACTGGCCTACACATACTAAAACCTCATATATGCCGGATTTTTGGTATCTATTATGTAGTCCTCAGTAGCCAAGAAAGCCGGCATCATTAATCTAGTAAGTATGGTGCTTGACCTATTAATACTATTGAGTCACTGTCAATAATAGAGTAGGTACATGGAGTGATGTGCAACGGCTGAACCGATGATTCGGATTGGGCTGATAAATCGAAAAAAAAGAAAAAAAAAAGAGGAAAAAAAAGGAAGAGGAAGGAAGGGACACAATTAAGTGGCTACTAGGCCGACTAGTAATTGGATCGGTTGTGAGGTATTCTTTATATTACTTGTACCACATAGTTGTCGGGCCAATTGCGGATTAATTAATGAATGCGCATACATGGATATATGAGTCTAGCTGAGAATGTGTACAGTTATGACCACCAGTTATCTACCGAGTCAAATCGGGGATAACAGTACTTATTTCAACGTCTTGTTATTAGTAATAATATTCTCGGGGTTAAGCACCCCGTTCTTCACAGCAGTTTGTAAGCCGCTTTCACTCCCGATCTGAATACCAAACTCGGAATGTACCGGAATGCATAATGCGGAATGGTTAATCTATCTCTTTCATTTCATCCCCAAAGCCTGTCAGATAGCATATAAATCCAATGGCTTGGGTTTATTTTCCGGGATAAACGTGGCTGATCAAGGCCCAGGAATGTGGAAGACGGGTCGTTTTGTTCTTCGGAATTATCTATCATGCTCTTATGTTAGAAATGGCACATAATGGTTGATAGATTTCGCAATCCATGATAAATTTGCATGATTTACGGCAACCCGGAGGCGCAATCCTTGAGGATGACTACTCAATGCCAATGATTTGGGGAAGCGTTTGGGCTGGTATATAGTGTGGTCTATAAGCCAAAATGCCAGCTCGTTGGGTAACATGAGGAAGTCTCTTCTGAGGCCAACGGACCTCGATGTACCTCCTCGACCTGATTCCATACTTTAATACTTCGTTATTATTTCCACCTTTAACTCTTCTCCCTTCCCGAAGAAGTAGAGATTTCAACTAGTACTCATAGGAAGACCTTAAAGCTAGCAGATAGATATGACCCGAGGTTTAACTATACCTGGCTCGGATCAAGGTGAAAAAGACTCCTCATCCGCCTCTATACATCTAACTACCCGGCCTCCTCGTGATTAATGGGGGGGTCTTATTGATCAGACTATACTATTATATATATAGTACTGGTACCCACGGGGTTAATCGAGTAACATAACTTGCACTCTTTGATACCTAAGATCGATATCATATTAATGTCTTTACAAAAAACCAAGCAAAAAGTCTTTCGCAATGCTGATCAGCTGACATTTCCTCACCGCGGTGAGAGAGCAAGACACGAAACTCATTTCTAAGCGTAATATATTGGAAATAGATATACTCACCTCGTGAGGTTTGACCTAGACGTATGTACGGTGCTCAAACACGCGCAACACCCCTACCCTAAAAATAACATAAGTAAAAAGCTTCTTCTAATAACAACAAATCAGCTTTTTTTAAATTCACTGTTAGCTTTATAATTATAGAACATCATTCATAAATGATTCAAGCTCAATAGATACGAATTAACAGTGAATAGGAAGTGTAGATGGAGGGCAGGGTCGGAGTGTCTGCATGCCAAGCGATGAAGTTGATATCATACATTACATGTATAGCCACTCTCGAAACAATGTAATAATGATCCAGAATATTGTCGGCTCCTTTTCTTTCTTCCCGGTTTTTTTTTTTTTTTTTTTTTTTTTTTTGGGGGGGGGGTGGTAAAGTAGGTACTCATGAGATGCTAGATCTGTGGGGTGAGGTACTCGTTTACCACGAAAAGAACCAGAAAATGCAAGTGACGGAAACAGGGATAGTTTGTATGAGAGATCACCGCCACTCCATACAAATAATCCTTGCCCTGAGCAACTGCATTTTCTGGTTCTTTTCGTGGTAAACAAGTAGATACCTAGCGGGTTTCTTCCCTGCACTAGCTTGGAGAATACGTGGTCACGCCACGTTATACCATTTGCAAGATCACTGACTCAGCCCTACATGTAGTATTAATGTTGGTGACCGTTTGCCGATTATACCACACATGTACAAGTAATATTAATAAAGATACATGTAGCCTGAACCAGGTGTCCTACGAGTGAACGCTGCTAAACTCGAATGTAGAGGAAATGATAGATATTCCATGAAATCATAGCCAGCTAAGATATACATATGTACCTACGTACATGTGCATGCAATCAATGAATTAAACAAAAAAAAAATACCTACGTACATGCAGCTACCTGTACTTGTAATTGGTGAAAGCCATAAGCATAGCATTAGCGCATGCGCAAAAAGTCACAAGTTTAACCTGCGAAGAGTATGAACATCATCATGTGGCCTGCTTACTATCCGAGTAGATGTATACAATTAATGAAGTAACAAACAAACAAGTATATGTAGATAATTGAAGGTTATAGCGAGTGATATAGTATGACGCGAAAACGATTTGTAGTCTTTTATTATCGTGAGAAGCTCGAGATTGAGATAAAACACTAGCTATTACTCTTTCGTTTGTATTTCCTGGTAGACCTATCTCTATCACAAACAGTAAAAACCTTTAAATTATAAATTATCATTACAAAGGTATGTAGCCGCGATTCGCAGTAAAAATAATAGATATAACTAGCTCAGCCTAGCTGAGCAATCGCAAATACTAGCTTGCGAATTCGTATCTAAGCAATAGCCAAGACATATATCTAGATTCCTAAACCTACGGCAAACTAGTACAGCCCAGTAAACAGTTATTCTGCTGATCTGAGCCTCCAAGCTTAGCGCCTAGGAATTACATGTATGATCATGCGATCGAATGATGAGTCTCCGATATCTTAGGTATCTTACTACTAACCTGTACTCAAGTAAATAAGTCACGTATGCTTCACTTTACATTCAAATTTCCGCATCCGCAACAGGAAATTCTCAGAAGATCGAGTGATATTTCATGATTAATAAATCATTCTACTGATCATTTGCTTACGCTACTTTGAAATTCTATTATAATACGTAAGTATTTCTTGTCTGTGTGTATTTCTAGTTCAACTGACCTCTCCCTTGAACGCTCAGGCCAAATCAAAGGCCGACTGTTAGCGCCCCGTATATATATATATATACATAGCAGATTTGCATTTTGATAAATTGAACTCTATGTCGGAGAGGAATATTGAGGTAATTGTTCAAACATATGGTTCCCCCAGTCTTAAAGGTAACATGATAAAAACGCCAAGTCTCGAATAACTTTTCAACCACGATTGATATTAAAAATCTGGAAAGAGAAAAGCTGGATACCATGATGAAGAAGAGTTTGTCTTTCCAGATTTTTAATATCAATCGTGGTTGAAAAGTTATTCGAGACTTGGCGTTTTTATCATGTTACCTTTAAGACTGGGGGAACCATATATTTGGGAAAGCTTTGCAAGGATTTTGTCTATATATTAGCTGTTAATAACTAGCATTAACAGCGATGTATAATGTTCTTCCTCTCATGTGGAAGAGGGAGAGCAATAAGCCGTATAAGCAATTATAAGGGTACATTAGTTCGTAAGAACTAGTACTAGGTGATGCCGTGATATAACCTATCAGCTTTCTTCTTTTTACACCTGTGTTGGGTGATTAATGTGTTAGGTGTTTAGAACAGCATATACTCGGTATATTAGTACCAATCGTAAGAAATACCGGCGTTGAGTTCGTGGGGTAAATTGTAAATTGGGGCTAGTGGCGAATGACTAAATATTTTAGGGTAAATATATGGTGAAAGATCAGGCTGTACTCTTATCCAGATTCCTTAGCCGGTTAGTCCAAACCACAATCTATGACCGAACATGATATGGTAACTGTGCTCTGTGAGCTCTCAATGATCTAGCGTTTGGTAATTAAGCAGCTCACTGAGGGAATGAATAGTGCCTAAAATACTGGGGACAGAGGGATCACCTGTATATATATAGAATGGTATGAGTTTGCCTATATAAGTTTAATTTATGATCAGAGAATAAGTAAGTATTGGCCGATCGCGCGCGACAATTCTAAGAACTATATTATCGGATCATTTAGTCCCAATCCATATGAGATTGGCGTGCATGCGCAGTAGTCATGATCAGCTTGAGTATATACATACGTATAAAGAATATAATTATATACATATACAACGTTTCCCTGTGAAATGAGCACACAATTGTACAAGCAAGCGAGCATTCACATACAAATATTAGATTTTGTGGTTTTTGTGTGGTAGAGGTACATGTATGTACATGTAGCTGTCCTCTCTGCTCGGTAGACTCGTGTGCTCGCTTCATATAGGGAAAGGCTGTATAATGCATAGCTGGTCTTCAGAATAACATTAATTAGAAGTATTGTCGGTACCGCTAGTAGTTTGAGGAACTTTGGATTCTGATCATAATTCAGCACTATGCAATCATGGGGTATGACTCGGTTTGGGTGGCTCGGTCACGGATTGTGATTCGGACTGATCGCCTAGAGTAATGGATAGAATGACTCATCTGTGCATTTAAGTCTTATTGTAAAAACGGCTATCTAGACACCTTCTTCATCTAATCTGATCTTTCCTAGAAGTTGTACGATAGTGGGGAGGCTAACATTAATTAAGTTCATATCTCACTATTGAAGCGTTCATCATTAAAAGCTCGGGCTGTAGGTAGTGGATTTATCATGTGCAGTTGCTATGATTTGCCACTAGTACAAGTCAACCCCCCCACCCCCCCGGCGCCTCAACATCACCACTCCCGCTTGAGTCTATCAATGTTACTTACGCAGTCCTATCATAAGAATCTTATATCTTCTGTCCTAGGCGGACTTTACTCTTCTCGCTCCTGCATCAGTAGACGTACACTCCCTTGCGCCCCCGTGCACAGCAAACGGTATTCCGCGAGCACCCCCGGTGGTGACAGCGACAAAACCAAGTCAGCCGCAGTTCTCGGTTCACTCCTCACTCTCCTGAATCGCAGTAGCCAGGGCTAATTGTTGTATTCCACAGGCGGCGGTATCACCGGCTTGTCAACGGCATGGTACCTTACGAGGTTTGCCCCGGGTGTCCCAATTACGGTGTACGAGCAGTCTGAAAGATTGGGGGGATGGCTTCGCTCGAAGCAGGTTGAATACGAAGGAGGGACGGTGTTATTCGAACAAGGCCCTCGCACTATCCGTCCATGGACAATCGCAGGTTTAGTCACCATAGATATGGTATAGCATCTTCTAAGCCCCGGTAACTCAGACATTAACGAACGATAAAAAATCCGCAGATTCGGCAACTTGGCCTCGAATCAGAGCTCCTTATAATTCCCAAGACATCACCGGCTGCAAAGAACCGCTTTATTTACTATCCAGATCGTCTCAATCAACTCCCCGGCGACATCGCCTCCGTCATCCTGTCCTTCAGGTTGCCCGTAATGAAGGGTGTATTTAGTGGGATGATCGGAGAACCTTTTCGGCGGCGTAGACCAACCGATATCGAAGATGAATCGGTTGGTTCATTCCTTACCAGGCGTTTTAATAAAAGCCTGGCAAATAACCTCGCATCCGCAGTCCTACACGGAATATATGCAGGTGATGTAGATCAACTCAGTGCCAAATCACTATTTCCAGGATTATGGAGAAGCGAGGAAATACATGGGAGCTTAATGAGGGGTGTATTTGGAAAGGGAGAAGAAACTCTAGACGACCAAGTTGTCAGGGCAGAATTGCATAAAGACAATCAGGGAATATGCTCAAACATGTCTAGTGCAAGCGTGTACACCTTCAAAAAAGGAATCGAAACACTTAGTCTTGCGCTTACCAAAGAGCTCGAGGCCAATCCCAATGTTACTATTAAAACCAAATTTCCCATACAGGGGCTCTCATATACGTCAGGGAACCCACTCCCAGTAAAAGTACTCCTTCCAAATTTACTCAAATCTCTTCCACCCGTCTAGAGACTAATATTTACTAACTCATATCAGATAATGCATCTAAGTACACCACCTACCCATCACTCACATACAATCTCTACTCTCTCTGCTGCCTCCCTCGCTTCTCTTCTCCCCACCGCTACACCCTCACCATCTCTATCTGCTATCTCTGCAGTTACGGTCCTCGTCGTAAACCTATATTTCCGCACCCCCTCCCTCCATCGTGTCAAAGGCTTCGGTTATCTCATCCCAAAGTCTATTCCTGAATCCGCCAACCCTCACCACGCTCTCGGTGTGATCTTTGATTCTGACACAAGTCCAACCACTGAAACCGGTACTAAAGTCACAGTAATGCTAGGCGGTCACTACTGGTCCTCGCGTAGTACATATCCAGATGATGAAGAAGCCGTACGCATGGCGACAGAAACATTGGAGCGCCATTTAAGAATAACAGAAAAGCCAGTATTGAGTAATGTGACTTTGCAGAGAGGATGCATTCCACAGTACCATGTTGGACACAACGAGAGACTCGGAAGAGCTCATTCAGATCTGATGAGGAGTTTTCGGGGGCGGCTATCAGTGGCCGGCAGCAGTTTTGGAGGCGTAGGGTTGAACGATTGTGTGCGAGGCGCGAGGAAGGTCGCAAAAGGCGTTGCAGAGGCAATGCGAGGACAATCAGAGGAAGATAGAGGACTCACTGGATTGGAGTTATGGTCCGAAGGAGGAATAAAGTGGGTTAGCAAGACTGAATAGATCAGATAAAGGATGTGATTTTAGATATGTTCATAGTTGCGGGGTCATTGAGTTAAAGGTATGTACGTACCTGGGACTTAAGTGTGAGATAAATCGCTAGCTCGGCCAGCCATGCTTGAAAATGCCGATTTATCCAATCATCGTTTGATGAAACCTTTCTACATTGAGGTCTGGATAGCTTGATTGATAGCACGGGACCCTTGTTCGTTCCTGAAAAGAAGTAGGTTAGTTTTGTTACATAAGATAACCGTGCGCCAATGATCAAGCGAAAAGCCAATGATTTGAAAACCTAAATCTCTTGCACCATAAGCGCGCACCCCTAGGCCGCTGCTTAACGATATATTATGTTGTGCGCTGGTTGAATATTAAAATTCGGTTATCGATCCTCCCAAACCCGGGGTATGTAAAGAATTTCCGGCATGGGTAGAACCTAGTATATAGTTTCGGGGATTCTCGGTGCAATCTCAGTGATTGTATGTCTATGTGTACGTACATGTTGTATATTGTGGCTAGAATCCATCCTGTACTTGCAAAAAAGTCTTCATATGTACCTGTACACTTAGATCCCGGTCCTCGCTATTAGAATTAATACATTGCAGTACCATAGGTTTCACCCTGGAATAAATAAACCTGGCAATAAGGTAGAGTTCATCCTGGAACATGAGATATATAATATTTTATGTTATTCCGGAGAGAGGAATGATTGAGGTGTCATACCGGATGGGTAAATGAAGTAATTGTCAAGAATAGTAGCTCTCCCACCTCCTAAATTTTAGGGCCCCCCACGAATTAGATTTGTAATGACTTTTCTGATACTAATGTAGAAGATCAGCACCTAGCTTTAAAGGGACTAGAATGATGTAACCGCCAAATCACATAAATACCACGAATTTACCCAGTGGGTAGGCTTGGGAATTTTGTAGTCACGTTGAGGCTTTCCCGGTTCCCCGGTAGCTAGTATAGTATGTATGAGCAGACTACCTACAGTTGAGTTGACTTACTCTATGAGTGAGGCCCGGGTCTAGTACCTACAGGTTATAATATCTAGGATGAAAAGAACAATTTCTTTCTACCGGTTTCAGTAGGCGATGCGGTCTCGTACTGATTATTCCTGCTAGAGTTCGAATTCTCAAAAATTTAGCCGATAGGATGAGTGTATGTGGTTGGTACAATGCATGGTACAGTATGGTGAAAGAGTTCCCATTGTTTCAAGTAGCGTGATACTGTACCTATACAATAAATGTAAGCTATATTCCTTACTTTGTAATTATACTTCTCTTTGTAGAGTTTAAAGTCCCCTATGCGGAGTATGCGATACTTTAGATGCATGTGAAATATCCGGGCGGAAAAGAGTAAGTTGTGACAGCGTGACAGCGTTACTGCGATATATAAGCTAAGCTACAGCGAAACCTAAACTGTGATGCTGTAAGGCTTGTTTGATCATGAACCAGGCGCTTTTGCGGAGTTTCGTGACCAAATGGGCGACTCGAATTAGAGTGCATACTCTCGGGAACAACTGGACGAGCGGCAGTTGTCTGTACTCTAGCACAAATTCCTTAGTCTTCCACGTGCAATAATGTTTGCTTCCAACTCTTTAACGGTGGGAGTGTATGTATGTACCTTCGATCGATCTCAAATAGGGCTTTCCGATTGGTGCACATCAATTCTTCATGCATCAAAATGGCTCTTGAAAGGTTTCTTCCTACGACTGAACTGGCAAATAGACTCAATGCAATGTGTGACAACCCAGTTTTCGGAAATACCAGCGCGCTTTCCGGAGTCCCCGTGAGACCGTCGGCTACCTGTCCAACCCCACCTAATGTACCCCACAGCCCACAGCCAAAAAGAAAGGAAGAAACTTACTCTCTCCTGTGGGTAGGACCTACCATTTAAAACACCGAGGGATTGAATGGTGATGTCTTGCAGGTTAATTGCTTATGTACGCCCCATATGCTAACTTGTGCCAGTGAAAGTCAATGACGAAACATCCAAATTAAACCAATTATAAGCCAGGCGATGACACAGCATATTATGACAGAGGCGTGAAGAAAAGCACTTTTATAATCTTCGAGCTCTCTGGTCTCCCCTCCTTACATCTTCTGCAGCTGGTCATTCAGGAGTATTGCTACTGGAAATTGGGACTCGGCCTTTATGATATTTATATTATATCTACATAGGTCTCGTGACTGAGAATTCTTGCAGTGTCAGCGCCATGCTCTAGCTCTAATCATCAATATTCAAGATATTAGGGTTTGAAGTACTATGTTAGCTACTTGTATCTAGTAACTACATAGTAAGCAGTACTTGAGTATGGACAAGTAGACATCAAGGTACTTATGTATTATTCATTTCATATCGTACACATGTACTTACGTATACTATATGTAGTACTCTACTGTCAAATGCGTGGCCTAAAATACTCCATATCCATGCGTAATGTGAGTCCTGGACTCCACAACTATGACCAGTACTGGGGGATATGCAACTATAGCTAGGGACACCAAGGTATGTATGCAATACATATAGACATCTTTCGCATACCCTAGGGCCGATTAGCCGAGGTCTCGCTTCTGGGATCTTTTCCTGGGGACCAATAGAGCTAGCGATCGTATTGGAACCCTTTTCTCCGAGAAGTTAGTCCAATAGTAAGGTCAACGGTGTTGTTCGACTGTTAGCTGCAAATGCATCTGGAGCCATGGGGGGATACATCATATCGTTGCCTGGCTTTGCAGTGTCTGCACTCTCACCCTAAGCTTGTCAGGGCCATTGGGGCAGTTGCAGTTTATACATGTTAGTCTTTTTAAAATTAGTTCTTCTTGTTTCAATTGAACGCTTTATCCTCTCCATTGGCCACGGGTATCGTGACTACGTACGAACTACCGTGGTCGTGATCACGAGTTACATGTTTGTTAGAGGCTCAGGCAGTAGCTACGCATACCTGGATATGGATAGTATATAAATCCAAATATATTCCCATGACCTCTTATTCGCCTTAGCCTTCCCACCCCCCACGATATCTATCCGACGTCAATGCTTGGAAGAAATTTCCTTGAATTTTGGACTCCGAATTTCCACGTCGTTCTTCGATCCTCATCGATTCTCCCCCACTCAGTACTGATCACTGAAAACTTCGCTGATACCAACTACTGCCTTGCTGCGCCGCGCCTTCAGCACTATATTTTGAAGAACCTAATTAAGTGTTAGCCCTGTTCACCCACCAAGAGAGTGGAAGTGCTCCCCTCTTAGTACTTGTGTACGTAAGTCAATATTTCCATTATTTGGCCGGCCTGCGGCTTCTGCATGAAACATTCGGATTTTTCCGTCTATGTGCAGCTCCGGACTAGTTTTCCTCAGTAATCAAACCTCATGCAGGGCTGATCGTTTTATTAATATTCGACACATGAATTCGAGACTTCTAGACTCTATATTGTATCTATAAAGAGTCAGAAATATCCTTACAAAAAGATCACCAAAATCAACAACTAAAAACAATACCGAAAACTGCCAGCTTAAGAATTAGAAAGCTACACTCACTCATACATTCAATTATGGAACCTGAAGCGGTAGACAAATGGCTCGACTGCGTGTAAGTTGTCATCGAAATCTCATCTTTCTATACAGAGGCTGACTTTATATATGGTGTAGCATGGAAGCCTCGAATGTTACTGGGGCTATGATGATAGACATGTCAAACGGGCATTGCCTTGGAGGTTTGTCTTGTATTGATTTTCCGAAGACCTATAGAAACTAACTCCAACTCTCCACAGCAAGAGGTAAAGCTACAGAAGAGGATGCTACCTATATCTCAGTAGCATCCCGTTCGGCTCTCGATCCCAAGGGCGTTGGTGTTGTTGCGTATAAGGATAGGTATCACGTTATAATACCCAACCAGTAGTAATAGTTCCATGTCATCCGGAATTCTGACAATACTATAGTAAGGTGATTCTTCGCAAGGGAGCTGGTGTTATTATGATCGCCGTGTTCAAAGAGATGGATTCTCTCGAGGAGTCGCCTGATGAGACGTGAGCTTTGGTCTGGGTATTTTGAGTTCTGTTCTCGTATTGGCGTCGGGGATCTTGCCGGATTGGAGATTTGTTTTCCTTTTATTTCAGCTTGAAATCAATAGAGTTCATTTTCAATAAATTCATTTTTCCCGAATCCCAATTTCTCAAGAACCTCTATGTTAGTTACTATCTGTAGTGCAAAGTTTTGTGTTTTCTTGGGACCCGGCCAGCTAGGCAGTCTCCGAGACTTGCAATCATGATGATTACTTTTCATAGTACGAAACCCCCAAAGCATCCCTCATTAACCTGCCTAAATATTCAGAATCTTCAGCTATCCTAATATCTTTAGACCTCACAATTTAAGCTTCTTCTAGCTAGACCACGTACCCATTTCAGAACTGGCCTCTGATCGAGGAAGACAGGCCGTCATTCCTCCCTCGAATCCATTCCCCTCCACTATACACTAACATCTCAACCTCCAGTGGCGCCGGCTGGGCCCCATCACCCGCTTTATCCCTTGAGATCGGGAAGCAGTATTCAAGATGCTCTCCCGAAAAAACATTTTAGCCACCACCCGTAACTGGGGGTGGGGTCGGTGGCGATGGAGAAGATGAGATCGATTTATTGAGACGACTAGAGCCGATGTATTGCCCGAAGATCTGGTTGAGTGTATTTGACAAATTCCAGTTGCTCCATGTATGAGTGATATTCTGTATGAATCTATGAGCAAGGGTCATTGTCAAAATTCTAAGGGTTCGTCATATGTGTGCACTGTGGTGAAGAACTGGCTAGAGATCATGCCACGACTGATAACTGTAAATTCAAACACGATTTCCAAGCACTGGTATAGCAATTACGGCGGCGTATAGATAAGTCGTCACGAGTGATCTCACATGATCCCCAGGGGCACTAGTCCATTGACCCACCAGTTAATTATAACGTCATACATGAGATATGTAAAGTACATGTGTGTACATATGCGTTTATGCACGCCCTATAACCCTCATTCTCTATACCCCACATGTGTAGGGAAGATCTTGATTGCCCTCACCACTCGTTATACAGAGCCAGCGCAAGGTACAGAAAATCCAGGTTTGTGTCGTACTGAACACGCATAGTTCAGCCAGTTGGCCATTGATGGATATCCAGATCAAGAAAAGAGCCTGATTCTGCTGCCTGAATAAAACTTATGCATTATCTGCATATGTAAAAGGCCATGGACAAGGAGTACGTTATCAAAGAACCCCAACTGTGTCTTACACGCTTAGGTTATGCAAGGAAGGGAAAAGAAGCTGCGGTCCGCCTGGCCTTACCCGTAAGTGCAGTTGATCATCCAATCGGCAGCTGCAGTTAGCTCTCTTTTCAGGGTGAGGCCCACGGGTGGCTGGATCGACGAACCGATCGTGTGACAGACACCAGAGTTTGTCGGTGTTTTCGGGCCGCCTAGATCCAGGGGTAAAAAGTGTAAATACGTGCGCTTCATGAGTAGTCACTCGTCGAACACGCCATATTTAGATGGGCCCAGTGATAAATTGTAAGGGTGGTTCGCCCATAGTCTGGCTCTGGGGTTTTAGTGATATGAGAACAAATGGATATTGTAGGGTGTCTTGAATATTGTAGCTTGTAATATGAATTGAAGGGAATATCAATGGAAATCCAGAGAAGATGCATGAAGAAGCTATGGCAGATTGTACCCCTCCATTACAGGGTTCTGCCCCACTCTGGAATAACTGCAAGATTTATTTGATTTTTCATCATAAGGCCTTCAAGTAAAGTTTTGTATTTCTCGGAATTGCCCAGTTGCGAACAAAATGAATGATAAGTTTGTAACTAGTGTCTTAGCCCGTGCACTTTGCTTTAAAATGTTAAGTATTATTCTGTCTCAAAACCATAAACAATATACGCCCGCACCATGATGCGGGCACCATTTCCGTAAAAGACCGCTGTCCCAGGATCTACATGGACGTTTACCCCTCTCTGGCCACAGGACTCATGATCAGAGGGCATATCGAATTTGACTTCAACATTTTAAAAATTGGATCAGAAAAATTTCTTATCTTACATCGGCGATTGAGTGGGTAGAAACGACTGAGCTCTATGCAAGGCTGACTTTATGCTTTGAGGGGAAGCACTGGGGCATTGATTCCATACCCGCAAAACATAGTATCTGGCACTGATCTCTTTTGTCATTGGCATCCTTGGACTTGATCCAGTACTGAGGTACTTAGAAGTATGGCGCGGGTCCCGAGCCCAGAAGCTTCTATTTGGTAGCCATAAGTTGTCTAAGTAATGATGTGTAGGTAGGTACATAGATGTTTATAGGCTGCTGTATAAGAATGTCCTCAATATGACCGTAGCCCTTGTAGGCCATTCACCAAGTCTTTTCGCAGATTATGTAGTCATTGGTAGTCAATGCACATAATATTGTGGTGCCAGCAATGCACGATTGCCAATGAATGTATTTTCAGCCTTATGAACCCCACTCGAAAAGTTTCCGTTGAATTCTTATGGTACGTAGGTACGAATCCATGTAGTGTACGTGGAGTAGGTCGAGTACATGGAGGACCCAAAACATACAACCGTACGATTCTTCTAGATCCGGATTTCGTTTAGATAAAAGAGCAGTGACAGTGGCAGTGGCAGTGGCACGGTAACGGTAATGGTGACGGTGACGGTGACGGTGACGGTACGTGACGGTCTAGCGCTAGCGTCTACTTTGGGTAAAGAGAATACGGGAATTAATACCTTCGATCATTGTTCCTCTGCCTTCTATCTTTGCTGGGGTCCTATCAATTAAGTGTGACATGCTTGACAGTTGTAACATCGAACTTCTTGTGGCGGATTAGGAATTCGGGGGGGGTTCAAATTAGCACTGACCGTCGATCAGACCGAAGGGACATGTATAATCATTATATTAAAGCCGTCAAGCCAAACGCGATGTTCACCGAACGCGTTTCCCTGTCAACTGAAGACGCGAGAACCCCACCTTTACAACCCTAACCCAACCACTGCAGGCTCCGCCAAGAATACATATTGCCAAGATCTGACGCTCTTCAGCTGTAATGGGTTAGTTTAAACTTTTAACAGCGAGAAAAAAATTAATTTTCTTCCTCTCGTTGCTTTCCCTTCTTTCCTTCGTCACTTCATCACTTCAGCGTCCTTTCTCGGTTTCTTCCCATTACTTCTCTCTTTTGATCGGTTTTTACGCATCACGATCAGCCTTAATTTTTTTCAATTGCTTTCAACGAATAATAGACATGTCTCTTCTTCCTGTCGCTATTTGGGGCCTCCAGGTCAAGGCCGATGGTAGCATCTCCCCTGCTATCGCCAATATTCCTGCTACTGTAAGTTTCTTCTAAATGATTCCTATCGGGCGGATGGCTGATTTCTTTTCTTCGCATCTGCAGTTCCGCGTCACTATGGCTGCTATTGATCCAACAGCCAAGCCAAAAGACCCAAAACAGCCCTTGCGCTCCACCCTGAAGATTATGCGCCGTCCTCTCCAGAACCCCGATTTTGATGAGGATGACGAAGATGATGAAGAGACCGACTCTGAGTCCGAGGAGGAGTCCGAGGAGGAGGCTCCGTCAGTTAAGGGCAATAAGGGATCGAAGAAAAGCGCTGCTCCTGCCAAGAAGGCTGCCGAGGAAGATGAAGACGAGGATGACCTTGATCTCTCTGACGACGATGAATATGAGATTGAGGAGTTCACAATTTGCACTTTGGACACTGAGAGGGTATGTTTAATAAAAAAAAAACGTCTTTAGGAAGAAATATTGACAATTTACCAGAACTACCAACAACCTCTCGACATTGTCATTGGCGAAGACGAGGAATGCTTCTTTAAGGTCGTTGGAAACTTTGATATATCCCTGACTGGAAACTACGTTGTTGGTTCTGGCGACGCCGATAAATACGACGAGGATTCAGATGAAGGTGACGACTACGACCTCTCTCCCGATGAGGATGAGCTTGAGCTATACGGAGACGAGTCCGACTCTGACGATCTCGATGACCTCGAGGATCCCCGCATCCAAGAAATTGCCACTGATGACGAGGCCGAGGCTAAGAACGCCGCGAAAAAGGCTGAGAAGAAGGGCGAGAAGAAGGACGAGAAAAAGAAGGCTGAAAAGAAGTCTTTGAAGCGCTCCGCCGATGAGTCCGAGGGCGAGGAGCCCACCATCGCCGACTTGATCGCCAAGGCTAAAGAAGTAAAAGAAGCTGCCGTTGCTACTGCCGCTCCCGAAAAGAAGCTTTCCAAGAAACAGCTCAAGAAGCTCAAGGCCAACGACGGAAAAGCTGTCGATGCTACTGCTGATAAGGGTAAGAAAGTTCAGTTCGCCAAGGAGCTTGAGCAGGGCCCAACCCCTTCTCCTGCCGCTACAGAGAAGAAGTCTGAGAAGAAATCTGCCGAGAAGCCTGTTGCCGAGAAGTCCACTACCGAGAAGAAGAAGCCTGAGTCCAAGCAGCCGAAGATTGTTCAGGGAATTTCTATCATGGACAGCAAGGTCGGGACTGGAGCTGCCGCTAAGAAAGGCAACAGGCTCTCCATGCGCTACATCGGAAAGCTTGATAACGGAAAGATCTTTGATAGCAACACCAAGGGAAAGCCTTTCACCTTCCAACTTGGTAAGGGTGAGGTCATTCAGGGATGGGATATCGGTCTTGAGGGAATGCAGGTTGGTGGTGAGAGAAGATTGAGGATCCCTCCCGGCAGTGCCTACGGAAAGAAATCCCTCCCCGGAATTCCAGCTAACAGCACTTTGATTTTCGATGGTATGTTCATCCACCCCAGTAACCCTGAATACTTTTGCTCCTCAAAATATATCTAATCTTTGTGATTTTTTCTAGTCAAACTCATCGAGATTAAATAAATATAACTTTCCTCGATAATTCTTCACGTTCGAAACTGTATATTTAAATCTCACCTTGGGGCGTGCGTTTCACTTCCAAAATTCATTGTGTGTCTATTACCTGTAACCTAAAATCTCTTTTCCCTCTATGTTTAGTTAGTCATTTGTTTGGTCTCCTTGTCCTTTTTGGTGTTTACATGTAGTCTTACTGTGCCAATTGAGTGTAAAGGAGAAAAAAGTTTGGTGTTGGTTCTCTTTTTCGTACGAAAGTGTAGGTGAATGCTTACTGTGGAGCCTTTTTCAATTTGATACATGCAAGTACTTGGGCTTATTACAATATCGTGCATTTTAAGGTTTTATATTTTGGGAGACAAGATGGGTCTGTTACAACCTGTACACAAGGTGTTAAATAGGTACGCAAGGTTACATTAACATCCACTTGTTTCCTGGTGTTTTCTCACAGGTTATCACTCGAACTAGTGGAGGTGGTGATTGATTAATTGATAACCATTCGTGGGGGTGGTGATACTGGGATAGTCACAAAATACAACACTTTATATTACTATTGCTCAAAAGAGCTTCCTAGTCTATATACAACGAAAAAGCAGTCTAGTCTATATAAAGAGAAAAAATAATCTAAATAGTAGGGTTAGATTCTTGCCAAGAATTCCAAAGACCGTCAAATGTCTTCTTATACATTTGACATCCCCTTCCACCCTTCCGAATATGACAAAGGAAAGCAAACTTAACGGAGGGGTCAATCTTATCCAAATCCCTACAACGAGGCGTCTCATGAGTCACGGGATCCTTGGGCATTGACTCGATATAGTTAACGATTACATCGCAATATCTATCTCCCCCTTGGAACCTTCTGTGTCCGTCGACTCTGCTCTTGGAAGATCCGCGTCTGATGTCCAGTTTGCAAAATGCGACGTAACGCTCGAGGTCGTCGTGGATCCTTCTACGGATTTGACGAGGGCAGACAGTAGCAGAATGATAGTGATAGTGAACGGACTCCGTGAGGCCAATGTCTTTCCAGACAGACATGGTGTCTTTACCCCAAGCACCGCAGTGACATGGTAGATTCTTCGCGTGGCAGTTTATATCAGTGTTGCATGTAAAACCTGCATTAATTGGCGTGTTCCAGTTGTAGTCAGAGACACAGACGGGAATCTTGAAGTGACTGGTATGTTTGGATTCGCCGAGAGTCGCGATAGTTGGTTCTTGGCAAGGTTTTTTCATATGATTATTGAAGGAACTTTGGATGATGTGCTATTAGAACGTTAGAAAATATCAATAACAAGGTCTCTTAGTGGGAATTTCGGGAAGTTCACCTGAACGTCAATGTTCCAAGGTTTCTCGTCCCAGTGTTCATGGCCCTTTGGCCTGATATTGCGCGAATAATTACGGGTAGGACGGTCCTTCCACTGATACATGTAGCATACATATCCCCCAGGAGCACAGAACTTGAGGTCCTGTGGGCCGCTCCTATCGCTGCTGCATGATTTCGACTGAATATCCCTTGTACACGAGATGTACACAGGGTCTGAACGAAGAGAGTTGTTGAAGAGTTTCATGAAAGCTTCACGGGCGATTTTCCTGGACGAGATCTTAGTAAGCGTGTCCCAGTGAATGATGCTGGAATTCTACTTACCTTTCAATCGAGGACTGTTGGAATTCAGTGATTGATTTCTTGTTGAGTGAGGGAAGGTGATGGCCCGGACGAAGAATTATGGAGATATCAGTAGCCCCCAAAACTATAAACACAGCATTAATGTTTCCGCTAGCCAGTAAAGGAGCCAGATCCATAACTTACTATTATCAGTATTGGAAGCTCCGCGAAGAACATCTAAAAATGATTGTGTGAGCTTTTCCTTTGCTTCGTAGGCTGCAGCAGCCAGAAGTTTCTCAATTGCGGCTTCAGACTTCCCGCCTGTCTGGATGTGCTTGCCCGCACCAAATATTCTCTTGAATACCTCGGAGCTTTCACCCATTGCCGTATGCACCTCACCGCTCTCCAAAACGACAACGAATGACCTAGCGTCTTCCAGAACACTTCCCCACCTCGACACAGCTCTACCCAGTGGAGAGTATGCGGGCATTCCCCCCGGTATTAGAGCACCAATTTCCGAATGTCCCTTAGATGCAAAGTCCAAGTCGGTCAAAGAAGGCTCATATTCACTATTGAAAATCTTGTCAAACCTGAAGACATCATCGCCCTTGGAAGCATGATGAGAGACTTGACAGGCTTGATCATAATAATGCTTGGCAACTTGGAGAGCATTGCGTCCTTCGAGAATGGTCCTTTCCTTGTGGAGGACGGGAGAGATGATAATCAATGCGGTTTCGATCGTTTCGAAAAACATATTTCTGACTTCTTCGGAAGAGCTATCGTGCCATCCTTTCACGGGCATACTCTTTACCAATTCGGTAACGTGCCTTGGCACATCTTGAATCGATTTCTTTCATGGTATTAGCCTTCTGACTGCAACTTTGGATACGTATCGGGTGATGTAAGGATACTAGCAAACATACATGAATGATTGTTGCTTTCTCGCCAAGAGCGGCGGCACTGGAAAGCACAAAAAAGACCCTCCTGGCCTCATGAACATCGTGAACCTTAGCAACAACATCTTCACACCTGATGTCACAAATAAGACGGGGAAATTCGCCTTGATAACCGCGGTAGAAGCCTTCACAGCCAAGGTATTTCTGGGCAATAAAGTTGAAAAGTCCAAAATCTTTGAAGGAAGCTTCTTTCGCACTTGCCACGGTGAACTCCCTAAGCCACTTGTCGGTTTCAGAAGTCCAGTAATTTGCAGCCGTGGGCTGGAACTCACGAGACCTGCAGATCTTTCGGACAAGCTCGGGAGTTTTAGGTTCAGGTCGCTCAGGAGCGGCCTCGATGGTAACATTATCGTGTGGCGTGAAGAATTCCTCGGTAATATCGGGGGTGATTTCTTCGACGTCGGAGAATTCCTCAATATCGGGGGAAAATTCCACGGAATCGAATAGCTCATCGACATTGGAGAGTTCCTCGGTAGGCTCGGCCTCAAAGCCTTCGGTTTCGTCTTCGACATTGATCTCAATATTACCCAGGCCCTCCCCGAAGGGTGTGATTTCCTCTTCTTCAATCTCGGCTTCGTCGGCGGCTTCGATTATTTCAACCCCGGCGGATACGTCCTCACCCAATGATTCACCGTTGCAAGGTGGCTCGACACAGGGTTCAATATGAGACTCCTCGATATGGGAGTCCTCGGTAAGAGATTCCTCGATATAAGACTCCTCAATACGGGATTCCTCAATATGAGACTCCTCAATATGAGATTCCTCAGAAGAACCATACTCAACGGAGCTCTCCCCAGCAGGACCGTTATAGACATCAATATTGATAGGATTCTCAAATCTAATACTAGATCCAGCAGGCATAAACCTGTTAGGAGATTCGAAGCGACCATCGTTGAAAGGCTCCATGAAAGGGTCGAAATATTCATCGCTCTCGTCTTCTAACTGAACAGGAATTGCAAAGGGATAGTTTCCGTTGACAATATCCGAGTTAGAGTTGTCATTTGCCTTGAAGGCGGCGGGTCGGTCCTGCAGGCTGCCGGAACGGTCTTTAACAACGGTACTTCTAGTCAAGCTCACAGCTTCGGTAGGGCTGAATAGTATGCCGGCCGCAGCCGCACATACCAAAGATATTTTATAAATTGTCCCCATTTGGAGGGACGTGACTAGTTATGCTAGCAGTGAAGAAGGAAAAGAAAATTCGGAGTTTCAATGAAAAGTCAAAGATATAAATCAGAGCTGGATGTAAGGGGGATGAGGACTTTTATATGTTTTTAGGTTCTATCTATATATAGAGGCTAATTTTTCATTGTGCGTGCTCTCCAAAAGAAGCATTACGCTCTTAATATGAACCTTTAAAGATAATAACCCTAGAAAGCAGTCATAGGGGGAAAAGCGAGAACAAATCTGTCTCATTTGTGACGTATTCATATATCGATGGTTAAGAAAAGTTTTTTAGATAAAATCGGCTAGACATAGGATGACGATATATTTCAGTATATATATCTGTCAACCGAGAGGAGAGGAAATGGGGGGAGATACATACAGGGACATAAATTCAAAGGAACAGAACTTCCTGGAATTTTTATCTTTCCCCAGTATTGAGGAATTAATTGGCAGTTCATTACTCACGGGGTGAAAATTCATCACTCCCCGAAACGGTTAGCTAAAAATTAGACCAGGATCATTGACACTCGTTACGAGTGACTCGTTATGATGCATTCAAGCTACATGTATATAGGCGTAGCGCCATGCAACCACCTTACACATCATTGATGTCATGTCACTATATACCATATATGATATTGATAAAAATAATTGAACTGGCTATTAAAAGTGTCACTGATGTACATAAATAGATGCCTTTCAAATTAATTATCTGGTTACGTATTTACTCAGAAACCTTCAAGGCAGAATAAATCGACCACATCACGATGATCAGCTATATATATATGTTCGTGCAAACAGAGTGTCAGAGTTACAAGGGAATGCATCTACGTCTTTCCTACATATACAAAAATCCCAGATGAATTTTGCGAACGAAGATTCTCTGTATATCTCTCCGAAGACTGGCGACAAGCCGCCGTGGTAATATGACTGCATGTATAGAGCGTTCAACAGAGTGGATTGTCCGATGTTAAATCTGGCCTGGTAATTTAAATGTTCGGATTAGACGCTTTATTTCTTGACCGATACTGGAAGACATCCAGTGGATATTCTGAAGGCCAAATTCTGCAAAGCCGGACCCAGAGCACATAACGCTTTCGCTTTCTTGTTCATAAGCCGGGAATAAATATATATCTTCAATGACTAATAGTTAACTGCCAATTTTTTTTTTTTTTTTGGGGGGGGGATTTTCAAAAGATATTGTGGTATTGTTTTGGTCATTTGAAGTATCGGAGTCGTAAGCAGACTGTCAGGTGAGTAAATCTGTAGACACTCCTGGGGGGGGTCTACAAATCTTCGAAAGTATCCACGGGATATCTTCTATCTAGATTATTTCCAACGCCAGTCCGGCCATAAAACTTTGGATATTAACTTTAATGAGAAGCTTTTGACTTATGCCGAGGATGCGTCGCTTAGGTTAAGGAAGTCCGGAACCTTACTTGAAGGTTAGGTGGAAATCTACCCTACATCATATTCACAAAATCGCTATCTTGGGGGTACGTGACAGTTTGAGAGACCTGAGGTCACAAAAACAGAGTACCGAAGCGTGTTCACTAGATCCGCGGGCGCAGAGGACAGTGTCCAGAGTTGCATACATACATCATGTAACTACTAGAGCACAACTACAATACCAATGTAGAGACCGGTATTGTACGCCTTAATTAGGCCGAAAAATATCAAGCGCTCAAAAATCTCTTTGAGGAAATTTCCTAGAAGCCGCTATTCCAAAAAAAGCTTCACTACTCTCGGGGATTTTCCACCTTGTTGGGCCTATGCAGAGTTTTTCCGCCGGTAGACGCTAATCCCAAAAGGGGGATAGGTCAAACAAGCTCTGGGGACCACTCCATCCAGAAAAGAACTTCGCAAAAAAACCATATACAGTAGATTCAACTCACCTAAGAGCTGGCTTTGTGTCCAGATTGACAGAAATTGACAGGCGAACAATAGTGGCAAGTACAGTCAAGCTTGACGCCTGTATCTGAGCTCAAAAGCTGGGTTATGGAAAATTGAAGCACCCCCGCTGTACATGCTATGAGCCTCAAACTCAACTTTCGGTGTGCAGCGGCCAGCCAGCCTACTATCTTCCAGAACCCCAGTTAGAGATCCTCCTTGGTCGCCGAGTGTCTTTTTTAAGGTTAGCTGAGTGTGTGTCCGATGTCCGGGTGTTGCTGCGCAAAATTTTCCGCTCCGAGCGCCGGGAGCACCCGACACTAATAATATTTAGGGTCCGATGCGTCCCGGCTTACGGAGACAACAATGGCCATGGGAACAACAACAACCAGGTGCTTTAATTTGGGTTTACCCCTGTGTGTCTTGACACTTGAGAGATATTATAGCCAGTAAGTCTGTGGCGTTGCTGTGGCTTTTTAGAACGGGAATATCATAGGACTCGAGGACAGGGGGGGATAGAGCACAAGCATTTGCATTTTATTGGAGACACGAAGATTAATAATCAAAACTGGGCATGCGCGTTGACGTTGGAACCTCGAGTACGAGCCCCGATGATGACTCGAAGCAGTCAGTAGAGTAGAGGTATGTGTACTTTTTCTGGGTCTCGTCTTCAGTCAGCCTCTCCGTTAGGCTCCGAAATTTTCCTATGGTTTCCTTTAGGAAATCCCTTCCCGCTGTGGATGCTTTTCTTACTCTAAGGGAGTTATTTACTGTCCGTTTCGTCTAGTGTATGTAGAACCCGATTTTTCTTACTTTTGGTATATAAGTCCCTATTGCGTACGGGGGTGTACCACTACTTCTAGTCAAAAGTTTCTCATCAAAGAAAAAGACAAACACCAAAGCAAACTCAACCAAATACCAAAAATGCTCTCAACAAGAGTTATCACAACAGGAACTCTCTCGAAGACCCTGGGCCAGTTTGCCACTAGTGGCCTTCTGGTTCGCGGAACCAATTGCGTCCTACTACAGCAGCATAGGGCTTTCAGCTTGTCCTCGAAACCTTTCTTCAATTCCTCACAAAGAAATAAAGTTGCGGAAACTGAAGTAAAGAATTTGAAGGAGTTTCGGGAACGATCATGGCCACATCCTGTGTATAGCGAACAGGAAATGAAGGATATTGTTAGTATTTGCCTACATTATTACCTGTTAATACAATGTTCTAGGGCCTAGCTAAGTTTTGGTATCAGGTAATTGCGCATCGTAAGGCCAAAGATTGGTCTGATTGGGTCGCTCTCTCCGCCGTACGCTTTTTCAGACGAGCATTTGACCTCGTAACCGGGTACAAACACGACAAGCAGGTATGGTTTATCCTGAAAAAACCAAGTTACAGATTAGTTACTAAAACTTGTCTACAGATTGCGTTGGGAAACAAAAATCCCAATACCACTGATGCTTTCCACATGACTCCCGATAAATGGCTTGCCCGTTTCATCTTCCTCGAATCCATTGCAGGTTCATCACCCCAAAGAGCATGCCTACCAAACTCTAGATAGACACTAACAAGCACCTCCAGGTGTCCCCGGTATGGTCGCTGGCATGATCCGTCACCTTCACTCCATCCGCCGCCTTCAACGAGACCAAGCTTGGATTGAGACGCTCCTCGAAGAAGCCTACAATGAGCGTCTCCACCTTCTTACCTTCCTCCATTTCCGCCAGCCTGGCTGGTTCATGCGCATGATGATCCTCGGCGGCCAGGGTGTTTTTTTCAACACCTTCTTCCTTGCCTACCTCATCTCCCCACGCACCTGCCACCGCTTCGTCGGGTACATTGAGGAAGAAGCTGTCATCACCTACACTCGTGCCATTGCCGACCTTGATAACGGGAGAATCCCAGAGTGGTCAAATCTGCGTGCGCCGGACATTGCAATCAAGTACTTCAACCTCAAGCCAGATGCGGTTATGAAGGATATCTTGATGGTCATCAGGGCCGATGAGGCAAAGCATAGGGAGGTCAACCACACACTGGCGAATCTTCAGCAGACAGAGGACCCTAATCCATATGCCTTGACCTATGGCAATCGAAATAAGCCACATCCGACCAAGGGGTTGGAATTCACGAAGCCTATTGGGTGGGAAAGAACCGAGATTACCGTGAAGCCATCAGATTAGTCTTCTTCCCTGCTTCTTGTGCGTCGTTTCATTGTTTTTCATTTAAAAGTATGGGATGGAAGCTGTGTTTTTGGGTTCCAAGGTTATAATCTCTTCTCCTTGTACGATATTAGTAATTGGCGTTATTTTTCTTCTTTTTTTTCTCTTTGTTTTGGGGGATACATGGCGCTGCTTGATCCTTTTTGCAGGCCATGGGATTTTTGTTTTATTTTTTCGTTTTCTCTAGTTAGATATCAATGCCCTCTCCTCTCTTTTTACAGCACTACATGTAGCTATATCACATTGTCCTCTACCGTCATTGATAGAGGCCGATTCAATTCAGCCGTATGAGTCACACCAGCAACCAGAACAGGACAAGAAAATCACCTCGGGTTCTTAACCTTTCTAAACTCTGTCTCCCCATCTACCACCTCCTTCTCGTTCTGATCAACCCTAATCACATTTGCCAGCTCCGGACCTTTATCCAGGTCCTTCACAAACTGCCTGATTAAATTCTCCTCCCCCTGGGCCTCGCCCTCAACTTTGCCGTTTGGGATATTCCGCACGAACCCGGTGAGTGAGTATTTTCTCGCTGCGTCTACTGCGAATTTGCGGTAAAAGACACCTACAAGTCGGGGTTAGAAGGCTAACTGAGTCCAGCTACGAGAACCGTATAGAGCACACCTTGCACGCTGCCGTGAACGAGGAAGTGAATCTATTTATGATGTGCTGTTAGGTCAAAACCCATTATTACCACTAAGATAGGCGAGAAGAACGTACTCGTTTGATAGCCATTTTCGTTTTGTTTCGTTTCGGTTGTTACTTTAGTGGCTTTTTGTCTGGAAGCTTGTATGTTTGACGTGTGTCGTTTAATTGGGGTCTTTATCGCTTATCGTGTGCCAGGGTTAAAATCGCCTTGGCTGGAGACGTCATGGCACTCAGCCGCATGACATGACTGTACTATGCGGCATTGATCGGGATGCACGGAAACTGGAATTGGGCGGTGGGGTTGGTCGTGATTGATGCCAGAACACATTTGAGCATAAGCATGTGTCAATATTGTTATTTCAGTCCCGCTTGTATTTGTCTTCTCGTATATATATATTTATCATAGCAACCGACCGTACATCTTACGATACTACATGTATTTAGATACATGTACTAAACGTACTACATGTAGGTACATACAGCATATCGACCGCATATACGGGTATTTAAGAGTACCCATAATCCAGTAGATCAAAGCTTAGAAGGCACTCAGAGGCAATTATCACACCCGAGGCAAAAGCTTGGGCGAAAGAATATTAGAGGTTATCGTGAATTGATAGATAATCTGTGCCGCCAGCTCTAGCCCAGACTTCCCTCGGTTTAAACTGGTCGAGTCGTCCTGACCTACACCCTAGCTCGGTATCTCTCGGGGTGAGTGATCGCCTGTGATGCAACGGGTGAAATTGAGAACCGCGGGTATTCACTCGGGTATGGGACATCTATATTATGTGGAAGCGCTTTATTGAGGACTTTGAAATTCATCACTTTTTAGGGTTTATGTTTGTGCATGTGAGTAGGCAGGTTCATGTATATTGAATGCTAATAGAATCCAAATTTCCAGAAAACGACAAAGTATTTATGATGGGAGGATAGGTACTTGTATTTATCTTAACATGTAAGTAGTACATCTATTCATGCTACGTTTAATTTAGGGAGAATAAAATAAAGTCGAAATTGAACCCATAATTCGCTTCATAACTGCATACAAAGTATTGTTTAACTCTTACAACCACCACAAACTCATTTATGAAGCATAAACTATATAGTGGGGTCTAAAAACAGCGTTTAAGATGTTAACCTAATTGTAAAGCCTTTGGGTTTCGTTGCTAATCTGATGGGATGGGGATAGATATGATGCATTTCACTCATGTTTCAGTTTCCACTCAGATGCTCAGATAAAATCCAGGCCAGTGAACTGCTCCCCCACCTCTTCGTAATCCTTATCTTTGTCGTTAGTTTCAAAGTAACCGGATTGATTGCCGCTATTCTCCTCGATCTCTCCATTTTTTCCCTTTTGGCTTCCCTGGAGGGGTGTTTTCTGGCTGTTCATCCGAGTATTTGGTTGATAGTGCTCGCGGCCTTGCTGGTTCTTCTGCTGATACCCACCCCGGTAACTGCCGCCCCGCTGATATTTTTGCTGCGGTTGTTTCTGATAATATTTCTGTCTGTTGAGTTGTTGTGATTGCTGGTTATGACTGTTGATATTACCAGTTTCACCCTGCTGCCCACGCTCAAGACCTTGGAAATCTTTTCTAAACCCGGGCCTCGGCTGGGATAGTGATGTATTGTTGTTTCCTCTACCACCTCTTCCTCTCATGTTCGAAACTTGTGCTCTACTTTTGAGGACACCTATCTTTCGTTCTTCGCGCCAGTCATTCATTACACCATATCCATATCGGTCGAAGCCATTCGCCCAAGGATTCCAGGCAGCATTGTAGGTATAGGGATACCCAGCTCTAGATAGATAATTCATGTATGCCCCTTTAAGTGCCTTTTCGTGAATATGACTATGTGGAAGCTGATTCCCGAGAGCTGTGGTGGAAATTTTAGTAAATCCCCTTTAATAGTCTTAAACATAAGTGGGAGTAACATACTCAACCACCCTTTGCGTATATTGTGCTCTCTTCCGAAAAGTTCAAGTTTTCTAGCTTCTAGACCCACAAGACGACCAATAACATCATAAATCTTCACAAATTTTGTAAGCTTACTAACCCGATCGTATCACGGCTTCTCACTCGGAATTCCTACCTCATCTGGTTTGTGACTGGTTGCCCTAGGTTGTGCAACAATAACATCCATATCGATACCTTTATTGACCCATGTTGGGTTCCCTTTGATTCCGACCAGACAATGCTCCATCGTATGGTTAAGCCAGTGTCCTGTCCTACCAACAGAAATCAGACGGTTGAGATGGTCAACTTTGACCCAGGCAATTTCATCACAGAACCGATACCCCCACGCACGTAGACAGGCATGGCCGGCGTCAATAGTCCTTGCAGTACACCACAGAAAAAAAAGGCCCTCGTCCTGGAGGCTTCCCAATGGAAGATCGATGATAGCTTGATCGGGAACGGTACCATACGGGAGCTATGAGAACATCACAGTTAGCATTGACCAATTTGGATTAAGTGACATAGATATAATAATTACAGTCATTCGAATGTCCCACGGTGCTAAGAGCCGAATATGTTAGCATCGATACCCCCACTTAAATGACAAAAAACGTACGATCTGCCATGATAGCCCTGAATTTTCCCAGGATCCCCAAGTCGAATTTAGTGATATCGCACCTAATCCATTGGGGAGGAGCACTTGCGCTCGGCGGGAAACTGATGCCCTTTTTCTTCATAAAATGTTAGTGATGATCATAAAACCTCTTATGAGTTGAAATACCGTTGATTTTGCATTATCCACAATATCTTTTTCTCCAATACCCCAGGCCCCTTCGTCTTCATTCTTGATACTGCCCAGGTTCTCCATTTCACCCGCTTTCCCCTGGAGTTCATCCATAAGCGGGTTTCCAAGAGTCATTAACTCTTCCTTATTCAGCTCTTGAATACGTTTTATAACACTCTCTGGAAACAACGGCTGATAATGTATGTAGGGACATCTGTCAGACATATCGCAAGAATCCAAGAACGAACAATCACCAAGTCTAACGTCTGTCTGAGCATGAATTATGCGCTTGAAATGCAGTTTGTCACGGCAACATCTGTTATGCCTCGATGCAGACTTACAGCGTCCCTCAAGGAAATATGAACAGTGTGCAACATAGGCTGGATGGGACGGTGCCCGGGAGATGAGACCGAGAAGGGCGAAGGATAAAGCAGGCGTCATACTACGGCGGGATATTCCCTCCTCTTCGTCCTCTAAATCTTCTTCGTCCAAAACTTCATCATCTGAGATTTCTTCGTTCAGCCCCCTTTGAAAGTGACAGGCGATTCAACAGAAGGGGACCCAGTAGTCACGTCTTCAGAGCTCCAACGAGGTGGATGTGGCTCTAGGCAGAGGTTGATAGGCATCAAAGAGGAATTAGTATTGTTGACTGGCACGTCAAAATGAAAATCCTCCTGTCTTTTCGATTGTGGATGGAAGGGTTTTGCATGGACACTTTGTTTCATTTCTCGCCCTTGGTCTTGTTGACGCTTCTCCTCCTGTATTTCCCGATGCCTTTCTTGACGTTGTTTTTCTCGACGCTGCTTTTCTTGATGCTGCTTTTCTTGATTTTGATGCTGCAAGTGTTGCAGGTGTTGCAGGTGTTGCAGGTGTTGCAGGTGTTGCAGGTGTTGCAGGTGTTGCAGGTGTTGCAGGTGTTGCAGGTGTTGCAGGTATTGTCGGTCTTGCTGGCTCTGGTGGTCTCGCAGATGTTGCTGACTTTGCTGGTGTTGTCGGACTTGATATTCTTGCTGATATTGCAGGTGTTGCTGGGGAAACAATTGTTGATTTTCTGGTTCCCATTGCCGCCCTACAACCCGCCTTGGGCGTGCTTCATTGGCACCCGCCCCAGTTCTGTTGTGTAAAATGTGGTTTTGGGTCCCTGAATTGGGTATAGAGCTTCCATCAATCTTAAACTGACTGAAATTTGGGGGAGGTATGTCCTGATACATGAGAAATTCCTTGTGTCTTAGCTGAGCATCTATTTCTGTCATAGCTACCCCTCTACTATCTATCAGTTGACCAGGGTGTAATGGGAGACTAGCTCTAAGATTACCCGAAGATACATCAGGTCTTTGGTTCTCTGCATGAGTTTGACCCCTGTACAGAGATTCACTAGTTCGTAGGCCTTGTGGTGTCTGGGATTTGTGTGCTCGAAAACTATTCTGGATGAATTCAGGCACTGGAATTCGCGCTGGAACATGAAATTGCTCATGACCTGTAGAATGTGCTCCATTTATGCCATCTAAGAAGCTGTTTTGAGTTGTATAGTCTCGGGGATTGAACTGCGGACCATCCCCCGTTGGCTGTGGGCCACCGTAAACAGGATCTTGATATGCGTTAGACCAAGCCCCAGAATGATTGCTAGTGAGGGAGAAATCCTGAATTTGATCACTTGCAAGGTTTCTGTGAGTTAGGTAAGGGTGAGGGTCATTGTTCCCGGGGTTCTGCCTTCCGTGTTGGCCATTAAAGAAGTGGTCGTAACTCATCCTGAAAGTGGGGCAAAAGGGGAGACAACGATGTTTTATGATTTGTTCTCTAAAACTGATTCTTGACGTTGCCTTGCTTGGTGGGTTGGTTGGTTGATGGGTTGATGTTTTGTTTTGAACCACAAAAAGACTCCAAAGGTACCATCATGTACTATCACTCGAACCCTAACTCTAACAATGACGGGGTAAGATATTCATTCGCCATTAATTAAACACCACCTGCGCCCGCCATCACCATCCCGCGCCAATATCCGATAATCCTCTTATCTATAATCCAGAATCATTACTGGTACTTTCGCGCGATAAAGCAAAAAAGAAAACAAACACACACAAAAAAAAAAAAAAAAGGATTGTAGAGTACAAACACAAATGAGAACGATAAGTAACTTCGGACCTAAAACTCCTATCAATCACGGAATTCGCTCGACTAACAAATGAAAAGTAGTAACTACATGTACATATGATACTCAGCCGCAGTGTCTTGGGAGAGGGGAGGTAAAGACGATAGCGGACAGATAGTCTAAATGAGAGCAGACCCCACATCAATAAATAGGTAAGCCCATTTATGGGATGTGTATGTACCCCTAATTCGGTTTATACCGGGATACATCGACACTCGCAGGCATTCTAAAAAAAAAAAAAAAATTCTAAATCAATCTATCGCCCTCAGTCTCGCCTCTTGTAAGAGCAGGCGTACCCGCCACCGAATCTCCCTCAAGGTCAGGATCGTAAGCTGTGGAAACGGCATCATCGTCATCGTCCTCATCTACAGGTATATATGAGCTGGCACCCGGCCCCGAAATAGCGGCGGCGGTTTCGCCCCGAGCCTCCTCTCTCATCCTTTTAATTTTCATGAAATTGTAGACAGCGATAGCCATGATAGTAACGAACAAACCAGAGATGTTAACGGGTGTGAGGGGGTCTTTGAAAACGATTGCAGCAACGGATATGGTCATTACTTCCTTAAAGATACCACAGATTGAAAGTGTTACAACCGAGGTGCGTTTAAGGAGTCTATAGGGCGATATTAGCGCTGTAGGAAACGCCAGAGGGATAGGGTGGTCTTACGCAAATTCGCTGCTAACCATCAAGAACGCAATCACACCAGGGAATAACAGAATCGCACACCCTTTTAACACGCCCTCCTGCGCAACTAATTCTTGAAGTTTTTCCGAAAGTGGTCCAAACCCTTCGACAGGGACAGCAATCAGGAATATGGAGACGAACATTATGGGCGCCAAGAAGAAAATACTGGAGAATGGGTTTGAGGTGGCTGGATTTCGAAGAAGTAAGATCTGTGTCAATGACCAACGAAGACCCGATAAGGCAGAGGCGAGAATCACGAGGAAAAACCCGATTGGGACGAAATGGGCTTCTGAAGCTACCATCATTAAGACGCCGATCGTCATGACAGTAATAATACCGACAAGCTTCCAAGTGAGCTTTTCGAGGCGAAATATAACGGCAAATAAGAGGACAAAGCCGAGAACGGAGGATTTGCACATTGCTATATATTGGTTAAAAGGTTATTAGAATACCTAGAGATAGAAGGGAAAGAGAAATGAGATATGGTGGGCGAAAGCTACTAACTGTAAAATGCAAGAGATATGAACTTTAAGCTCATGTTTCCCAAACCGATGTCTAGCCCTGTAGCTGCCCCGCATGGGCCGACTCTAGTTATATAGAACCATAATGTCATGATCCCGGCTTTCTGCCTCCGCTGTTCCTCACCACGGCTGTTCATGGAAAGCCGACCACCTTCACTAGGGCGCTGATCAATTGAGGTTTTGCCAAAGAAACCGATGGGGCGAAAATGCGGAAATATGAACAGAACAAGTGAAGCTAAACAAAATTGGACTATCATATGGAGACAGGTTGTGAAGAGCGGGAAATGAAAATCGAGATAATCGGGTGAGAACATCCATTTGTTGTACTGTGAGAATATATAGTTAGAAGCTCGTTTTTGATCTCCAAGGGATGGGAATTTCCTTACGATTGATATCAAAAGTGAAAACAGATACCTGTCAAGAACTCTGATTAGCCTAGACTTTCGATGCTCCTCTCTGGGAGCTAAGCTATGACCAACCGAAGAGAGCTTATCAACCTACCAAAGACCAATAAACAACGCGTTGATACTCATATCTTTAATAACCTTCCCATCTGCAAGCTTCTTTTCTTCGTCGCTTATCACTGGCCGTTCCCCATCTGCCATAACCAACCTATCACCCAAACCGACACTCCCATCACCACCACGTAAGTTCAATCCGCCCCGTCTTCTACGTTTACCCCTTTTACGTCTATCCGGGCTCGGAGCCCATGATTCACCCTCATCGCCGGTATGTGGATAGTCGCTCATTTCCAGGTCTTCAGATTCTGAATCGTGTTCCAACCTTGGCTGTCCAGCGTCATCGACCGGAGACCCGACCTCCGACGAGCTGAAACTATCGGTAGAGCTCCTGGCTCCAGGTCTAGATTTCGATGAAAAAGCTCTCTTCTTTTTTTGTTTCTTTGCCCTCTGTGTTCCGGACTCGGTGAAGGCGGACGAAGGGTTTGGCGAAGGTTCTGGGGGACACGCCTTGTTTCCAACGACAGGTGGGTTTTTGGGACGGTCTTCTTCAGAATCTTCGGAGGAAGAGGAAGGATATGAGGTTGTATTTGCGGGAAAGGAAGCCGCCATGGCCTCTTGCGAGCAGGGGGGGGGGGGTTGTATGGATTATAATCTACGTATTACTTGATATATATGTAGAATCTTGCTGTTGGGTTGAGGACGGGATTGGACTGGCTAGATCTTTTTTTCCCTCTCTTTGGGTGATGGGGTGCAGTTGTCTGTTCAGTCTTTATTGCGCGTATTTACCGGAGAAGACCATTGTTATTAGTAGCGAGTGCGTGTGCCCTTGTTACCGGGGGGTGTTGCAGGACAGCCAGGACAGGACATCCGGGACAGGACATACTCCACATAGAGCACCATACAGCTACCCCATACCAGCAGTATCTGGGCCCCAGGCCTCTAAAATGCACGGTTAGAAAGGCCCAGGTACCGGTAAGAAGATATTCCGTCTGTCTGTATTTAGCTATGGGGCGCGTGAGGATACCTACCCGAGTGGCTAGTGCCCGTTTTACTAGTATTTGTGCCACAGAAATCTAAAAGGAGATCAAACGCGGCAGTGTTACTGAGCGCAGTTCTGGGGTCAATGTGCACTGATTAACCACTGGCCCATTTGCAGAAAGAGAGCTAGAGTCTGTTTATTCGCCATTGACCCGGGAAATACTGTATAACATTACATGCATCAAAACACCAATCCCTGCCCTTGCAAACAGACCCCTCCACAGCTCTCCGTTATCTGCCCCTCCTTATCCTCTGACCACTAACCCTCTCATCACCACCACCAAAAGGGTATCGTGACCCTACCCCACACCCTCAAAGCTAAATACTCATCACCTGTACCATCTCCCCCTCCTTACTCTCTAATAGCCTTAACAATGCCTGGTGACTCCCCACCTCCAACTTCTTTTGATGATATCGAACTCCACAAGGAAAACATACAGCCTCTCGCTTCGGGACGGTCTGCTAGGGCGCTCGCACAAGTCCTTTCGGCACGTGCTAGCCCTGTTGTTCTCCGTGGAGAGAATGCTGTGAAACAGGCTGAATTCGAGCAAGAATTAAAGACAGCCTCTGAACTGGATGACCCACTGGAGGTTTGGGTTCGCTACGTCAACTGGACTGTCGAGACATTTCCTTCCGGTAGTTCTCATGAATCCAACCTTGTGCATCTGCTCGAGCGAGTAACCCGGGAGTTTCTCCACGAGGATCAGTACAAGAATGACCCTCGTTACCTCAAACTTTGGATCCAATACATCCAAAACTTTTCCGACACCCCGAGAGAAGCGTTTGCGTACCTTGCTAGGCACGATGTCGGGCAAAAACTTGCCCTGTTCTACGAGGAATTCGCTACGCTGTTAGAGAGCATTGGTAGGAGACACCAGGCTGCTGAGGTTTACCACACGGGGATCCAACAAAACGCTAGGCCTGTAGATAGGCTCCTCAGGAAGAACGATGAGTTCAGACAAAGATTAGAAACCAACCCAATTACAGATGATGAACCTCACTCGCCTGCACTTGTTGCCACAAGGCCGGCATTGGCAGTAAAAGCTTTTGGTGGTGGGCTCGGAGGCGGACTAGGAGCACCAGCAGAGCCCCAGCAGCAGCAGCAGCAGCCAGATCCAGCTCCTGCTAAGAAACCCGCAAAAATGAAAATGGCTATCTACTCCGACGCGGATGCTGAGCCTTCTTCAAGAGCTGGAACTAAAAAGGTGACCGGCGGTTGGGATGAGATTGGCACCAGGGATCACAGGAAAAAAGAAAATACCGTGGAGTCACGCCCCTTTGCCGGACAGACCATGAAGCAGGAAGGTGGAAAGAAGCCGTCGTCACAAGGTGGCAAGCTGGCGGTCTTTAGAGACACTGTGAGTAGTTCCTAGACAATGTTTACTTCACTTTCCTGTCTAATTATTATATCTTGCCAATACAAGTAGAACTAATACCACCGTTCGATTCTCAATTTGTTTTGTCAGTCTTTACATCATTCACAAGAAAATATCATTCCCCCCGCATCATCCAATAAACGTCCTGAAAAAGTGGCCATAAATCTTGAACTAGTATATCCAGAAGAAGGTGACGAAGAATATTCTTTCGAAGAATTAAGAGCAATAAAGAGAGGTCTTTATGGAATCGATTGGAAAACGAGGCGAGAGGAGGAGGAATATGAACGTCGAGCCAAAATCCAAGCAAAAAGTCGTATGGTTGAAGAAAAAAGGGCACCAGTAACAGTGAAAACGGTCATGTCTCCTTCTCCAAATAAGGGCAAAATAAAACGAAAAGGGAACTCCAGAAACGCTGAGCCTACAATGACCTTCCACACGAGAGCAGCGACAGACGAAATATATGATATTTTCAATCAACCTTTGCAGTTATCCGCCGGGCAAGATGATGAGGATAGTGAAAACGATAGTGACGAATTCGATGGAGAAGATTATACCATGGCCACCAATATTGGCGAGCAAACCGAGCAGTTTGACCCCGACGCTGAGGGCGAAGATGACGATGGAAAAAGTGTGAAAAGTGATTGGTCTGATTTTACTCTCAGGCGAAATTTGCTGGCCGAGAATGAGACGGAAGGAGAAGAAGAACTGGTAAGCGAAGAGGAACTTGTACAAGCCAAGGGAAAGATAGAAAAGCTCGCGATTCACAAGGATGAAGGGTTTGATGTCTTTGGAGAAAACAAGCTCAATATTCTAAGGGATGAACCCAAGCAAGTGGCGACATCATCCCGTCTTCCTCTCCAGAAAATGAAGATCCCCTCGCCTCCCGAAGATTTTGATCCACCTCGAAATCCATATTATGCCGGTAATCAAGCGCATGCTCAGAACAGGCTTCCATACATGACGCCCATTGTTGAAAAAACCGAGTCCTTACCACCAACAACAATTGCGAGAAGAAAAGCAGAACATCACAAAACCCCAAGTAAGAGCCGGATGCCGGACATCATGGATAATAGTTTCTCAAGTCCGTTCGGCGAGATACTTAACGATTCTGGCTTTGGAGTGAGCAACCTGTCACTAATCGATCCTCCGCTTGTGCCTAAAGAAAGGGAAAGGAAGCCTTTTGGTGCTAAACCCGTCACGGCACTAAAACCTGTAGCACCAAAAGAAGTACCAATAATTCAGGACCTGCAGTGTAATCCAATGGATGAAGCGCTACGAGCCCAAATATACGAAAAATTACAGCCCCCTTTGAAGACACATGAAGGGTTTTATCATCATCCTAAGTCCACATTTGGAAAGGCAGCTGAAATTAGGAAGTTCTCAAAGTCTATGGGCAGGAAGGATAGTGATAGAAACAACTCTAACTCTGGACAAGGCCCAAGTATCGACTTCTTTACAGGAGATGGTGTTAGGTCTTATGCCATAAAACGAGAGCTCGGCAAAGGAGCATTTGCACCGGTTTATCTCGCCGAGAATATGATGGTGGCAGATGCAGAAGATGAGGCTGAGGACCTGGATGAGGATGATATCGAAGGCCGTCTCGAACTTACTAAAAGAACAGCCGGTCGGAAACGGTTTGAGGCAGTAAAAATGGAACATCCCCCATCTCCATGGGAGTTCTATATAATGCGCCAAGCCAAGCGTCGTCTTGGTGTGGTCCGCGCATCCGAATCGATTCTTAATGCCTATGAGATGCACCTCTTCTCTGATGAAGGGTACCTAATCCTTGAATACCGCGACCAAGGCACAATTCTCGATCTTATAAATATTGCTAAAGCCGACTCGGCCGCAGGTGCGGGAGTCATGGATGAAACACTTGTCATGTTTCTAGCCGTTGAGCTCCTGCGGACCGTCGAGGCCCTCCATACGCGTGGCATTCTCCATGGTGATCTGAAGGCTGATAACTGTCTCATCCGCTTCGATCCCATTCCTGATGCTTCTTGGTCTGCACGCTATCGTCGCGATGGTGCGGATGGCTGGGACAAGAAGGGCGTGTCGTTGATTGACTTTGGCCGTGGAATCGACATGAAATTGTTCTCGCCGAACGTCCAGTTCATTGCTGATTGGAAGACGGATCAACAGGATTGTGCTGAAATGAGAGAGATGCGGCCGTGGACTTACCAGGTTGATTACTATGGTCTCGCCGCAATCATACATACCATGTTATTTGGGAAGTACATCGAGTCCACAGCCGAGAAGGGAGGCCTAGGGGCGAAGAAATACAGGATCACGAGTACCATGAAGCGATATTGGCAGCAGAATATCTGGAATGAACTCTTTGATGTTTTGTTGAATCCCTTGCTCCACACTGGTGGGGAAAATCGGGGCGTGATGCCCGTGACTAAAGCTATTAGAAAGTGCAGGGATGGTATGGAGTCATGGCTAGAGAACAATTGTGAGAAGGGAGCTGGGTTGAGGAATATAATCAAAAGAATGGAGGCGACGCTGAGTAGAAGGAGATAGGCACGGATAGGATCGGAGCAGGAGAATGGAGAACATTTTGTGTTAGTTTTAGTCTTGTGTTTGGTCTTTGGAGTTCGTTTTATAGATACAAATATGGGGGGGGGGGGGGGGGCCTTATCGTCCTTATAGGTTTTTTTTCTTTTTTTCTTCTTCAGTCCTTCGCCAGTCATTTTGTCGGCGAGATAAGCGGTCATATACCCGCAGCTAGCGCCTCTTGCCCCGCTCATCTAAATTTACAGAGATCGTGCCCTAGCCTGCATAGATATATTTCCTGTCGATTCGCCGCTACTAACCACCCACTCTCCCTTTTTCCCGTTGAAACAAGGAATTCTTGGTCATGGATAATCACTCGAACATCTGATGGCCAGGATTTTTTTTTTTTTTTGTTTAATTCATTAATTGCATGCAACCTTACAGTTATGGCAATGACCCCTGAACCACCCGACCTCTTCCACCTCCTCTCGCGTTTGGCTGACATAGGAAATATATGAAAATACACCGTGTTGGGCTATTCCTCGTCTCCGGCGTCCTTCAACGTCCCCCAACCATTCTGATGGCCAGGAAAATCGGCGACCAAAGGGAAACGGGGCTAACTTGGCAATTCGCCGTCGTCTCTTGGTGATACGTTCCAGCACACACATCACCGCCATGGCCTGTAGTGCTTGATTTTGCAAATGGTATAGTAGGCCGCCGTAACCACCACGGTCACTCACCCACCCCGGCACAGAGAACCCCCAACTTTACTACGTCCACCTGGTCAGAGGATAAACCAATAGATGCTGCGGGGGAAGCAGAATTTCTAACCCCAGAAGCCTAGTCACCCACACCCTGATACGATGTACATACATGTATGTACGAAGTAGCCGTCGAGGGGGTGGTACATGTACGTGTAGTGATATGCAACCCACCACCGAGGAATTAGTTAGACCCACATCTCCATCCAATGCGGCTGGGTTGTTTAGTGGCGGTGAGCGTGGGCGGGGGTCGAGATCGGGTTGGTTTATGCTATGTAGGCCGACGTTGGTGGACGAGTGATATTCTGTGATTGGGTTATCGGCGAGTCTACCTACATGTACTTTCTGGGAGAATGTTCCCTTTCAACCCCCCCCCCCCCCCCCCCCCAAATGTAGGTACGCTTCTCGACAGGTCAAGCTAGGCAGGTATATAAGGTCGATAGGTATATACATACACGTAGAGTGCACCCCACTTATTTCGTCAGTAACTTTGCTAGACCCGGATGATTTTCTACAATGTCTTTTTTGTCAACCTTCAGTTTCAGTTTTTCTTTCTTTCTTGCTCTTCTTATAGTAATAAGAAGAAGCTTATGTGTATGTTAAAAACCTCCCATGCAAAAAATCCTTCTTCCTTATTCCCACAACCAACAAACAAGCAAGCAAGCAAGCAAACGTCTAGTATAAGTAGAAGAGCCAAAACGATAAAAAAAAAAAGATATATATAAAAAAAAAACGAAAGAAAAAATAGAACCATTAAAAGATAACAAAGAGAGAAAGAAAGAAAAAAACACAAAAACCCGTTAAACACCCTTCCAGAAACGACAGAAAAAAAAGTGCCTAAAAAATCCTCATCTCAAGCCATGCGTCCCACAATAAGCCAGAAACATAAACTAAAAAAACAGACAAAGAAAAAAGAGAAAAAACAACATAGGAATCGTCAAGATACATATGTACCGCCATTCCCTTCCCTTCCCCGCTCACCACCCATCTCCCCCTTTTTTTCTCCCCCGCATATCACCTCACATGATATTATAAACCCTCTTCGCAATAAAATAGCACAGAAACCCAAATCCCAGCAGCCCCACCGTGATGCACCAGAACCAGTTCAGATTCTCAATCTCCTGGCCCGGCACCATGACGTTCATGCCCCACAGGCCCGTGATGATATTCATCGGCAGCACGATCGTGCCCAGGACCGTCAGCCGACCCAGCACGTCCGCGGTCTGCTCCTGGCGCTCGTTCATCTTGATGTTGATCTGGGCGAGGTAGTTTGAGTGTGAGCGCGAGAGGATCTTCTCCATGTGGTTGAGGTTGCCGACCATGGTGACGATGTGGTCTAAGTTTTTTTTTTAAAAAAATATCAGCACACAATCCATCTGGGGGGTTAGGAGCTACAGTGAAGCTGGGATGGATGGATTGGATTGGAATGGGGATTTGCAAACCTTGAATATCGCCCAAGTACAGCCCAATCTCACTCCGCGGCGCCACCTCCCACTGCTCATTACACCGCTTCGCAAACCCCTTAATCACATCCGCCTTATTCTGCAGCAGCCTATACAAGCCCATCACCTTCTTCCTACTATCGCCCACCCTCTTGAGCATATCCCCATCACTCTTCTGCTCCGTCTCATCCTCCGCCCCGCCGCTGCCCCCTGCGTCCCCGCCGAACTCTTCTTATCCGCCCCGGCCTCCGCCAAATGCATCAGCAAGATGGCATCATCAATATCGTCCACCTCCTCCTCGAGGTTCTGGATCAGCGGCGCAAACGCATCCGTAATGTCGTCAATCAGCGCATACGAGATCCAGTCCGCCGAGACGGTGATGTAGTCCTTGAGCTGGCGTATGCGGCGGCGCACGTTTGCCGGGTGCGGCGTGAGCGAAAAGTGGAAGCTGATGACGCCCTCGCGGAAGACGACGAAATACAGGTTGACGGGCTCGAGGTAGTCCTCGCTGTTGCTGTCCTGCTCGAACGTGCGGTACGAGACGAGGTAGTAGCTGCGGAAGAGCTCGACCTTCTCGCGCGTCTCCTGCATCAGGATGTCCTCGGCCGTCAGCGGGTGGATGCCGAACGTCTTGACGAAGACCTTCATCTCGGCGTCCGTGGGGTTCATGACGTCGAGCCAGAAGGTGGGGCGCGGGCCGACGCGCTGCGGCGAGTTGGTGGTTTGTTGGTGGTTCGGGGAGCGGGCGGAGTTCCCCCGGGGGTAGGAGACCCGTTTACTGTTGCCCGGCTATTGTTGGTCGTCGTCTCGGCCTCCGAGTACCCCCGCCGTGGATCTCGTCCTCCTCCTCGTCAGAGCTATCGTCCAGGACCCGCGGCTCCGGCCTGAACAGCTCCTTGAACGTCTGTCCGGGCTGCAGGAGCTCAGAGATGGTATGCGAGTGGATCGTCGCCGGGATCTCGTCGTTGAAGTACGTGAACCGGTAAGGCTCGTCATCCACCTCCCTGTGCCAGCCCGATCTCTGCGGCGCCCGCAGTCGCCCGCCCACATAGACCGGCTCCGACGTCTTCTTGGCCCTGATTCCCTCGCTGCGCTCCTCCTTCTCGTCCCTGCTCCATTCCTCCAGCACCGCCAGGTCGGGCCACGCCCGCGTGCGACGCCGGGGGCGGGTGCGGACCTCGCCATGAATAGTGGCAACCTCGTCGTCCGTGAGTCCGTCGTCCACGGGGAAACACACATCCTCCTCCGCCGTCGTCTTCCGATGCCCAGGCCCCATCTCATGCGGCGGCGTCTGGCAGTGCGAATCGGGATACAAGTGATCATTTCCGCCATCCTCCATGGTAATGATCGTATCGTTATCATGCAACCTACTCGGCATGCCCAAGTGGTCATTCGCAAACTCATTCTGGGACCCGATCCCCATGCCCAACAGCGGCCCACGCGGCCCCAAACTCGGGCTCCCCGGCATCGACGGCGGGAAATTGACGCTGCCATATCCCAGCTGCTGGGGCGGCAGCACGAGCGCCGGCCGCCTCCCCACGCTGCCCGACTCGGCCGTCGACGGCCGCGACCGCTTCGGCTTCCCCGAGAACACGGGCGAGATGCTCGTCTCGTTGCTGCCCAAGGACCGCGTGGACCGCGCCATCAACGGCGTATTCTCGTTGTCGCTATCGTCATCGCCATTCCCGTCCTGGTTCCACAAGAATCTTCCTCGCTCCACCCGGGGCGTGCGGCTCTTTCCCGCGGAGAGGAGGTTCCCCGCGGCGCTGCTACCACCGCCACCGGGGGCACCTCCACCCACACCCCGCCCCCGGCCCCACCGCCAGAAAGGTGCTGTTCAGCGGGCTGCGCTGCTTAAACGCCGATGCGCTGCCGAGCTGCGTGCTCTGCCGGCGGGGCCGCATAGACTGCTGGTCGCGGTGGTCGAGCAGCACGGAGCTGCCGATGGAGGTGGTGCTCATGTTGTGGTGGTGGAAGAGCTGGGAGCGTGGGTCCAGCGGCAGCTGCGAGTGGCCGTGGCCGCCGCCGTGGGAGCTGGGGCTGCCCATTGTTTGGTTTGCAGGGACGTTGCTGTTGTCGATGAGGATGTCGCCGATGATGGCGGTTGAGCCGCGGCGTGTACGGCGGCGCTGTTTGTCCTTTTTGCGTTTGGGCTTGGGGCTGGAGGGGGGTTCTTGGTGTTGTTGCTGCTGCTGCTGGTGTTGTTGGAGGCGGTATTGTTGGAGGTGGAGGAAGTTGCTGCGAGTGTTGTAGGATTGCTGGTGTTGTTCCTGTTGCGGCGGCGGTGGTGGTGGTTGTGGTTGTGGTGGTCGTGGTGGTCGTAGTGATCGTGGTGATGGTGGTTGTGAATGATGATGATGATGATGATGCTGGTGTTGTTCCTGATTTTCCTGGGTGCGGCTGGGATCAATGGATTGAGGCTGTGGTTGTGCAGCAGAGGCAACGGCAGGGGCAGGGGTAGCTACTAGTACAGGCACAGCAGATACAGAAGGAGAGGAAGAGGAGGAAGAAGAAGAAGAGGAAGAGGAGGAAGAAGAAGAAGCAGAGGAAGAACGTGTGCGGGAGGCAGGAGGAGAAGGCATGGTTAATTAATTATGCTTATGGACTGATTGGTCGAGATTGATACTAGTTTAAACTTGGGGTCACTGGACCACTGAGAGACGGTCACAGCACGGTATTACCAGGAGTAGAAAGTAGTTGTGTGTGTATGTATGTAGGTGGAGGGTCTGAGAGGTGAGAGGTGAGAGGTGCGAGAATAGGAATGGAGAATGCGGACTAGACCTTCTTGATCTACAGCCCCACCGATAAGTGAGACCCGCGAAAGTGAGATGGAGTCGAGTCAGGAGTCGGGGGGTAGCCGTGTAACGAGTCTCTGTCTGGTCTGTCGTTCTTTATCTCTTCTATTCCCGGGACAACCCTATCATGGCGACGGGGCAAGGTCGTGTGTGGAGTGCTAGATACACACAGGAACAGACAGCTCAATTAAAACAGAATTTTCCTTGGTCAGGATGAGAACGAGAATGCTGGGCAGGTATGCTACCTAGAGTAGGTGAGCTTTTTTGTATGCTGCCTGCTGCTGGGATGATGCGTGTGCAGAGTAGAGTAGAGGAGGAATAATCATTCAATTCGACCTTTAGAAGAAGGACTTGATTTGCTTGGATATGAGAGAGAAAGAGAAAGAGAGGGACTCCCAGCCTGCTTTTGACCCCCAATTCCCTACATGTATGTAGCTGGGGCGTCGTCGTCGTCGTCGTTGTCGGTTGACGGAGGTAGAGATATCGTCATAGACATACTCTACCTACACTTACACTTCAAGACCTTGCTTGGTGCTGTAGAGTACATGTACTCTACCGGTGCGGATGTATTTACATACATGTACAGACAGACAAGACCTGGTACATACATGTTCAACTGTAGGTACCGTCCACACATGTTGCATCCGCATGAACCCTCCCGCTATGAGATCCGTTTTGCTATATACTTCATGTATCCTATGTCTCTAAACTGCTGTCTCGTAGCCCTTCCTTCCTTCCCTGCTCGCGTGCCTCTCCAAACCAAATTGACCTGATCTGACCCCTCGGTGATCCTCCACCCCTCCCCTTCCCCGACCGTAACACAAACACGTTTTATTTCTCGGTTGTCATTTTTATGATATGATCCACCCTGCCGGCGAACCGCTCTCTGAAATCCTGAAATGGAAATAGAATCATACAGGTGCTTCTAGGAGTAGGAGTATGTTTAGTCAATTCTCTTACAGTCTTTTACCGTCTCTTGACGAATACTGTCAGTTGACGAACAGGGGACTTTGGGGCCAATAGAAATTAAAAGGACCGGAGATCTCGTAGCTTGGCTGTTGCTTGACTGTTTCTTTCCATACTTGGAATCCCTGTTCGTCAAATGGGAGTATTCGTCAAGAGACGGTAACAGACTGTACTCTGGGCTTTTTTCTTTGTTTCTGCAATTGGTGGACCGGCCGGTTGTGTCTCGGAGTTAGCCATGCCATGCAATGCTCTCTTCTTCTTCTTCTTCTTCTTCTGGCTGTTAGCACATACGTCAACGTTGGCGGGTGGCTTGACTTGACCTACAGTTTGAGGTGATCGACAGGCATGGTTCATGAAGTCTTGACTGGTAGGTACAGAGAGTAGTAGAGTGCAATACATCAACGTCGGCGAACAAGATGGACGACTGATGGATCGATTGGGTTGGCTGCTTATTTGAATATACCTGCCTACCTCTCGGGCGGTTTGAGGGCACGGTTTTAGTCGGATAGTCATTAGCTATAGTTCTTAGCAGTCAAGGTGAGAAGCGAGAAACTACATGTACTCTACATGTACTCTACTCTACCACTGGATCCGAACAACATCATATATCCAACCCAATCAAACCCAACCCCAGCCAATTCGCAATCCCAGAGCCCAATTAATCTGCGCCAAACACCCTATCCCTATGTACCAAACACCCTGCCAAACAAACACCCATTCATTCATCCATTACATTCAACGTTTAGGCAGACGCCGTCACATCCTTAAGCTTGGCCAGCCACACATCGTGATTGGCTGGCCTGCGAAAAAAACCAGTCCAAGCGGTAGTTGGTGGCCGGCTGGCCGTCGGTAGATTTTGCCCCTTCCTGCGTTAGCTGTCGAAGGCATCTCTGTCTGACAGCTGGCTGGCTACGACCGCGCGCTGATCATCAACGTCGGTGCTGTAGGTAACGGTTGACACATAACTTCTGGGCGACAACGGCATTGGCGCAAGTTAAGCATGGCACAACCGCATCCTTCGCGACTCACCAAGCATTGCGTTCAATGATCAAAACCACACAGCACCAGTCCCATTCACAGCCTATCACTCGACCCATCAAGGGATCGACTATGTACCAACCAACGTTAACTACCAGCCAGCCAGATACACACCCTCCCAAGCCGAAACCTACATGTAACCAAACCGCAGCGCCTACGCCGCGCTATTGCACAAGTAGGCTCGTCTGTCCTGTAGGGCAATTGCAACTTAACCTATCTTACAGGGCGGCGTGGCCGGGTGGATGGAGGTAGTTCACCGCCGTCCTGCCCCCCCCCCCCCCCTCCTCCCGGGCAGCCCAAAAAATCTCGTCTCCAGCAACACCCGCTGCGCGCCCACTCATGGCAGCAAGCCTTAACCTGGGCTGCATGGATGGACGGATGGATGGATACACCCCATGCGCCGCGTTTCTGCTGTGCTAGCTAGAATAGCGGGGGGAAGCGGGCCGTATGTGTGTACATGTATGTACGATCTCTCCACGCCGGGGTGTGATGTAGTCTGCGAACCGTAGCGGGCGCCTAAGATTTACTATCCAACACGAGAACCTTTGCCAACCCCCAATACAAGTACGTTCGTGGTGGATTGTGACTACAGGGTTAGGTGTTGTCCCCCCTAGCCTCACTCCCTTAAATATTACTTCCCGACCTTACAGTTGTGTGGGCGTGGTAGTCTAGTGGTAGACGCCTCGTCCTGTCTTACACCGTGTGGGTTGAGCCCCACGATCGCCCGGAGACGTCCGGAGGTCGTGGGTTCAACTCCGGGGGTGGGAGTGGTGCTCGGGAAGTACGTCACTTTCACGGGAAGCAGTGTTCAATATCTCGAATTAGAACCTGTGGACCGTGCATGGGTGGCGTATAGTCGCAGCATCTACTTTTTGTGGATATTTATTACCCTTTTTTTTTTTTTTGGAGGGGTATAAAGAGGGGTATGTGTGATATCGATTGGAACTTTACAATTAATTGCAGATTGAACTGTCTTAGCCTTATCGCTCACTATTTGGCTAATCGGTCTCCAGGGCCGGTTGTAGCATTAGGCCGGTTTAGCGAAACTCTTCCAGGCCATATTCTTTTATAGTATAGTAGATGAGTGGTGGTATTATTTTCTATCCGTCATGTTTTTCCGTAGCCAGAGCTAGCCAGAGGTGCTGCAACTGTAACCTATATACGCCGAGTGATATCCCATGAAGCAACCCTCTCCAAGATTTTACAACAAAACTCCACACACACACACGCATACACACCATACAGATTTATTACTATGCTCCCTAGAGAAAAAAAAGAAAAGAAACCTAAGATATAAAACTCCACCCCCAAACCCACCCCCCTAAAATCAAACCCAAACCCAAACCCAAACCCAAACCCCACCCCCACTACTGCTGCTGCCCCCCGCAGCCCCCGCAGCCGCCGGCGCCTCCGCCAGCAACCTCTGCCTCAGCATCACAACCTGCTTCGCCTGCTCCGCTGGCAGCCTTGCAATCTCCTCCTGCGTCAACATCTTGACCCTCTGCAGCAGCGCCGCTTTCTCCTCCGCTGCCGTATCCTGTCCCTGTGCCTGTGCTTGTGCAGCCTGTGCGGCCTGAGCGGCGGCTTGAATCTGCTGCACGACGTGCATCTGTTGTTGCTGCTGCCCCGCCGCCGCTGCCTGCATGTGTAGCATTTGCTGCTGCTGCTGGTGGTGCTGCTGGGCGGCGAGGAACTCGGGGAATTCGGAGAGGTTCATGTTCATGGGGAGTGGGGAGGGGTAGCTGTGGGCGTGGGCGTGGGCGTTGTAGAATGCCTGCTGCTGCTGGGGAGTGGTCTGGCGCATGTGTTGTTGCTGTTGCTGCTGCTGCTGGAGGAGGTATTGCTGCTGTATCAGGTTCTGCTGAAACTGCTGCTGCTGCTGTTGCTGTGGAATCTGTAGCTGGTTGTTGGCAGCAGCAGCGGCGGCGGCGGAGGCGGCAGTGGTGTACGCGGGCGTACTAGCCTCCAGCACCTGCGAGACTACCTCGGGCTTAACAAGGTTCATGAGCACCATGGCCTGAAACAGCGCATGCGCAAGCTGCGGGCAGTAGCGCAGCGTCTCGGCGGCCTTTACGGGGTCCGTTGCGATCAGATCCTTCATCTGCCCGAGCGCCAGGAGGAGCTGGGGTGCCGGGATCTGCGACAGCGTCTTGGAGATGGAGTCGGTGGTGCTGAGATTCGGGTGGTTGTCGACGCCCTGGGGGAGCGAGCCGATGAAGGCTGCCAGGGCGGCGGAGGGGCTGGGCGCGCTTTCGCTGGTGGGAGAGGTGAGGGTGATGTGGGTGAGGTTGGGGCCGAAGCGGTGGGCGTGCTCGGTGTGGGTGGGGTTGGTGTTGGGGTCGTGGGTGAAGCGGCCGTTGTCGCTGCCGTTGTGGCTGCTGCTGTGGGCGGCGTAGCCGGTGTCGGGGTTGTAGGAGGTGCGGATGTCGGCGTAGTCGCCCATGGGGTACATGTTGTTTCCAGTGCTACCGCCATCTTTATTGGCAGCAGCAACAGCAATTGCAGCAGCAGCGGCGGCGGCGGTGTCTTTGGAGGCGTTGTCTGATCTGCCTGGGTATCCCTCTTTGCCTACATAGCCCTGCGAGGAGTAGTCGACGCGCAGCTTGCGGCCCATGACGTCGTAGCCGTCGAGGTTGCGGACGGCGGAGGCGGCGGTCTCGGCGTCAATGTATTCGGCGAAGCCGTAGCCCTTTGAGCGGCCGGTCTCGCGGTCGTAGACCATGCGGAAGCAGACGACGCGGCCGACGGACTTGAAGATCTCGGTGAGCTGCGTTTCGGCGAGGCCTTCTTTTTGGGAGGTGTATCAGCGGGGGGGGGATGTTTCTTCATTGGTGTGGTGGTTTGGGGTTTTTTGTCTTTTTTTGTTTTTTTCTTTTAATGGGGGGGAGGGCTTACCATAGGGGATGTTGCCGACGAAGACGATGCAGCTGGCGGTGGTGAAGTGGGAGGAGCCCGTGGAGAAGTTGGGGTTGCCGGACTGCATGATGGATGCGACTCTGTCTGGGTGCATGTCGGTGGGAGGAAGGAGAAGAAGAAGAAGAAGGAGAAGAAGAAGAGAGAGGCACGACCTAGGGGTGTGTGTGGGAGTGTGGGTGGCTAAGTGGAGAAGGAGAGAGTGATTTTTGGTGTCTGAGATGAAAAAAGAAGAAAAAACGTTCGCAATGAGGATGAGAAGAGGTCTGTCTACATGTCTTCTAGATGGTTCACGTAGAGAGTAGTCCTTGTTGCTGTTGGGGAGGGGAAAGGGGGTTCGCTTGAGCAGGCTTCTGGGTTGCTGGAGCTGCTCGTGGGCCGTTCATGGATCATCACTCGGTCGATTGAGAAGCTGTGAGGATTGGGAAGGTGGCTCTGTTAGGCTGCCTGGATGAGATAGAGATGCCATTGGTTCATCTTCTTTCTTTCATATCCACGAAGATAATTTTGCAATAAACGAACGGGCTTGAAACGTGATACTTCGGTGTTCGGTATAGTGCTTCGTACATATGCTGTTCTTCATTCTGTGTAGCGACCCTTGTGCTCGGCTTCGTTTTGACTAACCCCCAGCAACAACAGATTCCTGTTTGAAGATTTACCTGAATACCGCATCTAGATGGAAGTGTCAATGCTGTCGTTTCAAGAAACTATTTTGGTTTCTGTCAGGCTTTAAAACAATTAACTAGTTTCACGATAATTGACTCCACAATAGACCAGCTACATACAAAGTTCTTATTCCTAACTGGGGTATTAAGCCATCAAGGAAACTTCTTCCTCCCCAGACATGTATCCAGAAGCTCAAGAGGCCAGTAGATATCACCAGGAGCGTTGTGAAACAAACCCCAGTGCCCACATCCCACATCCATCCATCCATCCCACTCTCGGCAACGCCAACCGTTATCTACCCCATCAATCATACCACGATAATCGCCTGCGCGGGTACATCCCCTCACCGCCGCCCCATCCCACCACATCCCATCCCATCCCATCTACCGAACATCAACTGCATCTCGACATCATTTTTCACGCACGTCCCACCACCACCACCAATCGATCCCTTCTACACAAAAACAACACACAAAAAACGCAATGGATCCCAACAACCCGCGCGAAGCCTGGTCCCGCATCCAGAGTGCCATCTCGAGAGCGCAGCAGGGCGGTGGCAGAGGCGCGCCGAAGGGTGTTCTTGGTGGGGGCGCTGCACTAGCGCTGCTCGCAGGGGCGTTTATCACTTTTAATAGTGCAATCTTCAACGGTATGGAGTGTGGCTCTTTTTTCATTGGGGGGCGGTGGGGGGATGGATGGGATGGGATGGGATGAAGGGTATATATATATGATAGATAGCTAACGCATGTGGGGGTAATCGATAGTGGACGGTGGACATCGTGCAATCAAGTATACCCGTCTCGGAGGTGTCAAGAAGGAGATCTACAATGAAGGTAACTGCCAGACCATCTTTACTTTCCTCTTGCTTCTTCTTCTTGTCTTGATATCGGCCATTGTGGCTCCCCGGAGGTTCTGAATAGAATCAGTTATATGTTCACATTTACTAACCCGAGCTCACCCCCAGGAACCCACTTCATGATCCCATGGCTCGAGACACCCATCACCTACGACGTCCGCGCAAAGCCGCGCAACGTCGCCTCCCTCACCGGCACCAAGGGTATGATCTTCCCCTCTCCCCCCCCCCCCCCCCCCTCTCCCTCCCTTCCCTCCCGCACCCGCTAACTCGCAGTACCATATCATCAGACCTGCAGATGGTCAACATCACCTGCCGTGTGCTGTCCCGCCCGCGCGTCGACGCCCTCCCGTCCATCTACCGCACGCTCGGCACCGACTACGACGAGCGCGTGCTCCCCTCCATCGTCAACGAGGTCCTCAAATCCGTCGTCGCCCAGTTCAACGCCTCGCAGCTCATCACCCAGCGTGAGTCCGTCTCCCGCCTCGTGCGCGACAACCTCGTCAAGCGTGCTGCCCGCTTCAACATCCTCCTGGACGACGTCTCTCTGACCGTAACCCCCCCCCCCCCCCTCCCTCCCCCCTCTTCCGAAGAAACACAAATCATTGACACATAGCTAGCACCTCGCCTTCTCCCCCGAGTTCACGGCCGCCGTCGAGTCCAAGCAGGTTGCGCAGCAGGAGGCGCAGCGAGCGGCCTTCGTCGTCGACAAGGCCCGCCAGGAGAAGCAGGCCATGATTGTGCGCGCGCAGGGTGAGGCGCGCTCCGCAGAGCTCATTGGCGACGCAATCAAAAAGTCAAAGTCGTACGTGGAGCTCAAGAAGATTGAGACTGCGCGCAGCATAGCGACAATCTTGCAGGAGAATGGCGGCCGCAATAAGCTCTTCCTCGACACGGATGGGCTGGGGCTGAATGTCATGGAGCACCGCAAGTAGGCGTAGAGCGGGGCGGTGGATTGGGTGGGGAGAGGGGGAAGGGGGGGGTAAAAAATGTAATTCGGAAAACATCAAAGGTTTTTCTTTCTAAAAAGCTCAATGGAAGGGGAAAGTGCATACATATGGGATGTGTGGAATGGAATGGAATGGATGGACTGGGGATTGGGGGATGGATGGATGGATGGGCTAGGTGTAATCTGCTTTTTTTTTAAAACAATCCTCTGAGGGAGGGTTGCGAGAGGACTGGAAATGGTCGCTTTGTAGATAGTCAAAAAGGAACTCTTCTCTGCCTGTGTTTCTCTTGTGTCTCTGTGTCTCTGTGTGTCTGTGTGTCTGTGTGTCTGTGTCTATGTCTATGTCTACGTCTATCTCTCTCCCTCTCTACTGAGTCCACTCCAAGAGCTGCCAGACAGAGCTGTGTACAGATGTCACCCCAGCCAGAACACATACATCATATACTCCATCTCTGCCTCTACCGCCCGTCACACGGCAGACAGAGCGAGCGTCGATGTTGCGTGACGGCTTGTGACGGTTTGTTTGTCCAACGAACAGACGCAGAAACACGTCGATAGAAACGCAGTGGGCAGAACGAGTGAGTGAGTGGTGTCTCATGTTAGCCCGTCATCTCTATCTTCATCTTCATCTTCATTACATCTTCTTCACTTCATCATTGTCAATTCTTTCTTTCTCTTCTCACTCACCCACTCTTTCTCATCTGTCTGTTTCTCTTTTGCTCCACAACGCCAGCCAACCGAAACCCACCGCCAAGACATTGCCACCCACACATCCCATCCGGTATAGCTAATTTCCGGTATAGGCGATATTAGCTCCCCGAAATTGTCCGCAAAAATCAATCCCCCCAAATGTCAAAAACCTCCACCCCCTCTTGACACCCTATCTATCTACCTACTATACCTACTACCTACCTACCCGTGCATCTACGAAGAATACTAACTCCCTTCCCAATATACCCCTCCCCCCCCCCCTCCTGCAGTTAGCTAACTCAAAAACAAAAAGAAAAAGAGACAGAGAGAGATGCCGCCCCGCCAGCGCCAGGGCCTCACGCAGCTCCAGAAATACGAGATATGCCGTCTGCGCGCCCAGCACCCGTCCATGAAGCTCGCCGAGTTCGCGCAGCTGCCGCTGTGCCCGCGCCGCCGCGACGGCCGCCCGCTCGCAATCTCGAGCCTCGCGGACCACCTCAAGGGCTGGGAGGAGACGGTCAAGCAGGGCCCGCCGGAAGGTATGTATGTCCACCTCTCTCCCCACCTTCCCCCCTCCCCTCACCTCCCCCACATCTCACCTCTCCCCTCTCCCCTCTCCCTTCTCACCTCTCCCCCTCCTCCTCTCCCCCACCTCCCCCACCCACCACCCCATAGCTCACCCCCAAACAGGCGCGGAAGCAAACAAGAAAAAGTCCCGTCCCGCCATGTTCCCCATCTTCGAGTACCTGCTGGTCACCTGGATCGACGCGGCCGAGGCCGCGCGCCAGCCAATCACCGACGAGGCCATCCGCGCGCAGGGCAAGCGCATCCAGGAGCGGCTGTCGAGCAGCAGCGCCGACGAGTGCCGCGAGACGTACGACAGCTTCGAGATGAGCAGCGGCTGGCTGCAGGGCTTCAAGCAGCGCCACAACATTGACCAGCACAAGCGCCACCGCCAGGTCGGCGGCCCGTTCGACGCCGCTGCCATACCGACACATCGCGCGAGTCTGAGTATGGGGCTGAGGCAGTTTGCGCCGGCGGATAGGTATAACTGTGATGAGGCGCGGCTGCACTTTGATCGCCAGCCGGAGCTGCCGGGGTCGGGGTCGGGGTCGGGGTCGGGGGTGGAGGCGCAGGGTGCGGGAGGTGCGGGAGGTGAGGAGGGTGGTGGTGGTGGTGCTGGTGGGGGAGAGAAAGATAAGGAGAAGGAGAAGGAGAAAGGGCGGTTCACGGTGTTTCTATGCGTCAATGCCGACGGCACCGACAAGCGGCGCATCACGGTCATGAGCAAGATCCGCACGCCCGCCGTCTTCAAGCGCGAGCGCATCAATCCCGCCAACCTGCCCGTCACCTACCGCTACAACAAGAAGACCTCACTCCCCACCGACCTCTGGTATGAGTTCCTGCGCACCTTCGACGCCGACATGCGCGACGCCCGCCGCCGCATCGCCCTCGTCTGCGAAAACTGCCCCACATACCCAACCCCCACGAAGCCCCCGCCAAACTACAAGGGCCCGCCGCCGCCCGTCCTCACAAACATCACGCTCTTCTTCCTACCCACAAACACGGCCGCCCTCCTACAGCCCCTCAGCCAGGGAATCATCACAGCCTTCAAAGCAACCTACCGCAAGATGTGCGCCGAGCTCCTCCTCGACCACCATCACCATCACCACAGCCACCACGCAGCGAGGCGTGAGCGCGAGCGCATAAACACCCTCGAGGCAATCGACATCATCACGTCCGCCTGGAGCGCCATCCCGCCGCGCATCATCCTGCAGTGCTGGCAGGCGGCCGCAATCTGCGAGGACCTCGCACTGATGGATCTCGGTGGCTCGCCCACCGAGTACGTTGAGGCGCAGCGGCGTGCGTGTCTGGGCGTGCTGCAGCGGCTGCAGCCGCGGCAGGAGCTGGCGGGCGCGCTGCTGGAGGCGTTTTGGGGCGCCGAGGAGGAGATCCCGGGGTGTGAGGGTGGGGAGGCGGGGCGCCGGATGTGGTGAGGATTGTGGATGAGTGTGTTGCGGCGGGGATCTTGCGGAGGGGTGTGGAGGGGATGGAGCTGCAGGATGGGGAGGAGGAGGAGGGGGAGGAGGAGGGTGTGGGTGGAGGTGTGGGTGGAGGGGGAGGAGGGGTGGCGGGGGAGGGGCAGACGGAGATAATTGGGCATCGGGTGGCGATTCAGTATTTGGCGGAGGTGAATAGGTATCTGAGGAGCTTGCCGGTCAGTGTGTTGAAGACGCCGATGGGGAAGGAGGTGGCGGTCAGTGAGGCGATTAGCAGCAATATGTTGGTCATGGCGGGGATTCCGCAGTATGTGTTTCCTTTCCTTTTTCTCTCTCCTCCTCCCCCCCTCCTCCGCTGGTGTATATGGCAGTTCTTGAGAGTGTGTTTGTGAGCTAACTGCGACTCGAAACACACAGACAGTTCCGAAAACGAAAAGCAGAGAGCATGGCCGGAGGCCTGGGAGGAGAGAACGGCGCCAATGGCAGCGGAGGCGGCGGCGGTGGTAGTGGTGGTGTGGCGGATACGGGCGCTGATATCGCGGTGTATACCAGCCGCTTCTTGTAATCTATTCTCTCGCTCTCTTTTTTTTTTCTTTTTTCTTTAGTCTGGCATTTAGGCTTTTACGTAGCTCCTTTTAGTAGCATTATTATTATAGGGTTTTCCATTTTCTTTTTTTGCGATTTGCTGTTTGCTGTTTGCTGTTTGCTGTTTGATGTTTGGGAGCGTTGTGTTGCAATTGGGTGGGTTGCGTTGTGTTGCGTTGGTGCTGTATGTAGGTAGACTTTACGTTATAATGAGTATCCCGGAAACGATCATGTAGTGATGGCTGGCTCTATTCTTGTTCTGGTGTTGAGGTCTGGGTACAGTAATTATGGGGAAGGGATCTGGGGGAGGGGGGGAGAGCTGGGCTGGGCTGGGCTGGGGGGAGAGGGTCAAGCCGGATATATCCATTCATTCACTGGGGGCGCGCAATTTATCCAGCCAGTCGGTGCTAGCTGCGCGCCGCGGGAGCAGAAACGGTGGTAATGGGTAATGGGTAATGGTAATGGGTAATGATCAAGCGACATGATGCTTTTTTTTTCTTTGCTCTTTGTGGGGTTCTGAGTGGTGGTGGTTTAGAGTTTACACACACACTTGCTGGGTGGAAACAGCAGGTTGATAGCAGCGGTCGCCAGTCGGGCTGGTGGGCGGGCGATAAGGAGGTATGGGTTGGGGGTGGAGGGGGGCCAATAGATAAGCCTTCCTTCCTTGCTTCCTTGCGCCGCGGCCGGCTCTATAGATCTACTCTACCGGCGGTTTTTTTTTTTAGTTTTACGGATTATATTTCCACGAGATGCAGATGGCGGATGGCGGATGGCAGATGGGCAGATGGAGGCGGAGAGATGAGTGTGTGCCGAGTGATGTCTTATGAACTATGCACAGACGCACTACATACTCCATTCGCTCTTTTTGGCTGGTTGGTTGATGGACACAGGCATCCCATGTCCACCGCCCTACTTCTCTTCTCGTAACTACCCCTTATGATGCCCGATTACTCATGTCTGCCATGACGTGGGCTGCAAGCAACTCGGACTGATGGGAATCATCATGGGATGAGAGGAATCGGTTGAGTTGCAATAATCACCTTGTCTTGTCCCTGGAACTTGAAAGCACATGAAACATGTCTTAGATCCCTCCCATCCGGTGTGTTGCTCCGAGCGTGAATGGTGGAATGGTGGAATGGTGAGGGTGTGTGTCGTCGCTATGTCGCGGGTGAGACCCGTGTACCTGCGTTGGATTGGAAGCAAGTAAAGCAAGTTTTGGCTTTTGGCGGGAGGGAGGGTTGTGTTGGAGCTTCGTGAAGGTTGGACGTTGTGGAGTTTGTATCCGGACCATATTGCTCTGCTATAGAGAAAGAAGCATAAAGTTGGTGGTTATTACATACATTCTCTGGCACTGGCAGCCAGTTCGTCGGCCGTTGAACTGCGCTGCGCAATTCCAAGAGTATTTGCGTAAGGTAGGTGATCACCGCTATCATGTACAGTCGCTCACCTACTGACGGTGGATCCCGTCTAATGGTTCTGTTTGCAGTAATTTGCCCTTGGCGTCCATAGCCTCTCTTTTATTGGTCTCAAATCCCTGACCGCCATCCATCAGACAGGATCCGCCTGTCCTCACCCCGTGAGTGAGTGTACTGAAGATTCTCTGATTTGGCCGATATACATATTCTTTTTGAATTAAGCCAAGCATATATTTGGATCCCTCCAGGAGGCTGGGGGATGCCCTCGCCTAAACGCAAACAAACACCCGCGCGCTAAGCGGCCAGCACCGGGTACGTACCAGAATGTGTAGGTTACACAATGTATATCTACGACTCTTAAAGCAAAGTACTGGTAGAAAAATTCTTGCTGGTTGGTTTAAGTCACGGGAATATGACTTTCCTCCTACCACTTTGCTTTAAGCCCATGGACGTATATTTCAGAAATATTGGTACTTATCTTTCCTCCATAGCCAGCACTTTCCTACCCGCAGCAGGCATGAAGAACATGATCTTTGGTGGTAACAATTGCTGATTCGTGCGTACTTTGCGCTAACTACAAACTGGAACCCTGCTTGCTTATTTATTTTTATGTTCAGGTTCTTCTTACCTGCCGCGGGTACTCCACAAACGGAGATACTAATGCACCTGCCAGCGGGCCGACGGGAGGCAATCTCTTATCTACCAACTGCACTGGTCTTCTAGGCGCCTGCAAACCAATCAGCAAGGGGGGGAGGGGTGTTTGCTACATACATCTATGCTACACATGTAGCTTGAGCGCTTGAGCAAACACACCTACATGTATGGCTATGTGATGGGGGGCCTAGTTTTGAAAAAAGATTGATGCCTTAATTGGAGGCCTTAATTGGAGGCCTTAATCCAACTATCAATGCGTCTAGCTGTAATTGTATAAGGCACCCAAGCATGTATCATGGATTCTTACTTTGCGTCGCCCATAAAATGAACACCAACATACCGTATAAATTCCTACCACCACCTCCAGCTTTTGCGATGCTGAAAGTACTTAGGAACGTTGTCTCTTCATCGCCAGAACCATCGCCAGAACCATTGCCTTCTTCTTCTTCTTCCTCCTCCTCTTCTTTTTCTTCCTCTTGCGTAGAAGATAATTACACTCCCCCAGGAAACATTACGCCTGGTTCTTTCCCCGATTCTTCCCCTCCTCCTGCTCCCCTCTCTCCTCGTCTCTCTCTTCCTACTCCTAGTACTCCTCAAGCAGAAATCATGAAGCCGGCCATCAAGATATCTGAAGATGTCGTGCCCCCCACCGAAAAGCTCGAAAACGCCGACCTCGCACGGCTCCTCGACATAATCGACAAACTGCGCGAATTCGGCGTCAGCGAAGACATCTCACTCCCCCAGGTATGGCTGACCCCCTCCCTCCTCCCATGCACACTTTTTGCGGTTTGATATTTTTAGTTACAATATATAAAGAGAGAGAGCCTTTGCTTACCATTCCATCCATTCGTCCCAACACTATAGATCGTAGTAGTAGGCGACCAATCCTCCGGAAAGTCCTCCCTCCTGGAGGCCCTTACGGGCATCCGCTTCCCCATCGCATCGACGCTGTGTACGCGCTTCGCAACGCAGATCAGCTTCCGCAAGAGCCCCGACTCGAAGATCACCGTGACCATCATCCCCGCCAAGAGCAGCGATGCCGCGCGCAAGGCCGAGTTGCGCGCCTTCTCGGACACCGTGGTGGAGCTGACGCCAGAGCGGTTTTCAGAGATTATGGAGAAGGTAAACTAGCCACTATAATCGCTTTCTTTCTTCCCCTTCCTGCTTCTCTTGGGCTCAGGCTAATGGGTGGGCTACATTAGGCGGGGGATCTGATGGGACTGCCGAAAGCGGGGGAGACGGTGGGCGTAGACGATGCGGAAAAGAGGTTTAGTGACGATGTGTTGAGGATTGAGCTGTGTGGGCCGTCACGCTCGCACTTCAGCGTTGTGGATGTGCCAGGACTTTTCCAGAGTAAGGGCTATTCCCCATTTTTTTTCCATTTCTCTTGTTCTTTGTGCTGACGGGCACTTCCAGGTGCTACTATGTACCAGAATGAAAAGGACCTGGAGATGGTCGAGAATCTTGCAAAGAGCTATATCGAGGACGAGAGAACCATCATTCTGTAAGTTTAGATTCTAAGGCCCAGTTTCTATCTGCAAAGCCAAACGGGGTGCATTATATGATACTGATATCAGACATCCCCCAGAGCCGTGGCCTCCTCCCTCAACGAGACCGCAAACCAAAAGGTCTTCCGTCTTGCCAGCGCCGCCGGCGCCGACCCCGAAGGCGTCCGCACCGTCGGTGTGCTCACCAAGCCCGACGCCATCCAGCCCGGCGATGAAGGCCGCGTTATCGACACGGCGCTCAACAAAGTGACCGTGCTGCATCACGGCTGGTTCATCGTGCGCAACCGCTCCACCGACGAAGTCAAGCGCAACATCAGCAACGCCGAGCGGCTCGAGAACGAGGCAAACCTCTTCAAGAAGGACCCCTGGCGCACGCTGCCGCGCGACCGCGTCGGCGTCCCGGCGCTGGAGAAGTTCCTGCAGCGCCTGCTGTTTGACCATGTGCGGAAGGAGTTCCCGAAGATGGTGCAGGAGATTGATGCCATGATGGAGGATTGCGAGCGCGAGTTGGGGGCGCTGGGGCAGCGGCGCGAGACGAGCGACGAGCAGCGCGGCGTGCTGATTGGGATTGCGACCGACTTCCAGATATCGGCGCGCAACGCCATGATGGGGCTGTACGAGATGGACTCGCTGGAGCAGAAGTCACTGCGCGTGCGCATGTACATCCAGAACCTGAACGCGGAGTTCTCGGATACCGTGTGGAGGAGCGGGCATACAAAGAGCTTTGACGGCGGCTCATCGCCGTCCTCGTCGGGCCCGAGTCCGGTCCCGAGCGCCGGCCTCAACGACATAGCCAAGGACGACAGCAAGACCATCTACGAGTGGATCCGGAAGGCATACCGCGAGTCGCGCGGCCCTGAGCTCCCCGGGATGGTGAACCCGGGCGTTGTGCAGCTACTCTTCCGCATGCAGACGGGGAAATGGGAGTGGCTGGCGCGGGAGCACATTATGCGTGTACGCGCGCAGATCGAGCGGTTTGTCGCCGACCTGCTGCGCCTAAAATGCCCAGACGACTCCCTCCGCCACAACATCTGGATGAAGATGCGTGCGTTGTTCGCCGCGGTCTACAAAAAGGCCGACAGGGAGCTGCAGATGATCCTGCAGGACGAGCGCGAGGGCATCCTCATCACCTACAACCACTACTACAGCGATAACCTGGACCGCGCGCGCAAGGGCCGCATAGCGGCAACGATCAGGCGCGCGCAGGGCGACAATGGTGCAAACGCGCTAGGCGTGGCCCTGGGCGTGCTGGAGAACATTGACCCCGAGGAGCAGGCCGTGGCGGAGATATATGATGTGCTGCACGCATACTACAAGGTTGCCAGGAAGCGCTTCGTGGACTGCGTGGCGCTCCAGGTCGTTGAGAGGCACTACCTGGGCGCAAAGGGCCCCGTGAGGGTCTTCTCGCCCGCGTATGTGGGCAGGCTGTCGCCCGAGGAGCTGAATGCCGTGGGCGGCGAGGACCAGGTTGTGATTGAGAAGAGAAAGCGGCTGGAGGCTAAGCTGGAGAGGCTGCAGGGCGCGCAGGAGATTTCGAGTTCGTATTGGTAGTAGTTTCCTGGGGGGTGGTTTTTATTTTATTTTTATATCTTGTTGGAGTGCTTCGTTATTGTTATGGTTATTTTGCAAAGGGGTGTTTTGTGAAGGTTATATATGGAGTGTCGTGTTCTTACCCTTCCTTGGATCTGCTTGGGTGTCATTGTTCTCTCGTTTCCTTTGAATTTCCTTTGCTGGCTCTGTTCTGTTCTGTTATTGTTGATTGTGGGGGGGGGGCTATATATGTTTTTTTTTGGGGGGAAAAGTACCTCCCCCGCCGATGTCCAATAAAAATACTCGATATCAAACCCAGCATGGGTGCGCCGTTCCTCCGAGTGATATCCTATGACTGGTTGCAACCCCCACCCGTACCCAAATCCCCACAACCCAGAAATGGTCGGATACACCACACTAACCACTTCCGGTGCGCCTTGAAAACAGAGGAAGGGATGGGATTATGGGTATGCAATATGCAATTGGATTGAGAAAAAGCAGATATCTAACTGCATGATCCATGATGACGTGCTACAGCCTCCAGATGAATGAACGGATTTATCTGCCTACATTAGACTCATATCATCCCGGATAAAACAAAAATCCCTGACCGTCATATCATATCAATTGATAGCGCAGCTTCAGCTTCAAGCATAATCTGTCTCTCACAAGACCAAAAATTCTGCATTTCGTTTCGCCGTGAGAATTTTTGTTTTATTTTCAAAAACCAGCTAGCTTCTACTGCATCTCGTCATTTGAAAATCCGTGCTGATCATAGAATCAGTCCCCAATCGCACAACCTTATCTCACCTGGTGTTGCCGCCAAGCCCCCCCTGGCCTGGCTGCCTGTCTGCGGATCTGACAGGGGGGTAGGAGCAGCAGCAGCAGCACAGGGGGTGGGGGGGGGGGCGGTGGTGGTGGTTGGTGGTGGTGGACAGAGACAGCTTCCCAATCGCGAGGTTCCTTTCCGTCCGTAATCCGGGGTTGTGCCTGCACGGTGCCAGTGATGGCCTGAATAGAATACTACATATACCTAGCCCCGTGTACCGTTCGTTCCCTCTGACTCTTAAGTATCAACTACTGACGTAGCTGTTGTTCTTGAATCTCTCCCTTTTTCACCTTAGACTCGCCGTGTCGTGGCCTCTTTATCTTTATCTACTACATACATAGCTTTTATCTAGCATATCTACTAGACAACCAGCCAGCCATTCCATAACAATGGGTGACAGAGCTCACTCCCCCACAAAAGACAGCTTCGCCCGCATCAAAGCCCAGCAGGCCCAGCTCCGAAAGACGGCAGCCTCAGTGAACAGCATGGACTCCTCTTCATCTACTTCGTTGCCAATGGCGACCCGTAAATGGATTGCGTTTGGTTCCTCGATCGTGAACTGGTAAGCTAGCTAGCCTTCTCTCTTTCTCTCGCTCTCTCCCCTGAATCTAAAATATATGTGAAAAGGAAGGCTAATAGAAGCTTTGTTTTGTTTTTTTGTGTATAGCTTGTGCGCCGGTAGCATATTGCTGTTTTCCCTGTGGGCCCCAATATTCCAGCATCGTCTCGGATACTCGCAGACTCAGGTCAACTTCATCTCCATGGCGGGCGAGCTCGGCATGTACCTCCCGTGAGTTACTCATACCACCCCCAAAAAAACACGTGTATACACAAGCTACATATACGGATAAGACAGTAGTAGTAGCAGTTATATAACGGCGTGGGATTTATTCCTTTTTTTTGTTTCATTTTTTTGCTGACCCGTTGTGTTTTAGAGTCCCGCTGTTTGGTTACATCTGTGACAAGATGGGCCCGGGAAGACTGAGCGTCTTATCGTCCGCACTGTTCGGGCCGGCTTATCTACTGGCCGCATACGCGTTTCTGCACAAGCTGCCGTATCAATGCATGGTGCTTGCCTTTGTCTTTATCGGCTCTGGCACCAGCAGCATGTACTTTGCCGGCGTCACCACCTGCGCAAAGAACTTTACCGGAAACAGGGGTGTCGCGCTCTCGCTACCCATTGCGGCCTTTGGGCTGAGCAGCCTGTGGCTGTCGCAGCTTGTGAGCCGTGTTTTCGTCGAGAAGCTCTCGGGGGAGCTGGCGATTGGAAATGCGTTCCTGTTCTTCTCGGTGTTTTTGGTGGTGGTCGGGCTGGTGGGCGGGATGGGCCTGGTTGTGGTTGACGAGAAGGTAGCGGCGGAGAGGGAGGGGCTGTTGGAGGCGGGTGAGGGCGGCGGGTATGGCGCGGTGGACACTGTCGATGGCATTGCGGAGTTCCCGGAGCCGGAGGAGAAGTCCATCATTAACCGTGCGACCAAGGAGTTCCTGAGGGATAAGACCATGTGGTGGTTTGCTGCCGGGTTCTTTTTGGCGACTGGTCCTGGAGAGGCTTTCATCAATAACGTAAGACGAACCTTCTTCTTCCTATGGTAGCTATTTCTGGATGTGATACTGATGGTTGCGATAATAGATGGGTTCCCTTATACAAACTCTGTACCCGCCGCAGACAGCCATGGGACGACTCAACCCCGTGGATCCCGCAAACCACGTTTCCATCTACGCCCTGTGCTCCACGAGCGCACGAATCGTTGCCGGCCTCCTCAGCGACTACCTCGCACCCACCCTCTCTAACGCCCCATCCTCCTCCAACCGCAAATTCACCTGCTCGCGCCTGAACCTCCTCTTCTTCTTCGCACTCCTCATGTGCGCCGGCCAGCTCTTCGTCGCACTTGGCTTCGTCCAAGAGCACGGCGAGCGCTTCTGGGTCGTCTCCTCGCTCATCGGCGCCGGCTACGGCGCCGTCTTCTGTCTCGCGCCCACCGTGGTGAGCGTCGTCTGGGGCACCGAGAACTTTGGCACAAACTGGGGCATTGTCACCATGGCGCCGGCGTTTGCCGCGTCGCTGTTTGGCATGATCTTTGCGCGCGGATATGACAGCCATGCGGGCAGGAACGGCGTGTGCTGGGGGAGAGAGTGCTACGAGACGAGCTTCTTTGTGATGGCGGGGAGTGTGGCGTTGGCGCTGGTGGGGTGGGGGTGGGCGTGGAGGGGGGTTGGCGGATGGAAGGGGAGGGGAGTGGTGGTTTAGAGTGGTGATGATTGATCTGGACGGGTGGGTTATATACTAGATTGTATATTATGCATTTGGAGCTGCATTTGTAGGATTCTGTGAGAGAGTGCGTTTCTTTTTTGGGAGAGGGATGCATTTTCTTTTCTTTTTTTCGTTTCTTTCTGGGGGGTCTGCGGCACCTAGCTTGTTGTACAAGTGGATGTGGATTTTTCAGCGGCGTTAGATTTGGGTGGTGTGGGGTATGTATGCACTTGCATGTTAGTAGCATCTGTTTCTGTTTCTATTCTTGTTCTTGTTCTGTTTTTCAAGTGGGTTTTTATTTTGCAATTATGGTAGTTGTAATTCGTAGTATTTGGCATTAGCATTAGCATTGGTGGAAATATGGGTATATGGTTATAGTTGGTTGGTTAAATTGGAACATATATATTCAAGATTAATTGCATCATAGTAAAACAACGGCTTGGTGAAGGGTGAAGAAAGAAGAAGGGTGATAAAAAAAAGAGAATTAAGCTAGTGGGCCTGCACCCCAGGCCTGGCCAGCTACAATCGCTCACTACGTGTATCCATACCACGTCCATATACTGTCTTCTAAGACGGTTAGGTTTCTTTACGCCATAGTTTAAACCATATGCGACCATCCTGTACCTAGAATCAGAAATGAAATGACTTCACACACACACACCCCCCCCCCCCCCCTTTTTTTCCACCTTTCTACATACTATCACTGTCCTGAGCCCACGACATACATAGCCTCTGGGTTGCCATACACCCAATTAGTCCCCCGCTCTGGACATCGAGTGATATCTCATGACCGCGCAAACGGTGAATTTTTGTTTTGCTTTGTTTTGTTTAGTTCATTAACCGCATGGAAACTGTGAAATGAGTACATACATGTAGGTAAGAAAATAGCTAGCGGGTCGGCCGCGCGGGGGGGGGGGGGGGGGCGAGTAAACGAGAATCCCACGCCGGCCCCATCTAGCAGTTCAGCCCACCACCACCACCACCACCACAATCTCCCCCTCCCCTCCCCTCCCCTCCCTCTTCCACTCCCTCCATCATCGGTTTGCATGGCCGGCTGTTTGATTCCTTCTGCGGGAGAGTTATGTTCGGACCGGTAGTATGGTATGGTATGGTGCTACATGTAGTACTTTTCTATGCGTGTGGCTATTAATTTGAATTCATCAACTTCAATTCATACGTATCTAGCCTGTTAATCTGCGAGGAGATGAAATCCCCCCCCCCCGGGGGGTTTATGGTGCTTTGAAGCGCTACATGTTATATTATAATGTGGACACATACAAAGTATCTAAAAATAAAAAAATAAAAATAAAAAAAAGATGGCCATGCAGCGGGTCATGATGTATGCCGTGGTTGCGGGGCTAGGTGTCGCCCTACATCTACTACACTACAAAACAATATGGTCTGGGGGGGGGGGGGGGGTGGGGGTTTCCCTAAACCGGTCTAATCCTTCACCTGGTCTTGACGATGGGAGAGACCGATTAGCCAAAGAATGAGCGAGAATCTAAGATAGTTCAATTACCTAGGCCCTCAAGCCCCTCAACAAAAAAAAAAGGGAGAAAAAAAGAAAATGGGTAATAAATATACACAAAAAGTTAATGCTGCGACTATACGCCACCCACGGTCGACAGATTCTAATTCGAGATTGAACACTGCTTCCCGTGAAAGTGTCGTACTTCCCGAGCACCACTCCCACCCCCGGAGTTGAACCCACGACCTCCGGACGTCTCCGGGCGATCATGGGGCTCAACCCACACGGTGTAAGACAGGACGAGGCGTCTACCACTAGACTACCACGCCCACACAACTGTAAGGCCAAGAAGTAATATTTAAGGGAGTGAGGGCAAAGCAGGCTAGGGAGACACCTAACCCTACAATCACAATCTACAGCAAAAGCTTGCTATAAGGGTACCTTCTATAAGGGTAATTTCTCTATAAGGGTAGCACTTCTCGGTCCTTTTCCCCCGGATTCCAGCACTAGCATCCTTACATAAGGGTAACCTCTCTATAACAGTGCCAAATTCCGCTCCCGAGCGTACCCTTATAGCAAGCCCCGCTGTACCACGAACACACTGGCTACCCTCTTGTACATGTGCTACTTCTGGGCCGCTGGAAACTGTGCGGGCGAGTGGTAGACGCCTCGTCAACGGAGGACACCGAGTGGGTTGAGTCCCCATGACCATCACTACATGATGATAGGTCCTGGGTTTAGGGTATACCTCGTAGCACTCGTGAGTGGATATCGATCAGATCTCTGGCCTATAACTGAACTGCAGCGTCATGAACACTTATCTTAGCTTCTCGCTCAGTTTCCAGACCATATTCTTTTATAGTTATAGTGGATTGGGGTTTCTATAAGCCCCCACACACTGTTTCGTTCGCGGGTGGTTTTGTTTCCCTAGGACTGCTTATAACTACAAAGTTAGGTTAGATATGATAAATCATGTTTTATCACTCGGGCTATATCCTAAAAAGTAACCCCCCCCCCCCCACTCGCACCACATATAAACCCCACCACCACCACCACCACTACTACTATTCACGCCCCACCGCCGTACTACCTACTCGCTCCACACCCCACCGCCGTGAAATCCAGCACAGCCATGACTCACCGAGTGTATGTATTTATATCCATGCAGTCCCAAAGCTTGTTACTGCGACCCGATCCTCGTAGTTCGCACAAGCTGCCGCGGATCGGGGAAACAAGCTTTTTTGTTCTTGCGGGGTCATGACCTATGTGGGTGCGTGGGAGAGCTTAGCTGATACGTAAACGGACGGGATGGGACAGGGAGGAACGAGGCGAGGCGGGGTGGAGTGGAGAGGGGCTGACACGGTGTGGAGGGTGGGTGAGTAAGTAGCCATGGGGGTTCCTGCTCATGGCTTGTAGCTGTGGGCTTTTTGGTAGTTGGGTTGATGCTCTGGAGTTCTTGGGTCGATATTTGTGCCTGGCTGTCCGGAAGAAAAGAAAAAAAAAAGGGGGGGGGGGGGGGGCTAGATGCGTGAAAAGAAGTAGATTATGGTTTATGCAGTTCTACTTTTTCTCTAAATTGCACAGACTGTGGTTACGAACCCATTTCAAAATCTCGAACCACGCACAGTCAAACCTTTGCCAAATTATAGTCGGGGGTTAGAATCATGATCTGACGCCTGCAAATCGTGATTTGGGCCCTAAAACCTCCCCGCATTTCATAACTCGACACGCTAAAACATACAACCAAAATCTAACCTCATCCATCCTGGCTCACATTTACTTCAAAACATCCCAAACAGTCCAAAAGAGCGAATTAAACAACTACTTTCCGTTTATAAGAGCCAGGCGTCCAAGATCATTGGACATCAAAAGACATGGGTATCAAGCAATTACCTAGTGCACCTACTCGAGGACCATAACGTCCTCATCCTCACTTCCGTCCTCATCCTCACTTCCCTCCTCCTCCCCCTCCCCCTCCCCCTCCCCCTCCCCCTCCTCCTCCTCCTCCTCACTACCGTCCTCCTCGCCCCCATTGCCACCCTCACTTTTGTCGCTATCAAGGTCCACAAAATCTTCCGGGCCTTTACCCCCTTCCTCGGTGGAAAACTCATTCATGGGTGCGATGCGATAGTCGATGACATTGCGGCTAGTCCTCCTCGTACCGCGGCCCGCGGAGGAGGTGGCGGTGACGGTAGTACCGCGGCTCGCCGAGTGCGTGGTAGTGATGGTACGGACAGAGGTGGGCGCTGGCCCTTCTTGGCGGCGGCGTTTATTGGATGGAGTTGGATCGGGGGGGCTGGTTACATGGCTCTTGTTGGTATTTTTGGGGAGGGCGGGGAGGATGAGGTGGTTGGACTTAAGGGTGGAGAGCCGGACGTGGGGCGTATCGTTGGGGTGGTTTTGTTGAGAACAGAAGTCGGCCATCTTGTTGTAGGAGACATTGTCGTATTCCTGGAAGTGGAGCGCGGTGGACGAGAAGCGGATGCCTTTCTTGTCGTCGGACTAGTTTTTTCATATATATTAATTATCTGCTGCGCATATCCGGGGGAGGATAACCCACAATCGCAAAGTACCCCAAGATCTCATCCAAACTGACGTTCCTGATCTCGCCATGCACGAGCCACCCCTTCCTGACCAACCACTCCCTTCCCCACTCTGTATCCTGCATTTTCTTCGCCCAATGCTTCTTCACATTCCCGCTCCCCTCGTGCCACTCCGCGAGGGCAACCATACGTCGTTCGCCCACTTTGTAGTTACCACAGTACATCCACAACCTGTCGACTTTCCTAAGAACTGGAACCGTCGTCACACGCTTATCAATCGGGTCGTCCTGACCATATATATCCAACATCTCGGCATTATCACCAATCGTGCCCGGAGGTTTAAAATGTGCATCTGGGGACAAACAGATGTAATTATGCGTTCTGATCACAGCGCGGGCAATGTCATCGGATTTGACTGTCGCGCAAATGAGCCCTGGATTCCCGCCTCCGTAGATGCCGCGTAGGTCCTTTGGTGTGAATAGGGCAACCTGATCAACCGTCGTCTTCGCTGGTGGAATTGGCTTCTTTGTGGATGATGCGGGACCAGCACCTGCAGGGAAAGATGAGATAGCGCGGTTCTCAGTTTCGTCATTCCACGTACGTGGAGTATTAACAGCCGTAAATCCGCTCCCACTCCCGTTCCTCCGGGAGCTGGGAATAATGGGTGTGAACTGTGTTTCTTCATCCTCATCCACGCTCGACACAGAAATCCTTGTGGTGCCTCCCCCCCTGAACGGCCTCGAGCGGCGCCCTGTCCTACCTAATCCGCCACGCCTAGGTATACTAGGGACCTCCTCAGGTTCAGGACTGCCATTACTGCTGCTGCTGCTGCTGCTGCTGCTTATAGCAATACGGCCCCGTGAAACGCCACGGCCGCGTGTAGGGCGGCCACGACTGGGGACCATTTTCTGTACTGGACGTGGGGGCTTACTCGTAGCCGCTGCGGATGTCTCGGAGGCGAACCCCCAAGTCGTACGTCCAGTTTGCATAGTTTGTTTCGATGGTGTGATCACTGGCTTGGATGTCGCTTTCGGGGCTTCGACAGTCATTGGCGCGACTGGCGCAGCTTGTGCTGGCGGGGGCGGTGGCAGTGAATAGTAGTCTGCGTCGTCGTCCTCGTCCATCGCCATCGTGGTATCCTGTTGCATATCACTCAGAGCCTGTGGGGCAGTAGCAGCAGTAGATGGTTTACTAGCAGATGCGGTAGCTGCTTTGGTAGTTGATATAGAAGCTGATGTACCGGCTTTGTTAGCTGAAGTAGTAGCTACTTTAGCGGCTAATGGAGTAGCTACTATAGTAGCTGCTGGTGTAGAAGCTGCTGCAGAAGCTGCTGTAACAATACTTTTTTTGGGTTCCAACTGCTTCGTAGTGGTAGGTATTCCCCCCGCAGATTCCGTAGCCGTCTTATGGAGTCTTTTGATCCTGGCCTTCTGTCGCGCAACATGTTGCTGATGTAGGATCTTCTCTATATCGCGGGCTGATTTTCGTAGGGTGTCTAATTGCAGCCTGAATGTCTCCGCTGACTCGCGCCGTTCCTTTTCGAGGGTGTCCAGGTGCTGTTGCTGCTGCTCCTGCTGCAACCTGAATGCCTCCGCTGACTTGCGCTCTGCCTTTTCAATGGTATCGATCTGTGTAAATAAAGAGGAAATGATAGTAGATGTAGCGGCTAAGCCCTCGGCCTCCTCAATATCTGTGTGATACACCTGTAAGTTTGAAAACACGGGATGTGTGGGTATGCTCGTTTTACGTACCGGAGGAGTATTCGTGTTCGTGTTCATGAGAGACGGTCACCGATAGGTCGTGAACCGATTTGCCAGCCATTACTGAGCAGAGAGATTAAATCAATTAAATACTATAAAGCAAAGTGAGGTGAAGTGGTAAAGGGGATAGGAGTGTTTGATCGAGTAATCGATTGATGGTTGATTTTTCTACGATTCCACCATGCAAATAGCGGCACCACCTGGGGGGATACGCGTTGAGTTACAACAACGTGTTTTGCCGCATGGGAAAATGACGTTAAAACTTGGCACACTAGAATCAAGATGCATGCGTGTTGTAAACCCTAACCCTTACCAGGATTGCAGTGTCTTCGGACTCGAAGGAAAGTGCAGTTATCTTTCACAGGCAGGAGGCGGTGGTCGTGTTGGTTTGTGTTTGTGCTTGCGGAGGATACCATGTTGCTACCTGGGCCTTATATACGAAAACTTGTATAGGTCTTGCGAAAGTAGAATACGACGACCACCTCGGTCACAGTTAGAACATACAATGAGCGTGTATATATATCGTATAAACACATTTTTTCTATCTCCTTTGAGGCTACTATCAGTAGGGTTATCAGGTTACATTTATAGCACAATAATGGGTGTTAATCACCAAACATCACTCGTGACCCGCCAAGAAACTAGACTTCTATCGATAAGAACTCTAGAACGTCCCAATAGATATCCAAGTTATAATTCTACTCTATGTGAATGCTACAAGTTATGAGTACAAAAGGCAGAATTTTCCGAAAATATCGAGTGACATCTCATGGTAATAGCTTGGCGCTCCGTGGAGGCTCAAATTGAAGCCCACGCGCCGAAGGTGGTTTTTTTTCAAACAATACTTGAGAACTAGGGTGTTGAGAAGCATTGCGCACAACACCCGCGCATACACTTCCTTTCTACGATGGCATCAGTACTTCATACTTCAAGCTAATAGACTAAACTCTAAACTCCAGGAAACAAACCCACTTTCGCGAACATGGATGTGTAAAGTTAATCACGAGGTTTATGTTCGCTTACCAAGATACCATAATTATATAACCGACGACGTTTTGGATTGATGCTGGATTACCTACTCTTTTCATGCATATATCGAATCTTACTCACCGGAGGATCCAAGATGTACTAACTAAGTGTAAAGCAAGGGATGTACCTGTGTGAGTAGAGCAGAAACCGTCTAGCCTAGAGCCCTTATGATTTCCTACGCATCATGCACCTCCCTCATGCCGCAGCAACAGCAGCACTGGCAGAAATTTCAGTGTGAGTGAAGTTTTTGATCAGTGGTTAGTCCCCATTGGTTACACCGTGACTTGGCTATATTGGTTCGCTCTTTCTCCTCTCGCTCGCTGCCTTGTCGAAAACATACGTAGGTTTACCATATCCACTTACTCCACCCTGAGAAAGAAGAAAAAAAGTCGCTCATTCCCACAACCAACCATATTAGAGGGAAAAAAGAGACCCCTTCCCCAAGCTTTCTTTTAGCATTTTTTTCTCCTTCTGTTTTCGTTTCTCTTCAGCAAGCAGAATTTTTGAATTTCCTCAGTCCAGCCGGCGAGCTCCGTATAAATCCTTTCTGCTTGCCCTTACCCAGATCAACTATTGAAAACACCAGTGGCAGCTTCGAAAAAGCTCAAAGCGTTACCCAGAAGCAAAAGACTGGATAGTAACCCCCCCCCTCCAAACCTCTTACTGAGTAGCTACACACACCCCGCAAAGCAAGCCATGAGTGACCCAAACGGCGAGTACAGCAACAACGGTCTGAACCTAGCCACAGCAGAAGACCAGCAACGGTCTTACCACCAAATCCTGATGAATATCGAGCAGTCATGGAATCCTCAAGGCTGGCAGCACGAGATCGAAGCCGGAGAGAGAGCTAGGGCCATTATCCAGATTGCCGTCGCGGTGAAGGATCTCCGGGGGGAGATGAACCAGGACCAAGCCGTATATATAAGCACTGCCTTCGAACGATCTGTCTACGAGAAGGTTGCATCATCAAACGAGTATCGTGAGGCGTGTCGGATGAAATTGGCACAGATACAAGACTCGAGAAGACGGCAAATTGCGAAAGAAGAGGGAGAGTGGAGGAACCAGAACCCAGAGCAACAACAACATCAAGGAATGCAGCAGCAGCAGGGGTTCTCGTCACAACAACAACCGCAATATTCGAGTCCTCTAGGTATCTCGCCCCAATTCACGCAGCAGCAACAAGAGCAGTACCAGCAACAGCATCACCAGCAACAACTGCAGCAACAGCAGCAGCAACAGCAGCAACAGCAAATACAGCAACAGCAACAGATACAGCTCCAGCAATACAACCAGCAACGTCAGCTCCTACAGCAACAGCAAGCTCAGCAGCAAGCACAGCAGCAAGCACAGCAACAGGCTCAGCAACTTCAGCAGCAACAGCAGGCCCAGCAACAGCAGCAGCAACCACAATATCAACAACAGCCACAACAGCCCGTCTTCCAACAGCTATCTCAGCAACAACAGATAGAAAGAAATCAAATCATCCACGAATACATGAACAGTGTAGCCCAAAAAATAGGCTCGCCCATGCTCCACAATATCAACCAAAACCCCACCCAAGATATAAGAGACCTGGCCACAGCGTGGGGTATGCCGCCTGCGCAAGCGTTCCTGCGGCAGCAGGCGATGATGCTCTACCGACAGAGGGTGATGTACCAACAACAGCAGCAACAACAGATGCAGATGCAGGCACAGGGTATGAACGGACAGAATGGATATTCAAACCAGTAATACATTGGCCCCTGCCCTTTGTTAAGTGTGGTGACGTTTCTAGTACTTGCGATTTGGTGCGATTGATTGATATTTAGCGGAGGCTCTTTTCAGTTATACCTTCCTCATAAATACCTATCTACCTATGGAAAAAAAATAATTTGTCTAAGGAGATCCCAATTCAAGGGATATATGTATATATTATGAATTTCTTTTATCCTCTTCTAGCCTATGGTGGCATTGATGGAGAAAAGTCTCGGACAAAAGCTTATTACTCTCCTACTCCTTACTATTCTTTCTTCTCTTCCTTCCTTTTTCCGTCTGAGTAGCATGCGCGCGTATTCCGTGTCGTCTTTCTTTTCTCTGGTTCCTAAGTATGGATTCTATTTTGCGTCATTACCGTCATAAAACAACCTAAGAGGCACCAGTTAGGCCTATATAAAAATATTATCATTTGTATTTTCTCTAAGCGCGTTTCAGTACGATTTAATTTTAAATTCTACCATGAACCTTTTTTTTGATCGCGGGGGCTCCTCAAGAGTTGCAACGCGTTAACGTTAACTTTGAACATCTAGATAAGAAGCTCCGATCACGATCCTCCCGTCTTAGCACCGATCAGATCCTCGCCAGGATCGTGCTTGGTACACTCAAAAAACATGAGAGCTCATATCTTGGCCTAGCTGGCAAGGTACATGTAGATAAGACTTACATTCGCTCACCTAGTGACGGCAGATGCTGTCTGATGGTTGTGTTTACAGTAATTTACACTTGGTACCTTAAATTTAATCGATTGGCCTCAAATCCCCGACAACCATCAGGATCTGCCTTAATTCACCCTGTGAGTGAGTGTACTTATAATTTCCGCCAATGCTATTGGGGGGGGTCAAAGATGAAGCAGTTTAGCCTATTACCACGAAGCAAGGGTTGAATCTACCATATAAATGGAGGATATACCGAAGTTAACTTATGGGAGACTCTTGAATAATTAACAATCCAGGGATATAGGAGGATGATATATCGAGTGATATGCCGTGATTGACGCTAGTACTAGATCTATCATGTAGCTGTAGAGTAAAATGCAACAAATTGTATGTAGAAGAGACCTAAAAGGATGGTTATCGATCTCTACACCAGTCTTCGACCCCACCACGGTGTGACCTTTTGGGACGAGTGAACTCTTCAGCTTAGTCAACATTTCTTTCGATTGTTCGGGCATACAAAAAGCGTTCTTTTAGCTTCTGTACTCTAGATACATAAGAATAGTAATATTTTTGAATAGTCTCTGGATCTTAGTTGGCTTCTTGAAAAATTTCAACCAGGGAGTACAGTGAAAGCCTGCTACAAGGATAGCGCTTTGCGGTCCTTTCCTTTGATTTCATCACTATCACTCTTTCTATAAGGGCACTCTCCCTATAATGATACCAAATTCTGATCTCGAGCGTGCGTGCCTATAGCGAGCGTTCGCTTTACTGGTTGTCTAGAATCCACATTATACCAGAATAAACTCGTTTTTGCGTGTTTTTATTACTTTAAATATATAAATTCTTCCTAGTCTCGTGCCCGGGCTTTTGTCAACTCATTCCTCGTTCTGCAGACTACAGAATCACACCACAGGCTAGGCATGAAACTAGATTCTTCCCCATCTTCTTTAGATTTCATAGCTATAGTGCTGCTTCCGAAATAGTAGCCATCTAGGCTAACCTCAGCAGCACACCCTACCATCCTGAGTCCCTTGATTCCTAAGTTTTCCCTAAAGACTGCAGTACATCAACATGTGAGTTGTCTGCATTCCGCTCACGTCTTCAGTAAAAATCATCACTTCCCAACCGACGGTGGGACCGCTGGGCAAGAACAGCAGGGCAGTTTCACATTGCAAGCGTACGCCGCACTAGAGTACTCTGAATTAACAGCAGGTGAAATCAAGCCTATAGTGAGTTGCGGCGAACTCATTACTGATCAGATAGGATCTTAGGAGCGTCTTGACGTTATATATGTACTTTACTGCTATACATGCATATGTATGTAGTTATGCATGTTCAGCTTCACGAACAGCAGTTTACATGTACTCGTGTGTGCGCACTAGGGGTGCTGAGTTCATGGCGGCGATGGGTGCGTTGGGATCTCTGTTATACACGACTACTATAGCTAGAGGTTCTCCCGTTTGTTACCAACCGAATTAATCTACTATAATATAAAAGAATATGGCCTGAGAGAGTTTCACTAAACCGGCCTAATCCTACATCCGTCCCTGACATGGGGGAGACAGATTAATTGGACAAACAATGGGCGAGAAGCTGAGATAGTTTAATCTGCGATTGTAGG